TACATAGAATGGCATCAATAGACAAATGGTAGTGTAAATGACATGGCATGCCGCCAATCGAACAAATCCAGTTGAGTTATCCGCCACGCTAGAGGTGTACTATGTAAAATTTCATTTCAGCCGAGAGGATCTAGAAGGTCTCTGAAAAACACCACAAGGGCCAAGCCAAGCCCAGAAGAAGCAACGAAGCCCGCCCGCTATCACAGCTGCGCAAAAATTTTGTTCATGTTGTTGTGCACACCTATCAACTTTGATTATTTGGTTCTACTACATATGGGTTCTGCATGGTGGTATCGTGTGTTGTGTTCCCATCACTGGAGGTAGGTATGTTCGAGCTGAGCCCAAATCTGTGTGTGGTGATCGTCATTCGAATAGAGGTATCCATCCATGACTGTCTGCAACAAGGTCATGTCGTCGATCATTCATTCGTCGGCGGATGACTGACTGACTGACGGATGGTATTTGTGCTTTTCTCCATGTCGGCCCTTGACAAATTCCCATGTTATGTCGATCTCGGGCTTTTGGCCGTTGTTTGTGGAGCTTTTTGATTGGGTGCGTACTTGCCTACCTGTAGCCTTCAGCGCCATTGAGAACTGCGTGCTTCTTCCTCCCCCTTCGAATGGATTACGATATATACCTCTACAGTGTATATTCACTAATGCTGGTGCCAGGTTTCACAGAGTTGTAGTGTATACCCTATGTAGGTACCAACGACTCGGACTCCCGCCCGACGACGGACGGTGCGACTCGCCAGTAGTGGCCGAATCATTCCCCGTAACGCCGTTAAATCCGGGATCATCGATATCTTCAGGGTCCAAAGTACTGTAGTCTTCCAGTCAGGTACGAGTTCGACAGCTGAACGGTATTTCCAACGGTCTTTCTTTCAGGGTTCTACACTACTACACTGCACTCACTACCTATAGAGAAGGGTCCCGCTGCTTCCATGTCTTTCCTGGTTTGCCGCTGTAGCGTAGCAATTGCCCTTGCAGTGCCACAAGGCATGGAACCAGGAAGTGGCATTCCGCAGACTGACTGGGGGGGCAGTGTTGTGGGGATCCGCGTGTATCCATGCCTGGGTTCTCAGCTCTCTCTCTCTCACTCTCTCTCTCTCACAGAAAAGGAAGGAAATCGGGGGACACAAGGTTCTGTGTTTCATGTCCCTCGACCGTTTTCCGCAATCCCTACGTAGTTTCCAGCACGCTGCTAGCGCTGCTTTCCCTTGAGGGGGGCGAGTGTCAAAACATAAAAAAAAGAGAACCGTTCCTTAGCCCGAGCAAGACGGGACTCGTTCCATGCATACAGCGAATTAGACCTCGCCGGAGCAAATGCTCCTGAACTGCTCCGGGGGACACACCAGTCCATTCCCCGGTCCCATAAGGATGCCTGTGGTTTTTCGAGTTTTTACCAATAGACCTTGTTTTTTTTTTTTTTTTTTTTTTTTTTCTCTCGTTATCAAACCTGTGCCAAAGCTATGTCAAATGGAAATTGCGGCGCAAGGAAAAGTGAGAAACAAGAATGGAACTAAGCTTGCGGAATTCAATCCGGTCGGATGGGGCTCGTGTAGGTATATACCGCTCCTTGTTCGGGAATTTTCTTTTTTCACATGAACTATCAGTACCAAAACCCGGCACGGAAATTGCGGACTACACTACTCGCAATGCCCACTGGCCCCAGCGAGGGGGCAATATTGGCTCCGGTGCCGACCCGACTCAGTCATCCTGTCAGTTGAGGCTTGTTGCCCTTGACCCTTTCCGTCTTCCAGATGGAGCTCCTGTCACACACAGCCAGTATTGATACTGATGTCCTTCGCTGCTTGTCCGCTCTTCTTCCGCGTCCGGTGGCCAACCTATTACCCCAAAAAGACAGGTAAACCGACGCCACACCTCTTCCACTCACTTGCCACGGAGGGCAGTGCTTGGAAGCGCATTTCGTTGAGTCACTTTGTTCTTTCTCCATCATCTTCAAAGGCGTTTTGCGTGTTCCCTCATTCCCAGCGAGTAGAAAGAAGGATAAGTTGTCTTGGTTGCTTGCTTGCTTGCTGTACCCGACGCTATAAGCATTAACCCAGCGAGCGGCTAGCGGACCTCCCCCACTCACTTCACACTTCTGCCAGTCTCTTTGTTTCGTTAACGACTCGCTTGCCTATTTTGGGAACCGACGTACCCAAACAGCACCCATCTACCACTCTGTTGGAGCCCTGCCAAGCCCCTCCCTGCTCCCCAACATCCAGAAAGGGTTGGCCTGCGCTGTGCCATTTGCCAGACCTCTGCTTGCAATAACACCTCATCGTCCTATCGCATTGGCCGTCTTCTTCTAAAGGGTAACCAACGTCGTACCACACCGAGCCAGCCGTCAGGCCAGTCAGTCAGTCAGTCAGTCAGTCCGCCTGTCAGCAGGTTACGTACCAGGAGAGAAAGGAGCGAGCAGCAGCAGCAGCCACACCACCAGCGATCCATACCACACAACTCAGGAGAGGATAACCTGCACGCAAGCCACACCACCGAAAAAAAAGACCAAAGCATAACATCGACAACCTCGACGTCGGATACGCAGCCCATGTTACCCCTAGATGCCAGATACTACCGTCGACAATTAACCGTACCAACTCGTTAACCCGTCCGATTTAATGTGCATCGAGCACATCACCCATGACTGCCCAGCCTGCGGGAAAGACTACTTAGTCTACGTCGAGTTTTGCAAGGACTGTCATCCACCCCTGATCCGCTGCCCAAACGGGACCATTCGAAAGCGCCTGGACATGAACGACGGAGGCTGTCCGAGCCCTACTTGCCCAAACAGTCGACACGGGGGCTGCATTCTCATGTAGCCTGCCTGGGTTGGATCCGAGAAGAGAGCAGCGAAAACACCACCATCCAACCAGCACCAGCGACAACCACGCTGACAGGGCGGTAAAAGAAAAAAAAGGCATTTAAATCTTGACCTGGTTGTCGGTGATCTCGACAATCTGGTCGATACCCTCATACTTGGGAACGTCAAAGTCGTACTTTTTCGCAATCGACGGAGCGACGAACCTGGTTACCAGCATCAGCCACACCTCACACCACCAGCCCAACCGTGACGATGAAGAGAAAGAAATGCGGTACGTACCGTCCTCCTACAAAATGCCGGCCCTTGAAGTACTTGACCAGAGGTTTCGGAGCCGTCAAGCTAACCAAGACATTAGGGTGAAAGTTGCTGCCCACGCCGGACTTGGGCGGTCCTTCGTTAATGTCCCACGACGATGGAGCATCGACCGAGGTCACTGGAACCTTTGTCTCGGCCATGGCGTTGATGACGGCAGGGAACGGCTCGCGCACCTCGCCAGAGAAACTGAAACCTAGACGCATGCGTCAGTTCAAGTCGAGAGAGCAAAGCAGGGCCTCTGGAAAAAAAAAACCAACCAAAGATGGCATCGACGACGTGGTCGGTAGACTCCAGAGCCGCGAAAAAGTCATCGACAAAGGGTATCTCTAGGTCTTCACATTGTTTGACCAGGCGCTGCGGAGATGGAGACGTGTGTTAGCATGAGGCCCAATCCATCAGATACACGATACGGTGGATGGGCTCTCAACCGATAAGTGAGAGGCCTTTCAAACAACAACAAGTTGACGCAGGGGGACTGCGTGTAGGTAAGAAAGGAAGGGCATAGCGTGGTCGGATCGGGGGTTAAAATACTATATCGACAACAAGCATTGACGCTCATAAAAGACAGAAAACTTTGAATACGAGTCCAATAGACTCTTTTGAGATTGATTCTTGTCTCCATGGTGTTTGTTGTGTTGCCGGTCAAGCGACGATCCAATGTCCTTGTCCTGACTAGGTCGTGTTGCTTCCAGCACCAGCAGGACATGTCGACGACTTTTGAACTGCAAACCCCGTGTACCAAGAAAGAGATTCACTCACCTGATAGAGATCGTTCTTGGGTCGCTTCGGATAGTAGATGGCAGGTTGATAGCCGTAGTGAAAAAGATGTCGAGCAGCCACGAGGCCATCACCCCCTGACCAAAGACACAGAACAGGTAAGCGCTTGGACCACCCAGCCCCTGAAGGACCCAAACATTCAGCAACTGACCATTGTTTCCAGGGCCAACAGCAACCAGCACTCGGCGGCCCTGCTTGGTAGGGTGGACTCGGGCGACTGTTGTTGGGATGATGACGGGATTGTTAGCAAGCACGCCTCTTGCCACTGAAGATCGATTGAACAAGAGACGATGAGATGGCGGCAGACGGGAGATACTGACCAGCTTGGGAGACCGAGAGACCTGCCAGTTCCATGAGCTGGTCGATGGAAAAGGCCCCCGTGGTCATGAGCTCGCGGTCGAGAGCAGCGGCAGCCTTTGCGGAGAGGGTCTGGAGGTGGCCATTTCATTAGTGTCCAGTCCAGCATGTGGGCATCGATGGGGAATTGGGGAAAAAAATGTCCATGGGTGTTGGCACAGGCCTGGACGGCAACCTCCGGCTCCATCAATCTTCTTGGCTTTTTTTTTTTTTTTTTTTTTTTTTTTTTTTTTTTTTTTTTTTTTGATGAGTGCGACATGACATGGACATGTGTACTTACCTTGAGCGCCATGGTGTGGGTGGTTCTTGGACAAAGGCGAGCGTTGGACGGCACGTGCAGTGTGATGGAAGACGAGGAATGGAAGTTCCAGTCTGGAGATGAAGGGCGGCGGAGGGGAAGTGGTACTTAGTAGTATTGGAAGTGGTCTGTGATGGGACGTTACAAAGGAAAGCTACAGGATCGAAGGAATTGGAATCCCATTTCACGAGTAGAGGTAATTGCTCCCCTTTGCATTTTGTTACTATTGCGTGTACACTGCAGTGCAGTGCAGTGCTACTACTGACATCACTCGCTGCTCCAGTTCCTCCATTGACGGGGATCGTCGATCCAGTGCATCACTCAGTCATGATCCCACTCGTGCGGCCGTACCTGCTACACTTGAAATGCGTGGCTGAGACTTCAAGTTACGTTGGAATGTGGCTTCAACTGAAAAAGTGTGGCTCGTGAAGAAACCCAACGAACGTCGGTACCAACGACTTGCCTGCCGGGGTAGTACCCAGCTTCTGGCCGCCCGGCAGCACCCCACAATCCTTCAGTGAGCGATCCGGCAATCGGGCAACGCGACGACGTCCGGTCCGCGCAAAAGATTCAGTCGACAGACATCTCGAACCTCGTCGGCGACAGTCTCTCCTCCACCACCGCGCCTATCAACCTCCCGCGGTCCAACATGGTTCTCAAGCTCAGACTCGCCCGCTTTGGGCGCACCAATGCCCCCTTCTACAACATTGTCGTTGCCCACGCCAGGTACGCAATTTTCCCATCACAACGACACGGCAGACAGCCACCAGCTAATCTCTCTGACTCTTTATTAGAACCGCGCGCAACAGCAAGCCTCTCGAGGTCATTGGCACATACGACCCCGTTCCCAAGAAGGACACGTACGACACCACAGGGAAGCTGCACAAGGACATCAAGCTGGACGTCACGAGGGCCAAGTACTGGATAGGTGTGGGAGCTCAGCCGACCGACACGGTTTGGAGGTTATTGTCCTATGTACGTTTCTCTTTCTCTTTCTCCACAAATCTTTATAGGTTGGCCAACGTCGTCTCGAAACTGACTGACATTGCAACAGGTTGGCATCCTAGACCCCAAGTACAAGAAGCCGCAACCGGTGCAGGGGCAAAAGACCAAGGCTTGAGCGAGCGAGAATTGCATCTTTTCGATTATTCCATACGTACCACCGGAAAAAAACCGGGTCGTCTCGCATACCGATCATCTGACACCACCACCATCCATCCTTCCATCCATGTATTACAAACCGGCATTCTCTTCCATCCAGGCGTTTTCTGTTCTCTACACTATCTAGGGGTTTTCCAAAACGGGGTTGCTGTTGCTGTACGATACCTATAGCTCGACATATATATATAAGAAGCAAAGTATACGGCACCCACCGAACGACGCGACTTGTTGAATCAATTTCCGGAGGCAGCTAAACCTTGGACGTGATGGAGGGGTGGTCAAACAGGCGACGCTTTTTGAAGGATGGATCGGAGAGGGAGAGGAGGAGGACACAGAGCCAGACTTCAGTTTGATGAGGTTTGGTCGGTGGGCTGGAACGTTGCATGAATGGAAGAGGACTTCATCAGCAGGGGCACGCATTATGGTTTCTGTGTCCCCAGGGTCGATACATCTGCTTGGTTGTAGTTGTTGGGTGGACAGAGGGGTACGATTCATGCTGGAACATCAGAAGGCCACAAGCGAGAGACCATCGCAATCACCAAGGCAGCTCAACGTTGGTAGCTTTTCTGCGGGGAATTGTTTCCCCCTACGGTGTACGGGTAGTCACGAAAAGACCGTCGGATGGAGACAAGAATAAAAAGTCAAAAAAGTCGCGAACTGGATAGGCAATCTACAGAGACTTGACCAAATGTATAAGCAGGAGTGAAAGAATACGCCCACAGTCGGGTGAAGACGTCAACAAAGGCTAGACGGGAATCGAAAGTGCCAAAAGTATGCTCAAACAATGTCTTACTAAAGAACAAAACCCAAATTTTGGCCCAAAAAAGAAAGGAACGACGGGAATTGAGCCCGACGTGGGGGTCGAACCCACAACCTTGAGATTACGGAGCAACTCCTTAAGAGTCTCACGCTCTACCGATTGAGCTAGCCGGGCAAGCGGCTGATCAATCATTCCTAATTGTTAGAGACTTCTTTCTAGCATGCCCTTATGTACTACAGACGTGCTGTTGCTTGTGAGGACATTAAACCGACACCACCGGATGCATTCATCATTTTAACATTTCAGTAAAGAGTCTGACCCCTGCATTTTCCCTTTTCATTTTCTAGTCATGCTAGCTGGTGTAGTCAATAAAAGTCAAGCGTATCGAAAAGATACAGAAAAGTAACGAAATGGTCTCGTGAGTGATAAGTAAGTAAAAGTAAAAAGGCAGTCAATCATATTATATCCCATCAATGTTCATCCCCAAACTAAAACTGCCATTACATGTCTTCGAAATCCCCGTGTCAAACATCCCCCGTGTCAACATCACCTGTATCCCCCGTTGTTCATGTGTCCCTGGTCATGGTGACCATCATCCCGGGTATCGCCCCAGTAACTATCCCTGCCCTCCGCAAATCCATTCTGCCCCGGCAGACCAAAGTCAGGCACTTGTCCAACACCACCACCATTAGCCTGATCGTATCCAGCACCAGCAGCAGTACCACCACCCGACTGTATTCCAAGTCCGGATCCTGCTGGTTGCTGACCGTACGCTCCAGCAAATGTGGACGCTTGCGGGCTGCTGGCGTAACCCCCGTGGTTGTTGTTGCTAAAGTCGAAGCTGGCCGACTGCGGGCTCGCGAATCCGGGAGCGGTGGGACCGGCGGTAAAGCTTCGTTGGGGTTGCGGGTGGACGAGTCCTCCGCCGGGAGCAGGGCTGCCCATTCTGTTCATATCCCCGCCGTACATGGGCCCTTGAGGATTATACGGGCCAGGGACCGGAGAGGTGAAGCTACGGTTGGGAGGGAAGACCGGACTGTGGGCCTGGTTTTGGTAGCCGCCAGTCACGTTGGGGATGGTGGGGGTCAAGGCAGGAATGCTTGGGGCGGGGGAGGCGACGCGATCCATGTTCATGTTGTTGTCGAAGAAGTTGAATTGTTGCTGTTGCTGGCCAGGGGCAAGAGCAGGGCTAGCGACGCGGTTCATGTTGTTGTCGAAGAAGTTGAACTGCTGCTGTTGCTGACCGGGAGCGGGAGCAGGGCTTGCGACACGGGGAGATTGAGAGAGGGAGGCGGCGGCGGCGGCGGCGACACCGGTAGCACCGAGAGCAGCACCAGCAGCGGCGCCAGCGCCAACTGCTGAGACCGTGTTGGATTGATCACCGGAGGAAGTGTTGTTCGAGTCATCGAGAGGCGGAGAAGGGGGGACACTATAAGTTGTCGTAGTAGCCATACCGTCCTTCTTCATCTCATCAGCATGATACTCTGCCGCCTGCTCCCTAAAACTATCGGGATCGATACCGGCCTTCTGCAACTGTTCCAGCTCGAGGCGATCGCGCTGGTACTGGGCTTCGGCAAGAGCAGCCTGGCGCGCACCCCGTCGTCGCGTACGGATGCAGACGAAGACGGCAGCAAAGAGGAGCAGCGCACCAACACCGGCGCAGCAAGCATAAATGATGGTCTTGGTTGTGCTTGACATGCCGTTCCACTTGTCGGACACCGACTGCTTGGGCGGGGCCGTGATCATCTCCTTGATGGTGGAATTACCCTCGACGACCTTGATGCTCTCCCAAGCGCCGCTGCGGTCGCCGTAGACATACTCCTGGCCTTCGCTGAAGTCGGTAACTTGGACGGACTTGACATGCATGGTGTACGGGCCAGCGCCATAATCGGTTTGACCACCAGCCCAATCCTGTGTACCCTTGGACAACCTCGGGTCGCCGCCAGCCCAGATACCAAACGACAAACGCATGGGAGTCTGGGGGTAATATTGAGTGTTGTTGGCTTGGGCGGGAAGTAGAGTGCGGACCTTGTTGCCGTCCACATAAAAGTCGAGGTAGTCCCTGGTCCAAATGGTGGTATAGTTGTGGAAGTCCTCTTGAGCGTTGCCGGGAACGTCGTGCTTTCCGGGAATGGAGGACTCGATGACACCCTTGCCGTAAGTGTTGGTCTGCACGTTGTTGGGCTCGCCGCCGACAAACTCCCAATCGATCTCGTCCAGGTCGTCGGACAAGAACATGACGGAACTGACGATGCCTCTGCCCTGAGCAGCTTTCATCCAGATCTCGGTGCGGCCCCAGAAGAAGTAGAACTTGGAGCGCAGGGTGGGGGAGTCGCCTTGCTTGCTTATGGTGAAGGCCGCGCCTTGGTCCATGTCGAAATCAACGGTGCCGACGGTGGTCTCCCAGGCCCAGGCTTTGGGAGTAGAGTTGAAGGTCCACGAGTAGTCCATGCCGAGGGCGGGATCGGCAGGACATGTTTTGTTGAGGGGTTGGCAGTCGGTGGTGACCTGGGCGAGGGCCGAGGACGCCAGCAGCGCAATGGCCGAGGCGAGGTATCGCGGTAGAAGCATTGTATCGTGGATCGTAGATCGTGTGTTGTTCGGTCGGGTACGTAGGTAGGTAGATATCGGTTCGTATAAATGGAATTGGACTCAGAGTTGCATCTCTGCGTGTATCGTAGTGATCGTAATGTGTGTCGAAAGAGTGTGGTGATCTCGAGCTCGCGAGATAATGTACCGTGATAGAGAGAGGCAGCAAGGTCAGGTCAACTGACGATTGCGCAAACGAATCGGTAGTAGTTGAACCAGGCGATACTGGCGATGGTTTGGTAACGAGAGGGATGGTGTTTCGAGTTCCGAATGGTGGTCGGTACCCAAGGTATCCGTAGACGACGACGCGCTAATGCGGTTGAGAGAGTGACAGTTGGCAACCCAGACGGCCACTCAACGTAAAGTAAAGAAGGAATCCCACTGGGAATGAGGGGAACAACCAAACCACCAAGCGATTTGGCGAAAATTGAAGGGAAAAAAAGTCAAAAGGGAAATAAAAAGGGGAAGCCGAGAGAGACAAGCATAGAACTGGTGCCCTTGGCGGCGTGACATTCAATTCCAATTCAGAACCGACAAGGATCCTGCGGGAGAGGCTTTCCATGAAACATCCAATTGGGCCTCCAGAAACGGACAAGGCTGAGGGGCTGCACTCCGGGGGGGGTACCTGCTGATTGTGCGACGCCCGGTGTTTCCACACCATTCCTGTTGAGCGCTAGCACGGGGTACCTTGGTGGCCCTGAACCATCACCCATGAGTGGTCGGCGGCTACCTACTTAGATTGGATCCTTTAGCGGCCAGGTGGTGTCAAAAAAGCTGGGACACATGCTGCGTACTTCTCAGCGCTGCAATCATCTCGATATTTCTGGGCATACGGTTCGGCCAATCTTGTCAGGTAAAGATTAGCGAATTGTCGACTGCAACCACTCCCCGTCATTTTCACGCATTTTTCAGGAACTCGGCATCGCAATTGCAAAATTACGAGGGGGGCCACTTGAACATCACCCCACGGTGAGAGCTATTGGTGAGGCTACCTCTAAGTCTAGGTACGTAATTATCTACACTACATACAGCATGAAGATGCCCTCGTTTGAACACTCAAAGCTCGGGGACCTTGCGAATATCGTCGAGCGCTTGTCTGAGCTCTCGAACGTCCTCTCTGAAATATACGGCGGTTATGATCTCGGCTCGCAACTCCATAATCATGCGATCGTGCTCCTCTTCCGTCATTCGAGTGGTGTTCTCGGTCGATACTAGGCGGTCATCCAACCGATCGATGCCACTGAGGATTCTTTCAATTGCCTGTAAGCCCGCTGGCACATTTTGCAGCTTGTCGAGTGCCGGTTCAAGCTGCTCTTTGAGGACTGATGGGAGTTTCTGCCCGGAGTGTGGCGACGTCTTTGGTCGATGCTAGGCGCGGTCATCCAAGCGGCCGGCTCCCTTGTTGAAATCCTCATGGATGATTTGAAGTTGCGCTAAAGCACGTTTCGTCCGTTCGAGGACTGATTCGAGCTGCTGCCTGAGCTGCTGCCTGAACTGCTGCCTGAGCTGCTCCTCGGTGACTGACGGGGTTTGGACCGACTGTAGACGGTGCTCCACAACTCTTTGGATTGCTTGTACTTGCCCTGACACGCTGTCCAACTGGTTGAGGGCTGTTCCGAGCTGCTGCTCGATGATTGATGTGGTTTGTGTGGCCGTGTTTTGGGCCGACTCGAGACGGTCATGTAAGTGACTGGTTCTCTCCATGAGTCCTTCAATCGCTTGGACTCGCGCCGAGACGTTGTCCAGCTTCTGGAGAGCTGGCGCGAGCTGCTGCTCTAGGATTGACGGGAACTGCTGCTCAAGGACTGATGTGACACGCTGGAAGTCCGCAAGATGCTCGTCTAGTCTGATCTGTGCCCGCACACGCTCCTCGATCTCCTTTCGTAGCTCCTCCAACGTGTTCTGGTTGCGAGCAACATCTTGTTTCTCTCGCGCCACGACAGCCTTCTCCTCGTAGAGTGCCTGGAGCTCTCTTCCCTGCTGCTCTTTCTGGCTATCAAGCTCCATCTGTCTGGTGTTGAGCTGCAACTCGTGATCCTGATGCTGGCGGCGGTTTTCGGCTAGTTGATTGAGCTTTTCCTGGGTCTCCCGGTCCTTGTCCTCGGCCTGCTGAAGGGTTTGCTGAGCCTGTTGAAGGATTTGCTGAGCCTGTTGGAGGGTTTGCTCTGCCCCTTGGACATTTGCCTCTTGTTGCTCCACGGCTCGCTCTCGGGCGGCAATCTCTTCACGGTGTAACTTGATTTGATCAAATTCGGTGCGGCATTCCTCCAAGCGTTCCTGCAAGCTCTGAGCCACGGTGTTAACTTTTTGGGTAGCGTGCAGGAAGATTGTCCAGGGCAAAGAACCATCATTCTCGCCAGCAGCTGCTCTGTCGAATAGTGTGATGTATCCCGTCAAACTCCTCTTCGCGGCCTCGAAGTCAAAGTCGGGCATGATGAACGTAGGAAGACGTCGCGAGGCGACCGCAGACGGACTTAGTGTTGAAGGAAGAGAGGGTGGAGGTTGTCTGAGGATGAAAGGTCAGGAAGGGAAAGACGGCCACAAGAATGGATTTGTCTGACGGAAGAGAACAAACGAAAACCAGTGCAGCCTAAATACCAGGAAGGGAGTGCCGGTGAATGGTGAGCGTAGAGGTAGTGAAGTGCACGGACTTTGAACAAAAGAGTGAGTGGGCGGGAAAAGTGATAGTGAATGGGAAGCCAGGCGAAGGGCAGGCAATAGAGTGGTTGGGTACTGATGGAAATCAGCTGAAAGGGCATGGACTTTGAACATGCGGACTGCGAATTGCAAAAACGAACTTGAAATCTCGCGACACATTGCAGTTTGTCCCAAAGACATCGTCAATCGACACGATGCCATGTCAGATACTCCCACAGAGGACGAGGTTCTCTTAAAAATCGGATACCTCTGGCCCATTTCCTCCACACACGAATGGGCTCCTCGCATTGTCAACGCCTTGGACATGTCTGTGATAAGTTACCTCTAGCTAGTCCTAGTACTACTTCTGCAACTGCTGGAATCCGTCATGCCTATGTCAACCCAAGTCCCAAGATCACCTCCCTTCAACGGACCCCAACTACTCTGGCGGCGTGCCTCCTGTGCTGACATGGGTGGTATCATCGTCGACTCCCAAGCGTGTTGTAATGCTTCGCAACAGCGTTGCGTACATGTTCTTGAAGACATATTTGGTGGCAACGGCTTCTTGGTGTTCTCTAATCCTGCGCAGCTTCTGCTGAATCTCCTCCTTCATTTCAACCAAGAGCTTTGTCTCCTGCTCAAGGCGGTCCTGGCGAATCTTGATAATTTTGATCTTCTCCTCCAGCTCACCGCCAAGGACGAGTTGAAAGCAGCGCCCGAGATGCTCGACGCCCTCAGTTCTACGCATAAAGTCCTTGCTGTCTACCAGAGACTTGTCGATGTTCTGTTCAAAGTACCTGGTCTTCTCCGCGACGTAGAGACCTGCCTCGTCACAGAGCGCCATTGACATCCCCGTTCCAGCCCTGCTACTGGCTTGGACACTGTTGAACCCTCCCTGGGTGACGAAGGAGCTGGCAAGAACGGTCACCAGTCGCTCACCCATCGGAAGGTGTTCCATGACCCAAATTGGTAGGATGGGAACCTCCACCGTGTATGGCCGCAAGCCGATGTACCGGAGAGCACCCAGGGTCAGAGATAGAAACTTGTTGGTGCTCGGAATAGCGGACATGTTGCTGTCGTAATGATGTTGAGCGAGGCATTCGGCGATAGGCCTGGTCGTACTTCCGACATAGAGCGGTCCTTGGTGCATGTTGATCGTTTCGTCGCACCCGAGTCTACCCAGAGCCCTGCCGCGTTTCCGAAATGACTCGGCCAACATCTTTAGGTATTCTTTATTGGCGACTTGTCCGGAATCCTCCAGGTAGTGAAGCATGGGGCCCTGTTGTGTATACCCGCACGCTTGATCGAGTTTCAAAGCGTCATCAATGACCTGCTGGTCATCGGCGGGCACCCGACTGTTCTCATTCTCGGCCGCAGCCAAGAGCTCGCATGCTTTCGCGTAAGTCTCAAGGATCTCGGCGACTTTGGTGCACTCCTTGATGTTGATGAAGGCTCCGTCCCGTCCCTCAATCGCAATGCCGACCGCGTATATACCGGCATATTTTCCGCGCTCCTCGAGTTCCTTGCCATGCACGTCTTTGCCCTTGACGTAGTCGTGGGCCAGCGTGCCTTGAATCAACGAGTCGCGTAGCCCACTGGGTATGGCTTGGAGCAGGATGGAGTACTCGTTGCTGCCGGACTGGATATCTTGCTCGAACGATCTAACCGTACTGCCCATGGGGATGATGGCGTTCCTCTGAATCATACGCAGCAGGTCGAGGAGGTCGAGACAAAGCCCCCAGTTGGACTTGTACTCGGCCAGAGCCTGCATCATGAATTTCTGCTCAGGCCTAAGAAGCGGCCGCTCGGGGGTGGGAACCGGGTCGTCGGTCGGCTGTGTCGGCCATGACGTAGCGAACTGGGAATGGCCCAGATCACCGGCGCTGACCAAGGTGTGTTCGTGATTCATGGCTTGAGGCAGTCTGCGAGGATTCTTGGAGGAAGGAGGGAAAAAAGATCAAAGTGCGGGCTGCTCCTGGCCTGGGTGGTGTCTCATGAATTTCAATTTCCTTTCACTTCGTGCCTGCCCAATTCAAAAGAGGTACCCGACCGACCCTAGGCAAAGTACCTACCTTGGACGCGTCATTCTTTGGGCAAATGCCCCGTGCCTTTTACTCTTCGTTCACCTCGTCCTCACCCAGCCTGCATTCCTTTTTTTTTTTTCCTTTTTTTTCCTTTTTTTTCCTTTTTTTTTTTTTTTTTTTTTTTTCTTTTCCTGCACCCACAACGTAATTGTTTGCACCCATCCATCGCGGTCTGACTTTTCCACCATCTTCCCTTCAACCACTTGTCTCTAGTAGCAATACTTCTCTGCCCTCAACGTACAACACCAGAGCCTCAGATCGTCGTCAGTAGGGAACATCCTGTCCCACGCCTTTGTCCGTGATACCCAAGCAGTATCACTAACTCGTTGTAGACACAATGGGCACCCCAGAACGTGCTTCTCTGTTGCAGCAGGTGGCCGAGATCACTGTGGACGAGTACCGGGCCGCGTGCCTGATTGTCACTGACGATGAAGGCAGAATGCTCGTAGACCTTTTCAAGATGGGTCAACATCATAGCGCGTCGAAAATAGACGATGCGACCAGGCAGCTTCTTGTCAACCTCCTCCATGACCAAGCTGTGGCAGATAATCAGGCAGCTGGACAGGACAGGCTGGTGGAAACCATTCTGGGAACAGACAGGGAGATCACAGAGCTGAAAGGTCAGCTGCAGACGGTCACCACCGAGCGAGACGATTTGCAGAGCAGACTGGAAGGCCTGACTCGCGACCACGACGCCGCCAAAACCAAGAACGAGGAGCTCACCAACAAACTCGCCGAGATCCAGAACCACTCGCTCAGTCGAGCCCGGGAGGAGGTCCAAAAGCTGAAGAATGAGATGTCGGACTTTCACAAGGCCAAGGACGAGAACGATGCAGTAGCGGCATCAAAATTCCTAGAATTCGCTGAACTGAGACGCAAAGCTCGGCAGCAGGAGCTCGATATCGTGGTCCTGGAAGAAAGTTATACCAGCCTGCAACAAAGCTTGGAGCAAGCTCGACAGCAAGGTTCACAGATCCAACTGGATCTCAACGAAATGAGGGAACAGGCACATGACAACAGGACGGAGGCCGAACAGGCTTGGGCAGAGGTGACAAGATTGGAACAGGAACGCACAACGATGCAGCAGTTGGCCGAAGAGATCCAGCAGTCGAACACTGCGCTAACTGGGCAAAACCAAGAGCAGCTCCTAGCGATCCACAGCTTGGAGCAAGACACCCAACACTTTATTCGGATCATGGGGTCGCTGACGGGTGTCCAGCTTGATCCGGACTCCTGGAACACCGCTGTCCGTCTGGTCGGCACTCCGGTTCATGGCCTGGACGAGCTTACACCGTTCTGGCGTGTGGATCAGTCCTGGGGAGAAACGCGGTCCATGTCCGAGTACCGTCCAAGCCAGAACTCGTCCGAGATGTTGACGAGTTGCTTCAGCCTGTTCGCCACGTTGGTCACCTCCTCCGACGAGGTCGATTGGAGAAACAGGGCTGTTCAGGTCACGCAGTGCCTGATGAGGGAACTACAGGGCGCTGAGGAGGCCCAGATCTACGTCGGCTTTCTTGAGGAATTCGCCAACCTCGTTGCCCGACTTATCGATCAGGGCAGACTTCAGGACAATGACCCGCTTGTGTTTTCGATTTGGGAGCTCCTTGCGTGTGCCAACGAAATGCTGACCGGCATGCTTGGGCAGCCGACCAACCTGCTCGAACAAAGGCTCGGCGGGCGCTGGAGAGCCCTTAGCCGCGCCATGAGAGCTGGCTACACGCACGTCACCGAGGAGGCAATCAGTACCTTGTTTCGCGAAAGCGAATACTTGAGAGCGCCTGGAATGGGAGTACTGCTGGACGACGAGCGTTTGACTGGCGCGCGATTGTATATCGTGCTCGACTTTAATCCGAACGCCCGTGCCCTTCGAGTCATGGAGGGTCGCATTTGGTCTCTTGTTGCTGAAGGGGGAAACTTTGGAGCCGTTTGTTTTCGTGGCAGCGATGACTTGACGGTGACGATTCCGCTAGCCGGCCCGGGAGATATAATGTGGTGGTGGAACTCGGTGGACAACATGGAAGTGGATTGAATTGATAGAGGTGGACTGACGGCAGTGTTTGTATGGGCGACACGCTCTAGATTGTACAAGTCTTCCCAGATGATAGGTGGGCACACGTTGCTTGATCAAGTCACCTCTACTGTGCCAGCTCAACACAATATCGAACTCTGGCTAACCCTACCACAACCCGACTGACAAACGCGTTCATTAAACACTAGCATTTATGAGGATAGAGGTATGAACTCGCCACCTGTCATTCCCTTTAGCCTTGCCCCAAAGACTCTTCAATTTCATCTGTCAAGGTCCATGTCATCAGTCTTCAAGACATCTCAGTACCAGTCATTACTTCCCACATCTTGCTACATACAATTTTCTCGCAACTACCTCTAGGTAGGTATGACAATATCCTTTGTGCTTTTCAGGCATTGAATCGCGTTCACTTCGTTTGTGGTTCATTGTGGTAGCTCAACAAAGTCCTATTACTCCTGATATCCTACTCGCCTTCCTCAAAGTCGAGGAAGTCGCTGTCGTAGCACATGGTGTCACGGCTCTCGGTCCAGCGATCCAGCCATAAGCGCATCAAGCGCGGCCTCGCCACATCCTCATCCTTGCACTGGGTGGCTTGCATGCTGCGGCGAGTTCGGAGATACCGTTTGGGAGGATCGGGATACGGGAAGGAGTGGCATCGGGGAGTAAGGACAACTCCATCTTCTTCCGGATCCTGGGCCGAAGCCGGCTCGCTTTGAACTCCCGAGAACTCTTCGAGGTCTGTGCTGGCCTCGTTCCATATAGTTTCCGAGATGGGAGTGGCATATTCTTCACACCACCTGTCAAAGCGGTCGGGACCCCACTTCTGGCACATGTCGGCAACAATAGCGGCCTGGTTCAGTTTGTTGTTGCTTTCCGGTGAAATGTCGGTAGTAGAATCGGTGTTTTTGTTGGTATTGCCGGCTTGGGTGACCATCCCATCCTGGTAGGCACCCGCCTTCTCCTTCCCTGCATTATCCCAACCATCAAGCTCGCCAGAATGATGAGTGACATCACAGCGACTGTGCTGGTACGACCCCTGAGTGGTACGGTTGGAGTTTTCCTTCAGCTGACTGTTCGTTCCGTTCACGTCATCCTTTTCATCCAACAGCTCAAACATCTCGTCGTCTTCCTCACGCCACTTATCCAGTCCTGATGACTCCGAGACAGGCCACTTCGGCGTATTGAGGCAATAGTCCTCCCCAAAACAATTGAGGCGGCGCGCCCGAGGGGTCTTGGTGGTGATTGCAGGCAAGAAGACTCTGCCGTCTTCAACTCGCATCAATTCCTTTACTTCCGGGACGCCATTGTCCCTCACTCCGGCCCTCCTACGGCTCGATGATCCCTTCTCGGCCCATTTGTTCAACCATTCCTCTTTTCCGTGAGAAGAAGAGGGGGCGAAGTTGCCTTTCTTCAAGTCCAACTCAGATGCCAAGGGTGCCTGGAGGCTACGGGTAGAAGCATTGAAGCCGTTCTGCTGAGAGGGAACCTCGAGAAGTGATGTGTTTGCCTGATGGTGATCAGTCTTGGGGTGGTCGACAAGGTCGGTTGATGGCTCGCTGGGCTGGGTGACAATGATTCGGGGAATGACCTTATGCTGCACGGCCATTGACTGGCGGACGTTGGCAGTACGTTCCTGCCTCTTTTTGCCACCAATCTGGAACATCCGGACAGGAACACCAGGCGATGAGGCTGCAACCTTTTGCGCGGAACGGATCTTGAATTTCCTCGGTGTTTTATCGGCGGCAATCAAGCCGGACGGCCCCTCAACTTGGTGACCCTTCTTTGACCGAATGGCTGTTTCGATCTCCACAGCGAAAGGAGGGAGGGTATCCAGGTGAATGCTGCTGTATTCTTCGTTGTCATGTTGGCCGCTCATGCTCTTCACCGCCTCATTCCAGTCATGAGAGGTATCGAAGCCCGGCTGCCAGTTTGATGGGGAGGTAGGAGGCAAGCTGAGTTCCTCAAGCTGCTGCGAAAAGACATCTCCCTAAGATGTCTGGGATCCCGCAGCGGCAGACTCGATGAAGATCTCCCGACAGTGCATCTTTGGACCACGCTTTTGTCGACGTTGTCGGATGGCTTCATACATCATGATCTCATTCCACTCGGTATCGGTGATCTGATCTTCATCAACACCAGCCTGAGCCATGAGATCAAAGACGGATTCTCCCTCGTTGTCCGAAGGTTCTTCTCGTTGGTGAACGGTGGTAGTACCGGTGTCAGAAGTCACAGCCTCTTCGATAGGAGGCGGAACTACCACAGCAAGTACGTGGATGTTATTATCCATGGTGATGGGATGTTCGACGCTTTCTTGTTTCTTCAGGCAATCTCCAGTCTCTTGGATGTTGGAGATTTCGGAGATTGCGGTTGACGATGTCGAATGGGACCAGTTGCTGTCACTTGTCTGTGTGGAGACATTGGATGTGGCCGAGGACGTAGAGCTGTTTACCAGTCGTCAGCATTGATGTGTATGGTATGTCACCTGTGGCATATATCGCTTCACTCGATCGTTTGCGTACCTCGCAGAGTCGGTCCTGATATGGGCGGCTTTGTTCTTTGACTCGGCGTTACCGGAAGGAGTGGCCTGGATGGGCTCATAATCAACAACCGTCTGAACGGCAGTGACCGCGTTTTCATTGACTTGCTCATTGGATACTTTCAATATGTCAGCATTAGCCACAACTGGAAGCAGGTATGTCTCAGGTTTAAGGGACGACATACCTTGATTCTCGAGAAATTCGAACGCAGCGATAGTGGTCACTGGAGTCACGACCAGCTGGGTAGGGGCTGGGATCTCCGATGTGGTGGCCTCAATAGGCGCGATGCTTGCAACGACCATAATTGGCGTGAGGTTTTTGCCGTGGATGGAAGCTCTTGCTGCGCGATCATCTTCGTCCATTTGGATGGGGTCGGTTGCCGTACAGGCCTTCCAGATCATCATAGCCTGCTGCATCGGGAACGGGGGGTTGATGAATGTGTTGAGTGGCGCAAGTCCGACTCTGGTAAGGGCAGACAGAACCGACATCTTGTTTTCGACGCAGGGAATAGTATTTCGATGATGCGTAATGGGGCGCAACATTGGAGATGGTAATAAAAACGACATCTGATGTTGGGGACGAGAGCGATAGGTTGGGTAATGGTTGATGTTGTTTTGTATGTGAAGTTGACTAGGTTTGTTAGGTACGGTGAGAAAGCAAATGCGCAGTTGGACTTGTCCAGTTTGGGATGTAAGAGGAGAGAAACAGACTGGCCAGGACTGATGGAAGACATTGTCTTGTACCCCTCAAGCTGGCACCCAAGGTTTCCAAGATCTAGAGGCCTTCTGCTGTTCGGCTGTCGCCTGGTAACACTTTGGTTACAGTCGTCGTGGTGACGGCGACAATGTTGGTGATGCTTACCATACTGTTCAGGGCTCTTGGAGCAAACATTACCTCTGGGCCAATGAGAATGCGTGGATGGAAAGGTATGTATATTTAAGGTTTGGACCAAATACTGAACAGAACTGAACAGCAAGGATGGAAATCGGTATCAGACCGAACAGCCCGACTGTTCGGCGCCCACTGTCTCCTTACCTGTATACATGTCAGCTACACACGATATCAGAGAGAACCTTGGGAACTATTTAGCAGAACTGCTTGTCAACACCAATAGATGCCCGATGACAGGTAGCAAATCCTGGAGCCGGTTTGCTCGACAACCGCAGTGCCTGTCGCTTTCCAGGTACGTCCAACACCCCGTCCAAGCACATACTTGAACACGGGACAGCCCTTGATCTGTCTCTCTCCTTCCTTCTAATGAGAAGCAACAAATATATCTGTCAAACCACACTGTAATTCGTTGTAGTGTTGATGGCGTGTGAATTGGAGACATCCAGGAAAGTATCTTCCAAACCCTAACCCGAGTCCCTTTTCCCCATGTGGAGATGACGCAAGGACGGTTTGACCAATCATCGTTCGTGCCTGGCATGTCCCACGGGGTAAAGTGCGGAGAGATGCAGATCTCCCGGACAACGACAAGTCGTCCCTTTCTCCAAAACATCACCACCACAACACCTGATCCTACTGCATCTTGACCTATGCCGCTGCCACACTTGTTGACAGTCCAGCTGAGAAACTTTGACCAGTCAACTGACAACGGGAACCTTTTACACTCCTGTCTTAACACTCACCCCAAGCCCATACCGGCTTGACGTCCGACTGGAAATCCCGTGTCACCATGGCCAGCCAAGGCCCCACTCTCGACTACTATTACAATCTCGGCTCACATCACCGGCCCATATCCACCACCAACGCGGCGACTCAGCTCTGGTTTGATCGTGGCCTCATCTGGAGCTTCGGCTTCAACCACGAAGAGTCCGTCAAGTGTTTTGAACGCGCCGTGGCTGCCGATCCAGATTGCGCCATTGCCTACTGGGGCATCGCTTACTCCCTGGGCCCCAACTATAACAAGCCATGGAGCGTGTTTGACGAGGAAGAGCTCCAGAAGACTATCGACCGGGCATGGGAAGTCCTGGAACTGGCAAGACAAAAGGCAGCTGCCCCTGGGTCGACGTGTACTCCGGCAGAACATGCCCTCATTGATGCCCTCCAGTATCGATATCCCAAGAAAGCGGCAAAGCCCAAGAAGAACTCTGCACTGGAACACGGCTACGCCCAAGCAATGGCCAAAGTCTACCAGCAGTTCTCGTCCGACCTGGACGTTGCCGCCCTCTACGTCGACGCCCTCATGAACCTCACCCCCTGGAAGCTCTGGGATCAGACGACGGGGAAGCCTGCAAAGGGCGCCCAGACTCTCGAAGCCAAGCGCGTTGTCGAACAGAGTCTAGCCCAGGACCCGTACCATCCAGGCCTGCTTCACCTGTACATCCATCTCATGGAGATGTCAAGCCACCCCGAGGTAGCGCTCCGGCTGGCGGACAACCTGCGCGGTCTCGTCCCGGATGCCGGGCATCTCAATCACATGCCCACCCATCTTGATGTGATCTGCGGAGACTACCGGCGGGCCATCTCCTCCAACTCCCAGGCCATTGTTGCTGACGAGAAGTGGGTGAGCAAAGAAGGTCACGATGGCGCTCTCAACTTCTACGCCCTCTACCGCTGCCACAACTACCACTTCCGCATCTATGCCGCCATGTTCGCCGGTCAGTACCAGGTGGCTCTGGAAACCGTTACGCAACTGGAAGCGGCCCTCCCCGAAAGCCTGCTCCGGGTCAAGTCGCCACCCATGGCCGACTGGCTCGAAGGGTTCTTGGCCATGCGCGTGCATGTTCTCGTCCGCTTCGGGAGGTGGCACGACATTGTCGCGTTGGTCCCGCCCCAAGACACTGAGCTCTACTGCACTACCGTGGCCATGATTCATTATGCCAAAGGTGTGGCGCTTGCCAATGCAAACCGCACCAGAGAAGCCGAACGCCATCGGCAGCTGTTTGCCGAAGCCGTCAAGAGAGTGCCATCTTCGAGGACCGTGTTCAACAACACTTGCCGGGATATCCTGGCGATTGCTGCGGCCATGTTGGATGGCGAGCTTGAATTCCGCAGGGGCAATGTCGAGCTGGGATTTGCGCGCTTGAGAGATGCTATCAAGCTGGATGATAACCTGCCGTATGATGAGCCTTGGGGGTGGATGCAACCGACCCGACATGCTTACGGTGCTCTCCTTTTGGAACAGGGACGGGTACAAGAGGCCGCGACGGTGTATCGCGCTGATCTGGGTCTGGATGATACACTCCCGAGATCCCTTCAGCACCGAAACAATGTCTGGGCGTTGCATGGATACCACGAGTGTTTGGTTAAGCTGGGAAGAAAGGAGGAAGCACGACTGTTGCAGAATCAATTAGAGCTGGCTGTGGCGTGTGCGGATGTTCCCATCCGGTCATCCTGTTTTTGTCGAAGTCGTCTTTGATGGGCGGTGACTCGGAGGCGAGACGTGTCGTCTGCAGCGCGTTTATTTTCCTGTCCGTGGTGGTAGCGCAGAGTTTATGCTCAACTGCAAGTACATGTGTGCTGTCCTTTATGGGAGGGGAAATCCTGAATTTCAGCATCTGCAGGAAACCTCGCATCATTGTGCATGTTACAGGGCCGGCGCCTGACAGCGGGAGTCTTCATGTAAGGTAGCCGATGCCTTGTATCAATCATGCAAGATCATACCACGTCGGCACGGCTTGGGAATATCTTCATGAGTTTCTTCCTCTTATTGGTATCTTTCTGTAAGTCTGGGCAAGGTAGGCAGGTACGGTCCTTGCACGGTTGGTGTTTTCGCCTCGGAATGAAGGAACGGACAGGAACATAAATCCATGACGATAGAGGCAACTGGTACGTGTAGGCCAAAGGACAACCATGTTCGCCCCTCAACTATTCACACATCCATCCATCAGTTTGCAAAATCCGTCCGCGTGTCCTAATCAACAATCACAGCATATTTCCAACTATCCACTGCACATCCAAGACTACCTCTACCCAAGAAACATCCCATACATTGACCCAGAGGCAGAAGCAAACATTACCAGTACCTGCCAATACAGCAACAACCACAAGATGCAACAATAAGCGCCAACTCTTGAAAGAACCCCTTCACGAACCTCCGTTCCCCCTTCTTGTTTTTCGTCTTCGGCTTCCTTTCAGCGACACCTGAACCCCAAGCATTTCCTACAAGTTCACCGTTCATGTTTATTTTCCCTTTCAGGAAATCTCTCCCAGTCCCCTCCACCTTCTCTTTACCTTTCCACTCACGTGTCTTCTTCTTCTTCCTCCACATGTTCCACGACTCCAATGGTTTAGCAGGACCCACCACACTCTCTTTCCCTTCTTTGAACCTGCTAATCCGCACGTCAGCACGCAAAGCAGCTGCATCTCGACCTGCCCTTCCGTTGGCGATGGTCTCAGCGGCAAAGTCCCGGGTATCAGTCTGCCTCAGCTGTTCATCGTTGTCATTGCCCTGCCAATACCTCCGCGCCAGCTCCTCATACGCCTTTTGAGCCTCACACTTGCCGTAGTGGGAATCGGAGCAGTGCCAGCAGGGGCTGTAGTAGTCCATGTCCCATGTCATGTCGTCTGACGGAGAGTTAGGGGGGACGTTGAGGTTCTGGTCCATGTCGCTGTCAGAAAGGGAACCCTCAGGGGAGACCGAGCGGCGTGGGGCCATGATTGGGTCGTCCTCTTCCTCGTCGGAGTCGAGGTCGGAGACGTAGTCGTCGGTGACCCATGAATATCTCCTGGGTGTGGTGTAAACGTGGTGGGAATTGTTAGAATCCGAAGCGTCGCTGGAGATGTGTACCTCTGTGGAGGAACTGGAGGGGTCGGAGGGGATGCAGGGCACAGATGGGCCGGAAGACTCGACTTGGGCTTGGGAGGGTGTGCTGATTTTCGAGGGCGTGGTGGAGGTTGTAGTGCCTTGTGGCACGGGGTGGTTCAAGTGGTTGACTTGCAACGACTCGGGCAGGTAGGCGAAACCGGAGGAAAGGTGTTTCCTAGGTATCTCGGGAACCCTGCGGAAGGCATTTCTTCTCTGGAGTGGATGGTTGATTGGCTGGGACATCTTGAAAGGAAGGGATATGGTTCTGGCGGGATGTAGTAGAAGTGCTCGAGCAAAGGACAATGGACTGGAGATGAAGGATGTTTTCAGCTGTGACTTGTGGAGGAGAGTCTTATCCGAGAGAATGGAGGCATAAATACCCCAGTAGCGAAACTTGAATCAGCGGAGTTTGCGGCAGAGGGAAATTCCGAGTCACTCGGAGCTCCGAATACACTTATTTGACATGCTTTGCAGGCCGCCTAATTTTTCTGACCTGCGTCTTTGGAGTTTCCTCAATTTTATTTCCCTTTCATACAACTGTTTTCATTGCCCGAGATCCTGCGCATGCACGCACTCTACGCGAGGTGTGTCAATATTGTACTTCGTGTCCATGGAAAAGCCATAAGGTAGGTAGAGATACGTGTAGGCATTTTGAGAAGATCAGGCAAATATGCATACCATATTTCTTCAGCCAATGAAAATAATAGCCACCGGGCAGGACGCAGTGCAGGCGCTTCTTTTTCTTTTTCTTTTCCTTTTTTTCCCCCCGTCCACCGTGCATCCAGAGTGATTGGGAAATCTCTCACTCTCGCCTTAACTCCATCAAAAAGCTGCTTCAACTTCGCCAAAACGTTCCTTTTCTTCTTCCATCATCACAAAACTTTATCTGAACAAGTACTCGACCTTTTTTCATCTCGAGGCCTTCAAGCTTGAGCCATTTCAACCAAACCAACCACATTCAACAACCAAGATGTTCAGTCTATATTGTTCCGTCGTCCGGTCTCTTCAGGTCTTGGCCCCTCCGCCGATATGACGGCGTACACCAGCATCCCGTCCATGTCCCAAGACTGTAAATTCATCACCTTGCCTCCACTTTCAATTTTCGTAACAGAAAAATGACCGAGCAAGCACTTACACTGTCACTTTCACATACAGGCATCCAAGCGGGCTACAGGAAGCCAACTGTCGAGGATTTTGACGAGAAGGAAGAGGAAGTGCGTGTCGAAAGTCGAACGGACATTGGCACCTCTGACGAATACGACCTGTCAGAAGAGGGAGACTACTTTGCTTCCAAGTTTGACTTGAGCACACGCGGCTCGGACACCAGTGGTCAAGATTCGGAGCAGGATGAGCCGAAGGAGGAGGAGAAGAACAGAAAAGACGAGAAGAGGCGGATAATGAGGGAGCAGGCCAAAGAGTTTTTGCGGGCCGCACCAGCGGGGATAAGCGGGAGGGTGCGGGAGCTGATGGAGAAGCTGGCGAGGGGGGAGGAAGTTGAGGATTTGGAGGAGGAGGAGGACTCGGAAGACGAGGAATCCGATGATAAGGAATCCGACGTGGGCATGGACAAATGGGAGGCAAAGGCCAAGATGGCGAAGGAGGTGAAGAGGAGACATGAGGAGGAGTTGATCAAGTATTGGCTGGCAAAGCTCATCAAGGAAGACTGGGAGTATGCGGAGGAGGAAATCGGGGACATGGTCAGGATAGAAAGAGGGGAAACCAGGAGGGAAGCCAAGCTGATTATGTGTCGGTAGGAGCCAGGACAGAGGAAGAAGACAGCTGGCGTCTAGGCTAGATACCTACCTCCAAAAGGCACTACCGATAAAGGTTCGGCCTAGACGCTTAGGAAATGGAAGCTTCTGATTGACCAAAAAAGTCCACACCCCTAAAAAGGAGTGTGCTAAATAAACGCTCTAATTATCAGCAAAGAGTTATAGCGAGTTACTCACTGTGAAATGTTGTATCCCTTCGTACATAGACCTAGATCGGGTAAGCGCGGCCACTGTCCAAATGCTATCTCATTTGCAACCACGAGTAGAGTCCAGCATACCGCACCTTCCTAGCTAGTAACAGCATATGACGGGATGTTCTACACCCTCCAAGCCTCACCCAGCATGCACAACATCCTCGGCCCGCATCCTCCTCACCAGTCTTTGTCGTTCCCAGCAACCACATTTCCGAATCAACCCCAAAATTATCAGGATGACCAAGAAACCAAAAACTCCAACGACAATGAGTACGTCATGCGGCGGTGGCCGACGGGAAGTATCCGGTTCTGGTTCGAGGTTGCTTCCGTTGCCGGTGGTCATGCCGGAGTGGGATCCGGTGCAGTTTCCGGCATTTGCCATGGAAATGTTGACTGCAGTGGAAAGACCAGGGATATAAAAAGAGGTTCGACAAAGATGTCTGTTGACAGCAAGGAAGAATCAGAGTCCAAGTTTAGGACACTCTATTGTTGAAGGCATGGAGACGTGAAGGATCAACAGGGTTTTATGGTACTGGGTCAATTCCTGGCACCATGATCCACAGGTTGGTCACCCCTACGGAAAGTTGATCATTTGGGTAAAGACATCATTGCATGACCCAGAGCCATATCTTGATAGTATCACAAACAAAAGAGCTACCTATCCCATTTCCTTACGGACATATGGTTCACTTGAAAAAGCACCGGAACCCTGACGAAGACAGCAACATCGATGTCAGCCTTTCTCTCGGCCCCACTCTTTGCAACCCCATCAAATGCAATGAGTGTTAGTGTATCCAGCTACATTAAGCCAATTTAGCGCTAATGCACTAACAACCCATCCAACAACATCTCCAGCGCCCACAATGTCTCGCAGCAATCACGACTTCCTCCCAGAACACAACCCGTTCCATCGCTTATACCTAGGTAAACACAGAGCCATACGACATATGGCCACCCGGTATCACTATACGCTCCAGTAAATCAAATCTTACTAACAGCCTCCCAGCATCAGTGTTCCTCCTTCCCACAGCGAATGATTCCAGTCATGCCACCCTTTCTCCAACATGAACGTCATTGCTGACATCAACCGTCCTTCAAGCTTTAACTTCCTCTTCAGAAATATAGAACAGCATACATCCACTCCAAAGCCTCCTAATAAGCTTCCCTAACTTTATCGTTCGCTTCCATCCATTTCGGATCACCTGTCATCTTTATCCAGCTCATCCAGGTCTCGTCCATGTCATTCAGGTCTCGCTTTACATGACCATCGCCATTCTCAGGGGCAGTCTTGCTTTTGCCCAACCCTTCGACGAACCCAGATATAGCCTTTTCAATGTCCACAACGGTTCTCCTGGTCTTCTCGACAGCCTCAGACAGTCCAAGTTTGGAATCTTCCTGGTGGTTTAGGTCTCGCCTCGCTCTTCTTGTAAAGTGTGGGTGCCGCTCGGGGTGTGTGGCGACGAAGAAGTTGTTGAGAGTGCTAGGGAAGTTCTTGGTTGCTTGGAGTGTAGTGACGACGAGCGTCTTGATGACTGCCGGAGCAGTAATTGTCTGCTCGTCGGGGATGGTCTTGATGTACGACGCGGTGTTGACTTCGTGGCTGGCGTGGACATTGTGAGGAATGGCTTGAAGAGACGTTTGCTCGTGACGAGCTGTCGGTGGGAGTACAGCTAGGGCAGAGGCCATGGTTGAAAGGCCCAAAAGGGAGAAGACGGAGAGAAGATGCGACTTCATATTGGCGATGGTTGTTAGGAATCTTGATGTTATTTGCTTGGGTGCTTTGTCGGTTCCTGGTTGCTCTTTTATGACACACGGAGGCAATGGACTGATGATTTTGAAGGGATGCTTGGGATGCCGAAAGCCTGGATGCTAAAGGGCACACGAGGAAAGTCTGGGAAGATATACTGTACAGAGTCACTCAATGACTGAAGGGGACACATGTCTTTTATTGCCTTGAGGTTGAAACCGGCTTCAATCATGCAGCGGATGTCCGGTTGGAGGCAAATTTTCCTGCAAGTTTATGCGAGCCTTATCGCCGGCATTGAGATATATTCAATTCAAATATCCAGTTCCCCCAAAAAGAAAAAAACGATGGTGACCAGGAACTGATTATGCCGGTCTGGAGGTCAGCCGTTCCTGTGTCCTTTGGCTTTCTGGTTTTCGAGCACACGTACGCGGTTCTTTGGTTGTGGAAAAGAACACTGTGCATTAGCTGAGTTTATGATCTGTAACAGGAGTACCTACCTAGGTACAGTCATGCCGCGCATATCTGCCATTCACTTGCAGTTAAGGTGTGCAGTGTTCAATTCCAGGTTCGGACCTGGAAAGTCAACGCCAGCGTGATTTACGTCTTCCCAGGTTACAGTAACAGCCAACTGCCGCCAGCCCGCCACGAAATTCCTACACCGGAACTTGCACTGGTGCACAGACCAAGGTTCAGGGCCATTTCGCGCCTATTTAAACCAACCCAACCCACCCTTCCTGACAACTCTTTCTTCTTTTTCTCTCCATCCAAGTGCAGGGGTTTTACGCGTATCAGTGAGGATTTCGTCCGAGATTGCGTTTTTGCTAGTTGAAAACTACATACCCGACCACTTCCAGTTTCGCTTCGGTTGACTGGGAAATTTTTGGAAACCGCACCTTTCAGATTCTCGCTCTCGGGGTTTACTTTCTTCCCTCCCATTCTTCATTGCCTTCGGTTCCTTGTTGAGGGTTCGTGGTGAGGAAGGAACTATTCTGAACATTGTCCACTGCCGCGCCTTTTCTACAGCTGGTTGCGTACGGCAAGCAAGGATCGACGAAAAGAAAGAAAAAAAAAAAGAAAAAAGCTATATGGTGCCCATGTCAGGCCTTAATGATCCCAAAATGAATTCCACACCTTGCAAAACAATATGGCAAATATGGGAACTCCAATAAAAAGCAACGAGCCGAGGCATGAAGAGATGATGACGACGGCTAGAATGCCAGGCGCGAGGCAGACTTTGCGTGGAGGGCACATAGGCTCAGTGCTGTTATCCATTTTCTCCACGTCGTCGGCAACGGTTTGGTGAGATACTAGGTTCGGCTGCTCGGCGTCTGTTTCTAAAGACATTTGGTGTCAGCTTGGGTCCTGGGGTCCTCATCTATCGGATTATTCGTGTTCTTCCATTTATTGCACGATATTACCATTGGATTAACAGGCGCAGAAGGCATTAACGATCCAGGAACAAGGGGGGGAAGACAACGATAGGATGACATATGAGGTGACACCGTACCTGGACTGTTGATTTCACGTCTTCCACGGCCACGTCCTGTCGGCAGGGAAAAGTCATCGCGATGATGGATAGTCGTGGCTGCTGGTATTCCAAGGCTCGAGTCGTCGCGGTCGATGGCTTGGCTTTCAGTACCGATATTCAAGGCAACGCAAATGCCAAAGAGCGCCGCTAGCAAGGCTCGAGAAAGCAGTTGCGCGCGCATCGTGTCGAGTGTGATAGAAGTAGTTTCTGGAGCTGTCTAACAAAAGAAGAGAAACGGACGCCCAGGCAGCCTAAATACCTTGGCAGAATTGAAAAACCGGTGAATAGGCGAGGTCCGTGAGTTGTATCATTGTCACACATTGTTTGCATACCTTGTGTTGGTCCAAAGTCACAACAATGAAAGCGAACAAACGTGGCTTCGCATCCTGGCCCTGCTTTGTTTCCATTCCTCCCTCACAGTTTTCGTCGTTTGCACCTCATGGAGGGCGGAAAAGTCAAAGAGACCCCGGCACCATCACTAGTCGTAGGTTTTGCAGAGGTAGTTTTGCTCCCGGCCTATGAAAGGAAGAAGGACAGGCGCGAAATGTGAACAAGTCCGGATGTCGGAACATGCCGATAAGCGACAGCGATAGCGCTTCTCTGGCCAATCAAGTGCCGCTATAACAATCAGAACCCCGCCGCCCTCTCAAGTCTTGACATGTCTGGTCATTCTTGTAATGCTCCTTGAACAACACTAAATCACGACAAAGTGAAAGAACAATTGGTAGCTCTAAGTAATAACCCAAATCGTGTATTTCGAGATGAACAGGCACTCAGTTGAAAGATTCGAGTTCTCCGTAAGCATTTTGGAATGATTGGTGTGATTTGACGAGGTCGGCAGATCTGTTAGCGACTCAGCTAAAACGGGGCGCAATAGCGCGTCTACACTAACAAATGTCCAATAGCATTTCCCCTCCCCAACCCAGCGCACATGCCACCTGCCCTGCCACCTGCCCATCCAACGTCGATGTCGTACCCTAATCAAGTCAGAACGGGCATTAGGGACATCGCACGATCGGATGTATCAATATTCTATGAAAACTTTTTCGCAATTCACATCGCTAACAGAATCGGGCATTCACATTATCTCTCAAAGCATCGCTAGCGCTATCTTAATACCTATCTTGGCCATTAATCTTCAACTATCACATCACCCATTTTGTCAGCTCTCCTCCTTCTCTCCTTCACTTCCAACTACTACCTCGCCTCTTATTCTCTCGAGTCCCTATGCCGGTTCTACCGGTAATATCTCCTCCTCCTTCTACTCATCTCATACTCCTCATCAGCCCGCGCCCGCGCCCTTCTCCTTCGCCGAAGCCCAACAAAGATGCCAATGACAAGAGCAACGCCAAACAGACCCAACAACGAGTATCCGACGACCTCACCAGTGTTGGGACCTTCACCCTTTCCACTCCCACTAAGTGGTGGGGAAATGGGCTGCTTGTGCTGAGGCTGCTCTTCTTGTCTTCTTCCCAGCTTTCCCATCTTGAGTGACGCAGCGCAAAGGCCAAGGAGAGTTGAGAAAAAGAGGAGGTGGAGCAGTCGAGGTGTCATTGCTGTCGATAAGGCTTTTTAGTATGTTGGACTGACAGTGCACGTTTTTGTTGCAATAGGGAAACGGGCAATGCTTCTACTTGTACCTTCAACTGCTTCTTCGAAGGGCCTTCCAGGCTCGTTCCTGGCCTCAGCATGCAAACTCGGTCTTATGCTTCATAGGTACCTGTAAAAGGTTTGTTTTCTCTTACATCTTTCAAGACGAAGGCCCTTTTTGAACAGTCCTTCTTGCTCACCTCGCATACGTATCAGATTCATTGCTAACGTGTCTGAGCAACTCGAAAAATCTCTCTAGGTGACCTTTCTTCAACAAACCCCTCACTTTCCGCCCTCGCCCGTTCGTCCCTCCCTTCAATTCTTACCTTACTTTCCCACCTCGTTAGCCCCTCTACTATGATTCCCTTACAGATGTGTTCCTACCTGTCCATCCACTGACCACCAACCACCTACCTCCTACCCCTTCTCCTCTGCCTCCTCATCTCATACTCGTCATCATCCTCCTCCTGCGCCTCCATCCTCGCCCTTCTCCCCTTGATCACACATACCACAAGTATAAGACCGATGATACCAGCGAACACGCCTCCAATGATGGCACCTATCTGGCCACCATTTCCACCGCCCCCACTATTACTATCACTTGGTGCCAGAGTTGGTAGCGGATCATGCGTCGGCTTGGGCTTTTCTGGTTGTTGTTGTCCTTCGGTCCCGGGTCCAGCTTCTGCTCCCCCAGATTCCGGTGCTCCTCCTGCTCCTGCTCCTGCTTGGGGCTGGCTATTTTGTCTCCTGGCCACATCGTGTATCGCGGTGGTGATGGGTTGATATACGGTTTGGGATATTGGCGTTTCAATGTTCGAGGCATTAGCGAGGGCTGGTTGGTCTCGAGCTGCTGGTGGTTTGATGATGGAGGCGGCTGAAGAGGCGACTAGTGAAGAGAAGACAAGAGAGAGGACAACTTGTGGCTTCATCGTGTCGGTGGCCCTGCGGCTTTGGTTAAAGGTCTCTGTAGATGGTTATCTGTTGTGAAGTTCCCCCAATGATGTAGTGATGGCGGACTTCATTGTGGTATTGCCCTTTGCGGAGGGCATTCCTTCTACTTGTACCTTCAACTGCTTTCTCAGATTACCTTGAGCACAGGTTTTCCCTGCGTTGGGGTCTAGAAGACAGAGTCGAGTGACCCAGCAGCTGAAACGGTGAACCGGCCTTGTATCATAGCTATTCCTCGCCTCAAGCGTTCTTCATACCTTACCGACGTTCAGTTGAGCCCAGGGTCTTTACACTTTTGTAGTGAGCAACGAGGCATACACAGCTGTTGGTGCTTCTGAATCCGAAATGCCCCTTTATTGAGTGGTGGCCAAGTCTCGTCAACGTTTGGTGCGACTAATAGGGTAATATCCGTTGGTCGTTCGACGGCAATGATCTTGTGGTTCCACTTACCCTGTAGAGGTATGTGATCAATTCCTACTTAAATTTGCCCCTCTGCTTCTAGTCATCTTGTAAGAGTTTCTGATAAACAATGCCCGTGTTCGAGGAACGATTGAAGCTCGGGCCCATCTCCGATGTCTCCAACGTTGTTCAACGCCGGGACAGAAACTGGTGATAGCGGCGGCTGGAAAGTTGATGTTCAGAACTCGACGGAACGGATTGGAGGACGCCGAAATATAAAGGTGGGGCTGGCAGGGAATGCACAGAAGCTGGCTGGCGCTAATGGAGTGGTACCTGCCGTATTGAGATACCTGACGCGATCTAATTGGTTCTAAACACAGAGAGTGAACCAATGACATTTTCTTTTGACCAGGATGATTTTTACTGCGAAGGAGGAGGGGGAAAATAAAAAATAAAAAATGGAACAAGAGGAAGAGGTCGAAGTTAGGTATCCAAGACGGAAACAAGGACAGCCTCAACATTGAATAGTAGCTTCATAGTAGTCATTCGCTTCTTATAGGTGAAGGGCCGACTTGTCCAAGAGGGTAACTTTATGCTCCCCATCTAATTATCTTCTTGCGGCACCTTCTACTCAATCGTGCTTTGCAAAACAGCCTCATTTTCGGAACAGATGGATTCCATGTCCAAGCACTAAACTCTCTATCATTCCTCTACCTCACTATGAATCGATGGTCATACCGATAGCAACCCCGGTAGCAGCGAGAATGATACCCATGGAAATGAATCCGAATATCTCCCATCTACTGTCCACGCGTTCGCTGCGCCGTGAAGGTGTTCCTGGCCCTCCCCCTCATGGCCACCTGTGGCATTGTCCATCCCCTTCTAGGTTTTCTTAATATCGCAAACATTGGCTTTCTTTGCCTCTCCACCTCCGGCAGTGCCGCCACCCATGACTGCCAAAACTCTCGTGAAGCGCGTCGGCTAACTCGAATCGCATGTCCCTATCGACCCAAGAGATCATTAGCCTCCATTGCTTAGGCAAATACGCGACCAGCAACACCCAAAAGGAAGTATCGTTATATGTTTGCTCACCATCGCCTCTTACACCCTTACCTTGGCAATGGAAACAGATGAACGCACTCTGCTCCGGTCCTGTCTAATCAACAACCGTTCCGTTGTGATAACAGACGCCAAACCAAACCATGATCCCTACAAAAGCAAGACAGCCGAGAACAATTCCGATGATTGCCCCAGGGTTGCCAGCCACGCCTCGTCGGTAAATGGCTTGGTGTCTCCCGTCGTCATTGCTCTCGGGCTTTTCGCTTCCCCTTGTGTCCGTGTTGGTGTTGCTACTTTCGTCATTCCTACGAGTGAATCCGCCCCAACTGCTGATCCCGTTGTCCTTGGTTGTTGGTACTTTGGGTGATTTTTTGGTATCGGAGGAAGTCCCTTCTGCCGGCGACGTGAAGGTGACAGCGTGGGGATGGACTGGAACTGTTGTTGGGTGGCTGATCGTAGTCGGAGTGCCGTCGGCTGAGTCGGAGAGCGCGGTGACGCTTCGCGGGACTCGCAGCCAGTTGGGAACGGCGAAAGCGGTAGAGATGCCGAAGAGGGCGGTGAGGACGAAACTAATGAGGATTTGTGACTTCATTGTTGGTTTTGGCGATGGCCACTTTCTGGGTTGATTCCTGCCTGAAATGCTTCTGATTCAACGAGGGTACGAATGTGCGAATCGTGCTGGTATCATTAGTCGATGGGCGATCGTTGTTATTGTACCTCGAATACCGTCTATGCAGATGCTTCGCGGACTTTTTTGCACGCGCTGTCCAGTGCGTCGATGTCGCAAGCCAAGGGCAGGTGACTTGCGAGTAGCCGCCAGAGTAAACGCCTGTCTTCTTGTCTTCTGCGATTGACGAACGGTAACCGAGCACTTGGCTTGTCGAGGAAATGCTCCGGGGAAACAGATAACAGCCGCTTTGCTAGCTCCGCCTCTAGCTCCCTTGCAGGCGTCCGATGTTGGCTCGTCCGGCCCGGCTTTGTTTCTCCATTGTTCGCTCATTCGCGACCAACGGCTTTGTTGCCTGTTGGCTTTCTAGAATTAGGCATCACTCCCCTGGGAGGCCAAAACACGAAATCCCGCGGATTTTGTATCTGCTGGTTCCGGCGTGGCTCATAAGGCACAGGACTAGCGGAGGTGACGACCGCGGCGGAGGAAGTTGATGCCCATGTAAAGCCGCGCGCGACAAACGCGTGTGGAGGCGTCTCGGGTCAGAGACGAGGAGTAGATGAACGAATGGAAAACTGCGTGCGGTTCGAGGTCAATCTGGACATTGGCTTGGAAATCTGATGATGGTAAAGGATGTTCGAGGAGAAAAGTCAACAATGCGGGGCAAAGAAACGAGGCAAGGACTGGCATGGGATTTTTGGGTGCTGATGGCGGGGTGTTACCGCATCGGGATACCAAGCCAACCATGATTGGCCAGTGGACCGTTATCGATAAACTCATGCTTGAGCCACTGTACTGGATCTCCAGAGCCATCAAATATTCACCAACACGCGCCCACTGTTTACAGCTCGTCATTTTTCATCCAAATCGGTTGTAGCCCGATATATTCAGTAGTTTATCAATCGCATCATATCTATACCATTCCTGAGACCTCTCCTCCCATTTCCCACCTACGTAACTAGCTTCCAGTCCGATTCCTTCTATGCTCCTTGTCATCCACACCATCTCACATCATGTCCCCCATCGATGTTCAGCCTCAGCACGCCTCTCGTCACTCCTCTCCCGGCCTTCCTGCCCATCCTTCCATGTACCACCCATCTCCATGAATCGATCAATGCCCCTGAAATTTGCGCCAACAGATACAGCCACCAATGAGAAACCCAACAGCGAGAATGGGGACAATAATGTAGATGATGGTCATGTTCGATCCCCCACCGTCCCGCCTATGAATGGTACCTGGTTCCTTCGTGTCATCTCTGGTAATTTTGGCTTTGGTAATGTGCTGAAAATGTGTACCTTGCGCTTCTCCTCGTTTGTTGATGCTGTCGGGGGAAACCTGTCCTGACGAGTCGACAGCAGATAGAGCGGTGCTAGCGGTTTTCACATCAGGGCTGATTGGGTCCGGAAAGTATATCGTCGTGCTTTTGGGACTCGCGTCGTTGCTGGGGCCGATCTTGGTCAACTCAGGTGTATCTCGCGAAATGGGGTTCCGATTGGGGAGCACCAAGGCCGCAGAGACGCCAAGAAGAACACCCAGTAGGAGTCGGAGGCGGAAAAGCAGTTGTGGATGCATTGTGGCCAAAGATTGGGGACGAGTGTTTTTTTGATTTGGGCTCGTTCTCCGTGAAACTCGTGTTTGGCGAGCTATCTGGTTGGTGTCCGTGAGAATGCGCGAAATTCGGGTTGTGGAAGATGGCTCAAGAGTTCGACGACGTCACAATGTGCTTGGGAGGCTCGGTACCACTGCTTCCAGTACGATGCTCTGTATCAGATTTTGTGTCAAATCTCCACGCCTTATACAGAAACTGGTTGACGATGTTGATTGCTGTAGCGTGAATCAGCTTCCCTTCTTGGGCGACTAACTTGCAAGGAGAACTGGAGATGTTGTGTCAAAGTGATGTTCTCCATCTTGCGTGATGCACGCCAAACAGTCAAATTATTTCTTAATGCGTGTATGAACGTCCCTCGCGCTTTGTTTGCGGTTTTTGGTCCTCTTTCATCCCGCAGACGCCGATGGCCTTTGTCCGCATTGTCCGGGTCGGTCTGCCGTTGGGGCGAACGAGCTGTTGGTTACTTGTTTTCGAAAACAAAGCAGCGGGCTGCAATGATTCGCGTTGCCGGTGTCGTGGGTTGGTGCCAAATTGAAAGTGAACACAATGGGAAAAGATGAGGATGTCGTAGTTTGGTCGTTTGAACTTTCCAACCGCTCGCCCATTGAAGGGTCATTGGTCTACATATCAGCTTGCTAACACACCCTCCACTAGTTTTGGCTCTACACATAGCTAGAGTTGTTAATATTGTGCTAGCACAACGCTGAAGCTAGTTCCTCCCTTGCGTCTGGGTCAAAGTTGGGTCGGGTGGCCTGCATCAGGCCGTAGTTCCCAATGCGCCGACGGACTATGGATTAACTTCCGTGTTCTTACTGTGAGTCTCAGGAAGGTTGAACTTAACTAACCGTTAGACAAGCTAACGAGTCCATGATCCAATTGTTGACAGAAAAAATTACCTTACAACCTTGCTACAAGCGAAAGAAAGTTTCCACGCCATGGTCGCTATCATAGGCCAGTGGACAATCGGCGATATCATCGTACTTGCTCTGATTGTTGCTTTCATCCTCGCTTTGGGGTACATTTTTGGACAAAAGGCCGCACGAAGGAGAATCCAGAACCAACAAGTAACACCGAACAACAACTCCAAACCCGGTTTGCTTTCCAGACTATGCGGGTGCTGTAAAGGCGAAGGTAACAGTGGAGATGGAGGTGATTTTGGAGCAAATACGGATACGATCACGAATGGGGACAATGGCGGTTTCAACCCAGGAGGCTGTGATGGCGGCGCTGGAGGACCTGCGGGAGGAACGACTGGTGGTTGTGATGGTGGTGGTGGTGGTGGTGGAGGTGGTGGCACTGGGGTGAGCACAAGCTAGATCTTCCTGCTTGGAGGTTATCCCCATGTGCGACGAGGAAACAAGGCGGGCAAAGTACAGATTCCCGGGTAATAAAATGATGTGTACGGCAATAAGTGCCAAGGCGTGTATCATCTGTATGCGAGGCTTGGAGCTGGAGAGTGGCGTGATGTGGTCTTTGCCGAATGTGTAATCATGAATCGGGGGATGAGAATCTGAAAGGGACAAACTTGTGCTGATGAACCGAGGTTTCGTCCTTGAGGGTGCGGTGGCTAATCCCCGTATCAAACATAACCTGGAGGGATTGATTCCCTTCTTGCAAGCCTACTGTTCCGCCGACATTTTTGTTGGGAGGCCTGACGCGCAAGAACGTCGAGTGCTATTTAACGGCCACGAATCGAAAACCTGGTGAAAAAATCTGGTGACAACACACTGGGACATTAATCTTGGGTTGGACATCCGGTCTCCAAATGAATGATACACCCAAGGAAAAAAACGAACGAGTACTCACGTCGAATAGAGAGGTCCCAAATATAACTTCGGGTAGCCAAGCAAAGATTTGGAGTATGTCGTTTCTTCCCACTCTCCCTCTACCGTAGAATCAGCAAGCAGTTCTTGCACTTTTCTCACCTTTGCACTTTCCTTTTCACGCACCATTTCATTCTCAGCTTGGCATTCCATAAAAATGCATCTCCAAATCTTCCTCCAAGTTCTGCTCCTAGTCGCCCTCTCCGCTCCTGCCTCCACCATCCCCTCTTCTTATCCCTCCACCCCAACTTCAATTGACAAGCCGAACCTCAACCCCCGTCTCTCCTGGGACGACATCGTCAACGGCGCCAAGAGTTTGTACTCGCAAGCCATGGCCACCCCTACAAGCACCACCATCGAGGTCCCCTCAAGCACCTCAAGCACCTCGCCAACGGCAGCAACCCATGAAGATCAGGGGGAGAGCGATGAGTACGATAACAACGATGATAATACCCAATTCAAGGGTAGCAACGGCTTGAAAAATAGGAGTAATATCTTGGAGCGGCGGGGATTGTTAGCGGGAGCCGGGTTTGGGTTGGTTGTTTTGGGGTTGTATGGCTGATCAAGGCATCCACAGGAGGATTAAATGCATTGGTTGAGGTTATTCGTGAGTTGTGTGCGGGGATGAGATTGATTGTATGGTGAAGAGTTTGGGAATTAGACATGGTGGGACCTGGGTTGGGGGATGGATCATGGTGTTAGTGTTCGAGTATCTTAGAAGGAGGGACGAATGGCGAGGAGGGAAAAACTGATTTACCTTTCCGTCTATGTTCCAATTATCGCCGAGGTAGTGTTCTGCAACGAAGATCAGCGCAGCAGCGCGTATTTGCGGCTCGTTGGAGGTTGGTCGTGGACAATAAGCTTTGTTGGTGAAAGGCGGTGGTCTATGGGACCCAGCGTCAGCCATGGCATCAGTGTGAAGCTTTCAGAGGAGCCCCCGTTGGTTCGATAAACGGTTGAATGGATAGCCGAAAATAGCATATGAAGCACCAACCAGCCCTGATGGTTCAATGACTGGGAGGTCAGGACGACTTGTGTCGAGAAGGTTAATACGTTGCGGCGCTAGAAGTGAAGGAATCTCCTGACATTCCAAAATATTGTCCAACTTGTTATCCTCTTTCAAATTTCACATTTCGTATACTTTCGCCGCGCGCTTAGCCCGTGCTCCTGAATGTTCCTGCGCGAGTGTTAGCATTGGTGCCAGTCTCCATTCAACAGTCTTAGTCCAGCCATGTTATAAGCAGGAGTGCACACCTCAGAAGGGGTTTGTCTCGAGAGCTGCATAAAATCATGCCTCAAGTCCTTGCCTTCTGTAGAACAGCAGATTTTACCCAGCAAGGGAAGAACGCAATCGTTTCAGCCCCTGACAAACCATCGGAAAACATCCCATCGACACCTGGCAATGCGCTTCGTTCTTCTCCTCTCCTTGATGGCATCTGGCCTTCCTGGCCTGCCTTTTGGCGCCGCCGCTCCGCTTTTATTCACCAGCTCCTTGAGCCTGAAGGAGCGCACCTCGAAATCCCTGCACCCGAAACAAGAGTTCCCAAGCACGACCTCAAGTCTAATGTCAAGAACCATGGTTCATGCTCCATCTTCCAAAAGCCCTCCCACAGCTCCATTGCCGAACACGGTCAAGAGATCAAAGGATACGCCCCGCCCGACAAGAAGACAGCAAAAAGGTTCAGCCGTCGAAGCGAAATCTCCGATCGCGCCAGATGAAGAGCCAAGGGCATGGTACAGCCTCAGCAGCCGAAGTGCTGATGTCGACAATGTCGATTCCCACTTGACCATACGCGCCACCGCTCCCGATTCAGCCAAGGACCCTGACTACAACAAAAAGAACGGGTACTGGGTACCTATAGAACCCGTGTATTATGTCCTTATGGGTATGGGTATCGTTCTTGCTATACACCTTGTCTATCTCCTTGTGCGGTGTCTTGTCGGTGGGAAGGATACTGTCAAGTATCTGAGAACGTGGCAGGGGACGGTAAAGAAGCATTGGGCAAGAAAGGCTGAGAGGAGGACGGCGAAGAATGAAGTGGTGGCTCCAGCTTAAGGCGCAGAGGATCAAGCGGTGCAGGACATGCGTGGGTTTTCAATTGGATATGGTTTGTTTGTCGTTTAACGGGGGATATGGATCATCTGGTATGATTGCCACCGGGCTGAGTCTCGTCTGAGGCTAGTGGTGTTGGATCTTGAAGTAGTGACGTATACAACGCGGTCTTGGTAGAGAATGAAGATTGGCAAGACGTACACATGTGACCTGCAGCCCGGTGCCAGAGCCAGAGTTTGATAACAGAACCGCTGTCGGGAACGGCCCAAGGAGCGACGGAGGGCACTGCGCATAGGGGACCTTCAACCGGTGGAATTGAACATGGACATCTGGATTGCCGTCGGGGTGTCCTGCGCCGTCTTTGTTCTGCTAGGCGCTGGCGGGCTGCTAGCGACACAGAGCGCGAAGCCGTCGTGGGAGGGTCAATAATGGAGTTGAATTAACGGCCGATCCATGGAGGGGATTTTGATGGATTGAGAAGAACTTATAGACCCAAGGAGGCCAAGGTAGGTAGACGAGACTCGCGGAGATGACTTTGGAGGAAAGGGTGGGAGACGTGGCAGGCATGACAGGCAACAAAAGCTGCATGAAGAAGAGAAGAGGCGTCAATGGCGGGAGAAGCGCACTGAATCCCGACTCCGGGCCGGTGAAAGTCCGTGCCCTGGGCACATTGCCGCACTTCTTTCCTTGGGAATTTCTTCTTTTCGACTTTTCCGTTCTGATCTCGATATCACGCACTTTGTCACCTTTTTCAGTCTTGGACAGAAGATGAAATACCGTCCACCATCCGATCGCATTTCGCCACCTCGACCGTCTCGACGGGATGGACGATTCTTCAGCTTTACGGACCACTGTCCCACCATTCGTCTTTACGCCACTGCTGCCACTTGGCCGGATCACGAGATCTTGTCCAACCAAAACATTGGGGCATGAAAGAGCTGAGGTCTCGACCCGGCAGGCTGTGAAGCCACACCAAGCTTATTGGTTCGCTGCAAGGCAACCAGCCCTCTGCCGTCAATACCACGCACCTATTCGGACTGCCACATTCTCAGCCTGCTACATAGACACTCCAAAGTCTTCATCCAACGCGGTGCTAAATCAAGCAAGAGCTGTAGATCGTGGCCAAGACATGGAGCCTAGAGCCATGGACTATCACGCCCACAGCTGTGCCCGGCGTTACACAGCATCTCCAACTCGGATCGAGTAAGACAGGCCTAGACTTCCAAGGTTCCTTGAGATTTATACTAGTACTCCGCTCTCCTGCCCCCCTCTTCACTTATCATCCCTTTGAACCCTGCAGACCAGACTCTTCTGTCCCAAGCAATCAACCTTTCACAACAAGGACATCACAATGGCTTTGACAACAACATTCAGAACTAGCCTGCAGCTTGTCGTTTACCTGGGCTTGGTGTGGGCATGTGGAATGGTTACCCTGAGCACAGCTTCCACCACTACTTTCGCCGACAATTACGAAGGCATATTTAGCCCTATTGATGGGACTAGTGAGTGTAGTTCACCAAAACCCCGGCTGTCTTTTCTAACCATGTCAACTTAGAATCTCCGGTAACGTGTCCTTCCACCGCCATCTTCAGAACCTGGAGTACATTGGCGGCATGTTGCTGGCCAGAGCAGCCAAATTGCTACTTCGTCACCAGGTGCGATGGCGGTACCATGTATGAATTCTACGGGAGTTCTTGGACCTGGTACGTCTTGTCTGGTTGTTGCTTGTAAACGATGTGAGCCGCTGATCCAACGCGTCAATGATGAAGTGATCAAACCTACCCAAATTGCTACACCATGACCATATATGATCGTTTCCCCTCGCATAACCAAAGTTGGATAGAGATAAATTGTGCTACAAGATGGTCCGCCTACACCATATACCGCGAGTTCGAAGACTCGACAACTTCAACGAGCACGACACCAACTCCCACACCATCCGCGTCAACGTCGGAGCCATCTCTCACGTCGGCTGTTACCACTCCCACCGCCAGCACACCGATTCCAGTCTCCACCGCCCCCATAGACCCGAACCCTTCGACGTCCAAAGCTTGGATTGCTGGTCCTGTCGCTGGAGGCATTGTCGCTTTGCTGTTGTTGGGCGCATTGTTCTTTGGGTGGCGCCGAAGGAAGAGTGGACAAGGGAGCAGCAACACGCCTTCAATGGCACAAACAGGAGCAACAGGGGGATATTTCCCTGAATACGTCGGCAGTCCCCATGAGAACAACCACACCTCACAACCACATGGCCCTTCCAGCCCTCCTGCTGCTCCATACCATCCTTCGAATGGTCCTCCACATTATAGTTCACACTCACCGGGACCACATGATGCTTTCAACACTTCTCCGTACAAATATCCTGCTTCCGGAACCTCCAATACGACGTCGTGGCAAGGATCACCGAGGCCAGTGTCTGAGCTAGACGCAACGGGAATGCAACATCAACATACTATCGCCGAGGCTCCATGAGTTGATTTTGTGGGAGCGAAAGCAATCAGGAACACTAATATGTGACGACGGCCCGCTAAGATACCATACATATCAATGCTATTGGGTGGTAGTCAGCATGTGGAAGACAGAAAAGGATGGCGGCCGGGCCTATTCGTCGATAAGAGCAAAGGCAGGAAATATAGAGGGTGAGATGAGCTTTATCGTTGCATGTTCTGCCTGTTGCGCAAACAAGCTCTCTTTTCAGTGACCGTCTCTTACGTCTGCGCCTCAAATGTCTTCCTTTACTCAACTCGAGAGGTGTGCCCCCCACTGATGTTTGAACGAGATGCGTTTACCACGACAACTAGCCCCTCTTCACCTTTTGACTGATTGCACCGCATAGGTGGCTTCCAAGCCTACCTCTACTCTACCTAGCTTGTACCTCCTGTGCCACCGTTGCCTCCTCCTCCTGCCCCGTTATCACCACCACGACCACCATTACCGTGCCCACTTTCTCCATGCCCTCCTCCGACATGTCCTCCAGCATGCCCGCCTCCTTGTTGTCCTCCACTGTCTCCTCCTCCTTGCGCGTGGCTTTGACCCCCATCGTTCGAATCGACTGGGACCAGTTCGACGACTGTTGGGTGGTCGTCACGTCCCTCGCTCCCAGCATCACGTAAAGTTTCACCACGCTGAGCCTCGACCTCAACACCATCCCTTTCTTGTTGCTTTCTCCTCTTGTCCCTTCTCCTTCCCCACCATATCCTGAAGCCGAAGCAGAGGGCGAAGATGAGGACCACGCCCAGACTGAGCGCGATCACTTCGCCGATGTTCCACGAGCTGTTGCTCATTGGAGATGGAGGCTTTTGGTGTGTGCTGACTTGCTGTTTTTGTTTTTGTTGACTTTTTTCCGCTCTGGGGATGCCGTTGCTTTTCTTCAGCTCCACTGCATTGTTAAGAGTCAAACCTCCAGTCCAGTACTCAAGAAGGGAGCTAACGTACCTGTACCGGGAGTTCTCTTAGATCGATCTCATCACTGGGGCATTGATTATCATTTTCATAACTCGGGACTAGATCATGACAAGGCGCCCCTAGTCACGGACATTTCCCCAACTGATGGGATCTTGCTCCTATATAGAACGCCTTTGGTATGGGGAAATGAACAGGCCATTATGGGTGGTCCACAGACAGCGGCCACCCTGGGACAGACGGGTAGCGGTTGGACAAGTGTCGCAAGACTTTCTCCAAGACTCGAATGTCCTTCATGGTAGGGTCGTACTCGCGTTGCCCAAACCATGTCAACCGTTGCGTGGAACGTAGGACGGACTTGTTTCAGGCGGGATGCCAGCGCATTTGGGTGATGGAAGGGGAAAGCTTCGAAGCACACAGTGGGAAAGACGTGAAGACCTCTTCGCTCCGATTGAATCGTGTTACTCTGTCTTCTAAATTCTCGGTCTACCCCCTTTCTTCGTTGGTTCGGGGATTCAACAATTCTTTTGTCCAGCGCACATGAGACATTATATCGGAGAAAAAAAGGATCGGTATTCGCGGTGTTGAAATTCCCCTGCGTAGTTCACGGCGCTCTTCATGTTTTTTCAACTTCACCTCACTCAACCTCAAAAAGCGGTGACGGTGATCGCAACTCCACAGCTTTTTCTTCTGATGGTAACTCAACCACAGGCCTAGAGGTGGCTGACCACGGCCACGGCAGTTCATAAACTTCGTCGGACTTGCGAGATTGCACTGGAGCTTCATGGTTGTACTCAGTTGAGACATCAGATGCCTCAATATGCTTCTTTGCTCTTTTTTGATTCCACCAGAAGATCAGAGCGCCGATGACTAAAAAGGCTACCACGGGACCGGCGGCGGCGGCTGCTATCCACGCTTTTGAACCTGGAGATGATGATTTTGTGGAGTTGGAGTTATCAGTCGGCTGTGCTGTGATGCTACCCCGGAGATGGATAATCCGGGGCTTGCTGTTTTTGCTGGGCCGTCGCTAGAGGTGCCATCTTGAGCGAAGTCGTTGTCGTGGAAGCCGATGGGATGTAAAAGTTGCGGTAAAGTGTAAAATGGCGATCGCCAGTGACGTCTGAGCACCCGTAACTGATCCAACTGTTGGTTGCTGAGGGATAGCTTTCGTACATGGTTGTGCGTTCCATCCTGTGGTGGGAGATGGGATTGATGTTAGTCACTTTGCGTCGTTGCAGGCCCAGTCCAATTTGGTCAAGGTAAGGTTCCTCTAGGTATCTAGACTAGTAGGGACCTCTACGCAGTCGGTACTGTAAGTATGACTGGGGGTGAAGGCTTTGGGCTTGGACATACCATATATGTGATCTCCCATTTCCCATGTATTGTGTGATCCACGAGCAAGCAGTCACAATGTCAGAGTTAAACCAGACATCACCAAAAATCATACATATAGCAAAGATGCTACTGACGTGAAAGGTGCTGTCGTCCGGGCACGATATCCATGATGCTATACGACTATCCGTTAGCCTGAGCCTTCGAGATTCATGTTGATTCTAGGTCATGTTATAGGTTTTCTTTCTTCTTCCTATATCTGCTTCAATTCGGTGTTGTTATTGCAGTGCAAGAGCTCCTACAAGTTTGGGCCGCAAAATCAGTGGTGAAACCGATGAGATAATCTGGTAGGATGACTGTCTTTTGGGTCGATTGTGCTGTTCCGGCATACACAAAACCGACAAGTAAGCACAGAAAGGACAAGTGAATCGTCATCATTAACAGTTCGTAATGCATGAGGAGTTGGAAAGCTTTTACCAAACGGCAAAAATTCCAACAAGTCAGAAACATGGGATAAGGTAGGAAAAATGAAGATCTAGGGTACCATCTTATTAAGCTCTAATCCCGAGGTAAAGAAATAAAAGAAAAGAAAGGAAGGCCCTCACATGACCATTGCTACACACTTGTACCAAATGCGTTATACATGAGCGGTTCAACTCGTCTTGAAGATGCCTGAACCCGTCTCTGGTTGCCTTGTACATCAAAGTCGCGCAATATGTGGAACACGAAACGAATATCTCTCTATTTCATTGCCATCCTCGTTTGATGTTTGCCTCTGACAACGCATACACCATTGCGCCGCTTCCAAGAGACTAACACCCAAGGTTTGAGCAGTTCTTCGTGCAGTAGTCCGAGCCGGCCATCACTCACCAGACCCTGCCCGAATTTCGTGAACCAGCTTCAGGCTTGCGTCCGCCCGAACCCCATATGTGGAGATACATGTACCCAGAGGTAGGTAGGTAGTCGTACTCATTTCAGGTTTGATGGCGTCACGCCTGCCGCCGTAGGTGGCTCTGGTGGTGGTGGAGCATAAACCAGGAAAGATCAACTCGGATTTATGTCAAGTATTACAGCGGCCGCTGTATCCCAAGCCGTGGTATTCTCTTGTCATCGACCGCCACATCCTAATTAGAGGTAGGTAACAACCTCTATACAAAAATTGACCAGCTTTCGTCTCTTTCTCCTCTCGTCATCCGCGGCCTCCTCGCTCAAACCCTCGCCATTTCCTGCTATCCTCCTAATCCCCCTTCATACACAATACCTGCCACCCCCATCACTCGACCTCAGAAACAGCGATGGCGACCGCAGCTCCAAAGTTCTTTCTCCCGAGAATAGCCCGGAGTCGGTCTAGGGGAACACGGCGACGGCAGCTAGAGATAAGACTTCAGTCTTGGATCGGATTATCAGAGGCCTCAACACGCCTCTTGGCTCTCCTTCGCTTCCACCAAAAGGCTATGGCGCCAATGGCTAAAAGAGCCACGACGGGACCGGCGACGGCACCGGCTATCCAGGCTTTTGATCTTCCTGACGAATTTGAAACTCCCGCCGCCCCTGGTTGTCATCGGAAATTCTTCAGAGACTCCTGCACCGCCTCGTTTCCCTGCCCCATCACCACCCTATAGTCAAAGCTCTTCCGCAGCTCAAACCAGCTGATACTCTTCAAGCACGGATACGCACTCAAATCGTCACTCGCCAACGCCTTCAACCAGCTCTGCTTCAACGCGACATCATCCGGCTTCGTCGCCGTCTCGGGAATCACAAAGTGCTTATTATACTTTTTCGCATACGCCTCGTAGAACCCGCCATAGATGTTGCGGAAGTTGGCCGTCGTCTTGCTCGCATAGATGTCCATACCAACTATGTCGACATACTCGGGCCCGGGCCACCACTCCTCGTACAGGTCCATGGTCTTGGCGTTGTTGGGGCACCAGAACATCATGCACCCTTCGATATCCTTGACAGCCGCGTAAACGGTTCGCCACGCTTTGACGAACTGCGTCGAGTTGCCGCGGTACGTACCCGGGCGAACGTACCAGTTCATCTCGTGCGCGAAGCGCAGCCAGACTTCGACGCCTTGGTCGGTGAATTGGCGAACGACGTTGGCGATGTCGGCCGCGATGGCAGGGGTGACTTCGTTGAAGGAGAGGCCGTTGGGCATGACGGAGGCGATGAGGGCGGCGCCGGTGCCCTTGACCTCGTCGAGGTGGCGCAGGAGTTGGTGCCCGTCGAAGCCGGAGGGAGAGTTGATTTGCGAAAAGTAGGAGACCGTGGTGGCCTGGTGGGCGGTGGCCCGATTGATCATGGTGATGTTATCGCCGTTCTCGACGTCGGGATTCCACCCCCAGTAGATGCCGTTGCGGCCGCGCATGCCGGGGTGGTAAGGCATGTCGATGATGGAACATGGTTGCTGGTGTCGCTGTGTCAGTTTCAGGTACATCTCTTTGGTTGGGAGAAGTGTAATAACTCACCCTGGACCAGAGCAATGGATTTGTGGGGGTCCTTGCAAGTGTCACCTGACAAAGTACACTGAACAGCAATAGCAATGGGAGATACATCTTTGCCGTTTGGTTGAGTGTCGCACACTCCGACGGACTGGAGGAAGTGGACAAAGTCTTGAGACTTTAATCGTTTCTGTAGCTCATCGTTATCGGTGTTGAGGGAAATATAGAATCAAGCATGACCTTCAAGAATTGTAGCGGTGGACGCTCAGAACGATTGAAGCAAAGAAGCTGAAAACGGTACCCATATCTCCACTAGATCCGCTGATCCGGATGTTCACCGATGTGGTGGAGATGAAGACGTGCCGATCCGAGCCCGATTCTGAATATTGTCAGGCACTAGCACGTTAGGATCGCCGACTAGCTCAAATCCCAGCCACTAGCTCAACGGATTTGGTCATTTTTGCATCCGGCGAACCCACACACTTATTACCGAAAGACCAAAAAGAGGCTGAACTCTTGTCTCGGGGATGCGGTGTAATCCTCACGTCGGTTTAAGCATTCAAGCTCATGTTCGAGACGCCGCTCGAGTTACACCACCGGTAGGTAGCCCTTGCAGTGATCACAATGCGCGTTACAGTGCCGACAGCGTCGGAATGTCTTATCGCCGTTACAATGACTCGCACATATCCGCCGTTTCTGTTCTAGAACGATTTTGTTCTAAGAATGTTTCTGTTGGTTTCGACGCCGTGACGGATGGAAATTTGATATGCCCAATCCGGCTGTGTGATTGTCTATCAGCTGAAGCGGCTGAACCGCGTTTGTTTACTTACCCCTGTTCAGGTACCGTACAAGCAAAGCCACAGTGTTATAGAGGTAGCCGAGGAAGATTGTGACAAGGAACGTGGGATGTGAGATATGCACTCAATCTCTGCAATGCGGAATTATCAGTCCGTTAACGGCTAGTCGCTATGTTCGACAGTGGTTGCAGAATGCAAGCATCGCTCTGTTGTGTCGGTGTCACGTTCTTGGTGAGAGGTCTTTGTGATGCATCATGCAGAGTTTCCATTGGTCTGGACCATTGTGCCTCTAGAAGCATCGAACATTGGATTGCTCTTCTAAAGGGGAAATTGGCGTTCCGGTTTTCATTTGTGTGGATTCTTTGCGGTGTCGTTGGCGACTCCAACTCTGAAACTACCAACTTGACGGTGCCCTGAGGGTCTCGATATAGCTGTGTTGCTAACGGATTAGCACCGATCTCGAAAGATTTGAACTCAAAGGTCTGGCTTTATGCCCTCGACCCCTGCTATATGTTCATCATCAACGCTTTCGCCTTCTTCATCTAAATTTACCCAGCCAGTAGAGACCCTTGAGCAACACATTCTGCCATACCCATCACAATGAGCTGCTCTGACACAAACACATCCCTCGGCGGCAGCTACTGCTCAACCACCCGCGGCAGCGGCTCCAGCACCAATTTTGGCAACAGTAGCTCATCTCAGGGCGTCGTCACGGTCTCTCCTGGTGTCGGAAGTGGTGGGAACACAACTGTGGGCGGGTCGAGTACTAGCGGAGGTTCAGCTGGAGGTAGTACCGCGGGTGGAAGTTCTTGTGGTTCTAGTACTAGATAGAGGTAAGGTACCTAAGTTGTTACATGATGTATACGGCTTCATCGCGTAGATTGATGTTGGTTGCAAACCATGTAGACTAGAATCATGAAGGAACGTAGTGTGAGCGTGAGTTGTTCATTGAGTTGTTCGTGGTCGAGGCAGTTGAGACTAGAGGTGCGGTATGTTGGCGCCTAGTTCAGTGTTGGCATCAAGGCGCCAAGACAATTGCTTGTAACAGTCTGATCTTGGGTTTTCGGATGCATGTCCTTGACTTGCGATTCTTGTGGTGAGCATCTGGTCGGTCCGTTTTGATGTTCTTGAAGAGCAAGATGTTGGTTTCAGCATCTGGACACTGTAAGTCTTTGAAGCATCGAGGATGACAGTGACCAACTTATCCGTTAGAGGTGTGTTGAAAGCTTCAGGTGCGTCAGAAAGGCCATGTTGATAATGACCGAGTCATCTCTTCAATCATTAGTGCTGGCAAATCTCCCGTCACCAGACCGGAGAGCACATGCACCCAGACTTCGCGTGACAATAAGGGCTCCCTGTTTCGTGCCTCACACAACTCCACCGTGATTCAACCTGAGCCGCAGCTCATCCGTGAACAACTCGACACTAGTTGAATGTGAGGTATAAAACCAACTCTTTCATGAGCAGCCATACCTCTTTTGGTTCTCTCATCACCTCGAACAGCACAGATTTACGACGTACCACTCACTATCGTATCCATAGCCTACAAGCTTCCAATATGTCCAGCTACTTCTCCTGCTGCGGCGCCCGCTCCTCTTCCTCCGGCTCTGGCTCCGGGACGGGTTCAACTTCCAACACCGGCTCCGGCTCAGGCTCCGGCTCTGGGACCGGTGGCAACACTGGCGGCACAACCGGTACTACCGGCGGTGGTTACGGCTCCGGGAGCTCGACAACCACGGTCCAGAATCCTTCCCCGTCTACTACTGCGGTATCTTCCGGCACGGACAGGTCATAGAGTGTTAGTAGTGCGGGGGCTACTGGTGGGAGTTCGTAGAGGTGCACTAGTCCGCAGTGTCGATGCCGAAGTTCTCATGTTTGTTGGACGAAAGATGGAAGATGACGGTGGTTTGTGGCGGGATGGCCAGAGAGAGAGATATGATGATGGAGAGAAAGGAAACTTAAGAAGAAGATTTGGTAAGCTGGAGGTAAGTGCGGAAGGTTAACCGGACGGATTGGGTCCCAACAAACAGGAATCAAGAAGGAATAGCCACAAACAAGGCAGGAATATGAGGCTTGTTGATCCTCAAACACTTTGGCTTGTGTCGTGTTAGCTACTTCTATGCCTTCCTGATACGTGATGCATGTACGACCTAGGAAATTGACTCTGGTGCTTGATGAGACTCGAGTAATTGCCGTTGCTTAGGGCTTCAAAGCAGACACCTCACTCGAGTCACTCAGACACATAGTTCGTGACAACGGAATGACTAATCTAGTTCGGTTAGTAGAGGTAGACAGGATAGTGACGAATCAAGCGTATCGAAGACTGCTTTCTTCGCCGTAACGGCTTTCTGCATCTAACTCACGTGCATGTTTTCATTTAGCGCCATGCCCTACTTAGACGAGGTGTTGGTGCATGCTTTGATATCATGTTGGGTGTATCCAGAATCTGGTGGATGATTGGACTGAGGCAAGGCAAAACGAGAGAAAGAAGTACCATGCGTTGGCTGTGAGTGTTGCTCAGAGTCGTGGGCGAAGAATGTATCAAGCGACGAGACGACGAGCGCGGTAAATTGGCGTCGAAGCATTGATAGTACCTTTCCGCCAACAACCCAATTGCATCAAACGCCGGCGTCGTCTGCCCCCGCTCATTGATTGTTCAAATCTGCGCGAGTGACTGCCATGAGTTCTGATGATGACACCTCGAGGGCGCCATGACGTGATGCCACTAGCAACCGGAGGTCACTTGAAACTGCGAAACATGACTCCCATCGAGAGATGTTCTCTGAAAGGATGGTCGAGGTTGTGGCCACTTGGCGCTAGCAAAGCTGCCGACCAACAACACGAAAACATCAACAACTGATCTCTGATCCCATCCCGCCCATCCGTTTGTTGGTTCAACCCTCGCCTCCTCCAACACCATGACATCCTCAACGTTCACTCGAAGCACGCAAAGAGGAAGTCCAACGTTACTCACTCGAGTATATAGCCTCCCTTCCCACCCTCCCAACTCCAATCGAACAGTCTTCACCAGTGCATCCACTCATCACTTCCACTTTTACACCCCCACGCATCCAGACTACCATTGCATCTCCCATTACAACGTGCCCAACCAATACCAATACCATCTTCAAGCATCCCCCCAAGCATTCCCGCAAACAGTAATCCCAATACCTCTTTGGACTTTGATCAACAACCACCAAAATGCCCGCAACCACCCACCACAACAACGACCGCATCGTCAACTCCAATAATAACGTTGACGACACCACCCACGCCCCGAACGACGGCTCGCGCGGCTATCCCAAGCCCATTGGGCCTGTCAAGCCCCCGCCGAAGCCTACCCGTGAGCAAGAGCAGGAAGGTGGTTGCGAGACTTTTAATATTTCGTGCCCTGGAATGAAGAGGGAGTAGGACGGTCGGCGATATGATAAACCGCGGATATAATGGAGGGAAAATGAGAGATAAGTGGGGAAGATGGAATGAATGAGAAGGATGAGTGTGGTATCAGGAGGGATTGTGTTTGTGGTAGGAAAGGAAAAGAGACGGAAGATCTAGAAGACAAGCAAAAAAAGAAAGAAAGAAACGAGAAGTGATGGTGTGAAATGGAACTGGGGGAAGTGGGAAGTGGGGGGTTGATGTTGGGACAAAAGGGTTTGACTCCGGCTGAGCAATTGACGCAAGATTGAGTTTAAAGAGAGAGAGAAATGAAAGACTTCCACTTGACTTTACTACTTTCCGTTGTACTGCAGCAGCGGCAAGTATGTCTCAGACACGCGTCCATTGTTCGCTTCTCCCAACGTCCCAACATCTCAAACATCCCAACGCTCAACGTCTATGCAGCGCCAAGTGCCTGTCTTCCACATCTTGTCTCATTCCTCCCCAAGCTCCCTTGGAATGCTGCTTTGTTAATGTTTTGTTTTGTTTTGCTTTGCTTTGTATTGTTTTCTCCCATAATCACTGTGTAGGTACGCACGCCAGCGTTGATGGCTTCCATCCGTCGTCTCTTGACCTTGTTCATTTGGCTTCATCGCTACTCGGCGAGGAAGTAGAGGTCGTACTTAGAGAAAGCCGACTTCGGCCCTCGAAACACTCTCCTAGTTTCATCATCACAAATTCACCAGGTCCCCCATTGTACTTGCTTCATGCGCGGGAAAATCGTAGGGTCATGACCTCGCGACGCGGAACAAAATACACGTGAACGTCATAGACCAAGCGGCTTACAGTCGCCGATGTTGATCCAATCTCGGTTGGAGTCGGTCAAATGTTGGAAGAATTTGTTGAGAGGTTGATTTTGACTTGCAGGTTCCTTTGTTCCTCCAGGCAGAAGAGTACTTCGATTCTGTGTCCATCTGCTGACTTGTTAGTCCCAAATCTTTCACTAACCGATGTAGACGCTGTTTTCGCTTTGCTATGTTAGTGCCTGCTAACAGACGAAGACCAGACTGCCGCTGCCAGTTCTCTGCCCTACAGCCCGCGCGGGTGCCCTGGGCATGCAATGCAAGCACTGCGCCTCCCCCAGATCACCACTGCAGCTGCAGCCGCCCTCCACCATCCATTCCTCCCGTCCCTCTCCAATTCTCCAGGGCAACAGTGCCCACACCCACTGTAAAGTACCAGTACATCCCGCTCCCCCTCACTTCGATCCTCGCTGGTGTCTGTCAGTGACCAACTGAACCGTACCTGTCGATCATCACCCACCTTCCACCAGAAAAAGAAAAAACAAGCCTTTTCCCTGTTGCTTACCTCAACTGCACCGATAATCATGCAGATCAAAAGCAATTGTGGGAGTTCCAGTCTAATTGTCATTTCACACTACACTTCACTTCACTACACTACACTACTAACACTACACCTTTACGGACCGACCTTTCCGCTGCCTTTTTTGGTACCTCTCACTTAAAGCGCCAGCCTTTAAAGTAGGTAGGTAGGGTGCCTTTGGAAGAACAATGGACTTGCTCCTCTTTTTCCAAAGATTCTGAAAAACTTTGTTCACTCCCTTTGACAGGTCCGACAATGCCTCGGCCCGCTCACTCGCGCATTGTTGTTATCTACTTACCCATCTTGTTTGTAAGAGAATACTGTCAAGGCAGTAAAAGCCGTTGTTTTATGAGCGTCAATATCAGACAATGCTATCGGTGACATTGCGTGGTCCCACTTGGCATTCTTAGCGAGGGGAGCCTCGGGAGATATGGGAGATTTGGGTGAGATTTTGGGGGGGAAATTGCACAGCAACAGCAGCAGAGCAGTAGCAGTGTAGTAGTGAAGGCAAACATTCCCAAATTTGCCCTCATTTCATTCCGCACCCTTTGGTGCCCGGATGACCTCATGGCTACTCTCGTTTGTCAAAAAATGCACAACCACAAATCGAGTGCTGCAACCGAGAGAGGCAGCAGGCATCACCAACACGAGCCACCAAAAGCAAAAACATAAAAATAGACTTGGAGGAGGAGGGCGAGAAAAGATTCAGATTCGGGGGAGTGGGGGTATATATCAACCCAGCAAGCAAGCCTGTCTTTTTTTCGCCAATCGCCAGTAGACCATGCGCGCGCGCGTAAATATATCCTGCTACAGTCCTCCTTTCTCATAAAACCTCCCCCTCCGCTTCTCCAAAAAAGCAATTCCTCCTTTCAAGCTTTGAAGAATCCCCTTTCCTCTCTCCGTCCGCCCGCCAGCCTCTTGGGTATCCCCATTATCCGCTCTTCTCTGGGCAATAAATCATATTCATTCCATACTCATCAACAACGTGTATCCAAGACAAAACTTGCTCTCCCCAACAACTCAAAAACACCATCAAAAGAAGAAGAAAAATCGTTGGGTATCAAATCTCACGGCAGAAGCGCCAGAGTTTGCCGCCACAATGGACCGGCAATCGAAAAGGTGAAGAGGATTAATGGGCACAAGTGCCCCGAGAAAGTCCAGCCAGCAAAAAAAGAAAAACGTCAAGAAGAAGAAGAAGAAGAAGAAGAAGAAGAAGAAGAAAAAGACCATTCCGCGCCCAAGTCCCTGTCTGTATGTTTGTGTCCATGTGTGTGTGTGTCCCCTTTCCCCGTCAATGTGAAGTGAAGTCAAATGGAGGGGCGCCGGCCCTAAACACCGGCAGCGTCGTAGTGAAAAATGCAATATGCATGAAACAAGAAGGGGTATCCGAGTAGTATTTGGTCGTTGCATGGGTTCGTACGTGTTCGTTAACCGCAAGCGGTGAAAAAAAAAAAGTTTGTAAATATAAAAGGGGTTTTGTTTCGGGAGAAAGGGAGGACAACCGGGGGGACTTGACATAGAGAACTTGCGACAAAGGAAAATGTGTGGTCTGGTGGGTTTTTCTCTTCTTCTTCTTCTTCTTTTTTTACTTTTTTGTTTTTCTTTGTGCTGGAATGAACGAATGAAAGTATTAAAAATGTGCAAAAGCTTGTAGCCAGTAGAGTTGTAAGTGGGCTCTTCTCTGATCAGAGGAGCAGCCCTAACTCTAACGGGTGAAGGTGAAAATATGAACATTGGTGTGCTTGTGAAGACCAAAAAGTTGGTTTGTGTGGTGATGGACTCCGACGACGTGCGCCAGAGTCGGGAGATGATGCGGCGTTGCATGTTCCTCAGGCCAGTAAAGGCTAGAAAGCATGCCACAAACGATGGAAAAGAGCCGAGGTGAGGTTTCGCATCAAAGAGCTTGAAACAGCGATGTGGTGTGGCAATGTGCTTCATCCGTCAGCAACAATGCGGCCGACGGAACTTGAAGAAGCTTCCTCCTCTCCTCCCCTAGTCAAGTGACCGCCATTTTAAAGCATCACGGCAGCAATCGCACCGGCCACCATCGCCACAGCAGCGTGCGACAGACCACCCATGCCACCGACAGCGCCGTTGGTCGATTGGGTAGGCGCCACGCTCGCGGTGGCGACTGGGGCATCAGAGCTGGTGGTGATGGCGATGACGGGCGACAGCGTGGGCACCGAGAAGTGCGTGTTGGTAGTGGCAATGACGACGGTGCTGTTGCCGCGGATCGAGGTGATGGTGGTCACCTGGGGATGCGTCAAGGTGACCGTCTTGGTAAGGGTGGCGGTGCTGGTCATGGTGGTGGTGGACAGGTCGGCCGAGACCATGAGTGGGAGGGCAGCGAGGACCGCGAGGATGGAGGTGGTGAACTGCATTTTGTCGGATTTTGGTTCCTGAAGATCAATTCCGTCTTTCTGCCTTTTTCTTCTTGCTCGTTGCAATTGATGCTGTCAAAGCTCGTCCTTTGATAGTTCCCTTTTGCGCGCGCGTGTCGGTACGTTTACAACGTAAGGTGTGTGTATAAAAGTATCGGTGAGATGTTGTTGGCGACGGGGTTGACGACTACGACACGATGATGATTCGTGACTCGTAAAGGTGGTGGTGGTGGTGATGTTAAAGAATGACTGGCCTGAACACTCCAAATGTAGCATTCAAATGGCGGAGAGATATTTTGATTTGCTCTTGAAGAAGTAGGACTTTGCCAACGAAGCCTGTGGGTGAGCAGATAAAGTACATGTAAGAAAGTGGAAAGAGGAAAAAGGGAAGGGGGGGAGGCGGGCAAGCATGGGTTCAAGAGGAGAAAAAGAAATTGTCTGGATCCACATGCCGAGTCTGGGGTTCGGTCAACTAGGCGACGACCAGGTGCCGGTATGGGAATGGCGCGCGTTGTTGCGAAATTGCCCTTTGTTGACGCCAAGGTACCTGGCCTTTTTGGGCAGCCACAAAGGGAAGGTCATGACCATCAATGCAGGAACCGCCTTGTCTGATTGGGCCGAGCCCAACAGACGGTCTGTTCTCGCCAGGTACCGAGTACCACCAAGACAGGCCCCCTCACGGGCCAAGACGTTGCAAAAGACACCTCGCGCCGGAGGTATCAGGCACCTCATTTCCAAGGGGGGAAAGGATACAGGAAATTGCGTTGTTCGTTAGCCGCTTTTTCTCTCTCTTGTTTCCCCAGAATTTTCTGATCTTGTTGGTTTTCCTGAGACGAACATGGTCCGTGGGCAAGGGCGGTTTCGGGCCACTTGCCCGGTTTCGGGCCTACACCACAATCTATTGAAACATACGATGCCGGCGGGATGCCACTATTTGCGCTTTGTGTTGAAGCGAAAGGAGGAATGCGGCAGATGTGGCCGTGCAATGGGCGGCATTGTTCAGTTTCTTCTCATTGTTGACATTGTGAATGTGTGAGTCTGGATTCCCGATTTCCATTTGCCAACTGGGGGCATTTCGGCGACCACACACTTCATGTTTCCATGTTTGTGCTTATCGTTGATCCCACCTTACGACACCATGATCCAACGGTATCAAGGCCCAGCGAATAATCACCGACAGAACCGCAAAATCCACTGGTGACGACGTCGGTGGCGTGAGTAGGTAGGTAGGTGGTTTGGGGGGGAAATCTTTCCGCCTCCAGCACCCAGGCACGTGCCAGGGCACCACAAGTGTAATTTGCGTAATTTGGTCGGCGGCAGGGAGTTCCCGTCGGTGATTTGTTGCGTGGGTTCTTTGTCTTTGAACTGGCGGCATGATGCGGCGTGGGAATCGCTTCCAGGTTCGCTTCGCTTCGTTGCTGTCGGGCGTGTGTTGCCCGTCCGGGCGATTTCTCATTGGTTCAAAAGGATGAATGAGGTAAGAAAAAGTCGGGAAAGAGACGACGACAATGGTACCTGGCGCTAAACCGTTTCCAGCTTTCCTTTCGGGAGACAAACCCCATGCATGTCCCCCCCCCATTGCGCAATTCCACCTCTCAAATTGAGTTTGGACGGTGAAGAGCCGCTCTTGTCAAAAGGAAAGATCTCCTGCTCATCATCGTTACCTACTCACATCGCCGACCATCTTGCGACCGTTTGGGATGAACCCTTGCTTTCTTTCCATCTTCCCCGGAACTATCATCCACCACCAACACCACACATCTGATCATCCCTCAACGCATTCCCGACACATCCTCTGAAAATCCACCCTGTGAGATTGGTTCAGACAACCCTTGTTGACTGACAATTGTGTACATCCAGATGGGAAAAAAAAGCTTGTTTGGGCATCCGTCATGTTGATCACTCACACAGTCAGCCAGACCCCCATCCTGATTACATTGCGAACTCCATCTAGATCGTGGGGAGATATCTTGCGGTGAGCGGCAGATGTAAGAAAAGGGGAAATGAGTGAAAAAAAAAAAAACAGTTGATCGGGTACGCTCGCCTCAATTGGCTTGCATCATGTTTGACGTGCCAACAGGGACCATGAGGCAATTAGCTAAGGCTGGATGACAATCGTTGGTTACAAACCCAAGTCCGAAACCGTGGAGACATGCATACTCCTTTCTCCTTTCTTCCTTCGTGCCCTGTCTGTACAGCACTCGAGTCCTGTGGTTTCTGTGACACAAAGCTGGGACCAGGCAGGGCATGTCCGTCGGCTGTAGCATCGCGACGGAGCTTCCAGTGAAAACATGATCCGACAGTCTTTCAGTCCCCATGCGGACGGACAGCTGCATGTTTAGACCATCATCATCAGCCACAAATCGTATGGAAGAAACTGAACCTACATGCAGCGTTCCGTAGGATGCAATCATCAACGAAAACGCTTACTGTTGGCCAGCAAGGCTTTGTTCTTTCTCGCGAAACAAAGCCACAACCACGATCCCGAAGCCCCTGTTTATTATAGCTAACCCCGGCTCTTAGCTTGCAGTGGTCCTATCCGCAAAACGCCCGAAACCGCAATTCCATCGCGGTAAAGAAATTTCGGGCTTGAAACACAGGCCGGAAAGAGCCGAATTTGATATGTACCTATGTATGTGAAACCAACGGTGGCTACGATTTGTCGCGGAGAAGCGATCTGATTCGGTTCGCTACCTATGCGAGAAGCTTGGTAAGTGTAGTGTAAGAATCCCTAGGGTACCTGCCCCGTTCATATTGTCAGCGCTTAGTAGTTCTATATCGACCTCGCTAAGACCGAAAGGCGTGGTGATGAACGGATTATGCCGTTCTTGGGTGTGAGCAACCAAACGCCTTGTAACAAATCGTCAATGAATTGTTGATAGGTAAGGCAAAGATATGTAGCTTTACTGCATACTCCGTGGTATCATCCATTGCTGGGACCATGCCATCCCAACAAGCTGTATCAAAAATTGGGCGGCAATCGATCCTCATCCTCTTCAGAACCCAATACACCGCAGCCAATGCTGTAAACCCATAACTCCATATCCCAATTATGTTGGATAACCTTTGTAGTAGAACCCAAACCCAAACTCCGCGGACATGTCTTCCTGACCTCCCAAGGTCCCCTTCTCCCGCTTCACCTCCAATTCCTTCTCTTCATCAGGTCGCCCGCCACCGAACCCCCACTTCAACACAACTGACAGCTCTCACCCTCGCCCCGCTCCCCTCCTCTTTCTCACTCCCATCCTCCCCACCACCATCTTCTTCTTCTGCCCTAACAAAATCATCCACCCCCCTCACCGTCCTCGTCCTCAACAACACCATCAGATCCCGTTCCCTCGTAAAGAAACACCCCACCTCCACCGCTTTCTGAATCGCCCTCCCCGTCGCCACCAAAACCACATCATCCAGCGCGTCTTCCACCGGCCCCAACCCATTCCCGCTTCCTCCCTCTTTACTGCCTCCACTAGTGGTATCCAGAGCAGCTATCCTCGCCGTTAGGGGTAAACCCTTGGTAGACTGTTGTCGCGACAGGGACGATCGCGACTCCAATCCTTTGCGCACGCGTTTGACGAGCGACATGAATGGGGCGTTGGATGTGACTTTTATAATGAGCGTGTGGGGAGCGCGCGGTGGAGGGCGGTAGCCGTCGATGTCGGTGGGTATTGTGGAAAGAGTTGAGGAGCGGGAGGTGTTGGAGGAGGAGAGGCGGTGGGAGAGGGGGGCGGGCAGAGGACGTTTTTGGATGCGGGAGCCTGAGGATCATAAGAGGATGAGTTAGTGCTCTGGTCTAGAGTCATTGAAGAGCCGTTGAAGAGAGGAAGAGAAGGCAAGGGAAGAGGGCAAAGTATGGAGGACACGCGTACCTTTGGGGAGAGGAGGCATCTTTTGGTCTGGCCGGTTAGGCAGCGGTTTGGGTGTTGTTGATGCCTCCATTGTAGCTGACTGGGCCGATGAGACTTTGCGCGACACGATTCGAGAGTCGAAGAGTTGAGAACAGAAAGTTGCCTGGGGTTGTTGCGCCGACACTCCTTTTATGTTCGAATCGCTGATATTCCAACAAAAGTCCTGAAATTGATCCCCGGTACGTAGTCTTTGAACTGATGAGTCTGTGAAACGGATGAATAGGCGTTGTCGTCAAGATTGATGGCAAACAAGATGGCCAAACGGGTGTTGCGATGATGGACAAATGCCAAATCAAGAAACCGTCAAGATTCAAGAGAGTGGGGTCACTTGCAACCCCAGATTCTCCTACCGCTTCACCGCCTACTGTATGCAGTTTAGCCTGCTTTTGTGGCCGCGAAGCTCCCCCACTTGGCTCCATGCACACCAAGCATCCGTCATTGTCCCAATCATTGCCATGTCGTCTTCAACTTGTCCAGCAACGAAAACAACCGAATAGGCAGCATCGTATCATCCAAGTATCCTTCTGGCCACCACACGTTGACCATCCGATTATACCAGCCAGATGATGGATGCCTGAATCAACAAGACGAATTACCAATAATACCCTGCCCGACTATCACCAACCATGTCTGTCGAGATCTGGCCACCTATTGCGCCCGATCAGCTTAAAGCCGCCGTCGAGACATGCCAAGTAAGCATCCATCTTGTTGCGATACCATGGCTGTAGACATCTGTGAAGGCTGGGAGCTAATTGATTCGCCATTTGTGCGCCCTCCCCCTCGACAGAAGCGCGAACTCGACTGGCTTGTCCAAGATCTCCGCGAAACCCTCACCAACGTCAAACATGGTCTCGAGGACTGCTATGCCTTGCTTGCCCCCATAGACCCGGGCAGCACCTTGGTACTCAGCACACCACGGAACGAGATTGTCAAGGGACACATAACACGGGTCGGAACACGGATAGTCAAAGGAGTCAGTCACCATCACCAGCCTCTTCCCCTGCTTTCGACTAACAATATCATGACCAGACGATTCACCTCCGTCTACGCACCCTCCCCCAACAAACGCTCACCATTAACCCCGACCACCCAATCCATCTCGCGCCGCTCGTTACCTTACACACCCTCCTCACACACTCCCTCGACCTCCTAACCATGACACTCTCCTTCACGTACCCGACCGAGTCCGATTCCGCCAAATCACCATCACCATCATCATCCTCATCATCTCCCCAACTCTCTTCCGCCGCGTTTCTGTCCTCCCAACTCCGTCTTCTCTCGCAATCCATCTCCGAATCCATCGCCATCCTAAAAGGACCTCCGCTCGTAACAGCCGCCGACCCCTCCTGGACTACCAGATCCATCGCCTCTTCGCATTTCGATCCTCCCCTAACAGCCGCCACCGCCTCAAATCATGGTCTTGGAGCGACATCAATACCACCCATATCGTTCCATCTAAGTATCCAAGAAAGTAGCATCGTCCTTTGGTTACGAAGTCTCGAAGCAGCCGACGCCCCTGTAGGGTTCGGGACCAAGCTCGCCTTTGCAATCGGCACCGCACGCAGACTGGAGCATGACGAAGCGGATCGGGTATTTGGCTTCTGTTGTGGTGGAGAGGGTCATACAGGTCCTGGAGGAAGTCCAGGGAGTATGATGCCATCAAACGGAAGCAACAATAATACGACGAGGTCTACTACGACGCAGAATACAGCGGCGGGAACGGGAGCGACGGGGCAACCAGAAGTGGACGTATATGTGAGGGAAAAGGTTCGGGTGGAAAGTGCTGATCCGAGTTTGCTGTCTCTTGCAGCGAAACTGACGGCTTTGGGACACACGCTGGGTTTGGCGAGGAGGAATTTGGCGGCGGTCATGGGAGAGGAGCTGGAGGATTAGAGGGCCAGACGGCTGCTTCTGTCCGCGAGGGGGAGTAGTGAGACTTGTTCCGGGTCGGACGGGACGGGGGAGATGGAAAGTGTTTATGCAAGTCGTTGGTGTTGTTGTTCGCATTGGTTGGAGTTGGATAGGACATTTTATACCAAGGGGTTCATGTGTTGTTTTCGTCATTGTTGTTCGTAGTCACAGTCTCTTGGGGGTTTAGCAGGCGCTTTGTTTATTAGTATGTAGTATGGTAGCTTCTCGAGAATTGGTACAAAGACGATTGTTATTTGTTCATCAGATCTCAGACCTGATTGCAAGATTCGCCTAGCTCGCTAACACTCCACACAACATAAAACGCAGCATTTACACATGATCCCTAATTATCCTCCAGTTCCAATAATTCGTCCATCTCTTCACTACTTGCCCTCAAGTCCTATCAAATCTCAAGCGCATATATCCTTGAAATCTCTCTTGACCTAAATCCCCGGGCTCACGCAACAGGACTCCAAGGCATCGGCACCAGAATCCGGCTCTTCATCGTCTGAATCAGCGGCACAGTCTTATGCACCGTCTCCGCCCACCCTTTAATCGCCCAACTCTCCTCCCTCTGCCTTCTTCGTTCCTCGAGATCGGCAAACTGCCACAAGTGATGCACCGTATTCAGGTCGCCAATCTGCACGAACCAAGCGCCCACTCCTTCCATGACTTCCCTTCTAGCCTTTAGTCCTCTCCGCCAGTGCGTCTCCCACTCCAACAAATTACCCGGGTGGAGGGTGTAGGAGCGCAGCTCGAAGATACCGCCTAGTTGGCGCGGGGGTGTGGTAGGCCAGAAAGAGAATTCTTGCATTAAAGAGGTGTGTCGCTTGGAAAGGAGGGGGGCGAGCCGTTTGGAGAAGGAAGCGTGGGCGTTGGAGGGGTGGGAGCTGAGTGAGGAGAGTGAGGAGTGCAGGCCTGTGTAGCGCTGGTATTCCCAGATGTGGACTTTTTTTCACACAATTCCTAGTTAGCATAAAAAACCATACTGGGGAAAAGGGTAGTTAGGGAAAAAAGAAAAAAAAAAAAAAAAAAAAAGGAAAAGGGTGAAAAGAAAGGACACACCAAACGTATCAACATCCCCCACCTCCCCGCGCCAACTGCCCACCAAATGCACTCGATTCTCCGGATCCTGCGCCCACTTCGGGTACCACTCGCCCACCAACCCCACGTACTCGTCCACGCACTCAGGCTTGACTTGGTCAAACGTGATGCTGTGCACGTACTTGCCGCGCGCTAGCACCTGGCTGAAACTCGCTTCAAGACGGGCATCCAGTTCCCTTCCTTCTTTGGTGCCGTAGATAAGATTCGTAAGGGGGCCAGCTTTGCGAGGGGGTTCGTGGGCGGCGGCTTCGGCGGCGGCGAGCTGGGCTGCTTCTGTTTGTTTTGTCACAGTGTCAGAAAGAGAAGAACAAGAAGAAGAGTTGGAGGGGGGGGAATGAAACGAGGCATGGATGATTACGCACTGGCTTCCTGTTGTCGCTTTTGCTCTGCTAACTGTTCGCGGAATAACTTTTGTTTGGCGTTGAAGGCTTCGACTCCGTTGGGCTTGATGTCGGCTAGAGAGGGGGTTTTGGAGAGGATCGTGGGAGTGGAGGAAAAGGGCCGGACGACGCCGCATGGAGGGCGCAGGGCGCGGAGGGCTTGTCGTGATAGCATCTTGTTTGGCTACTTGACTAAGGATGTTGTTTGTTGTCTGGAGAGAGTTGGAGTTCGACTGCCGTGGTTGTAAGTGGTGATGGTGGTGGTCGAGTGCGACAAGTGACCGGCAGTCGGGTTCGGTAGACGGTTGGTTGTATTTGTTACGTGCAAGTATACCTGGGGTATGTATACTTGTAGATGTATTGCTCCGTGAAATGCGACTGTTGCGAAACAAGGGAAGGGGGCAACCGCGAAACTCGTGGAAATGGGTCGATAGGGTCAATTCGATGGCACGACCCAGCTGTGGTAGTGGTTTGATTCCGAGGTTGGACAACGTCTCGTTTACCAAAAGGAAAGTGGCAGATCGGCTTGTTGTTTGTTGTGTTTTCTTTTCGGTTCCTGGAGAGGGGGAAGCAGCTTTGCGAGACAGTAGTTAGCGCGCGGGGAAGCTTCCTTTCTCTCCTCGTCTTGCAAGCTAAAGACTGGTATTGTACAACAATGGAACGACGCAGATCAAAGTGTGATGACTGACAAGGTAGACAGAGTTTGGTCGGAAAGATGGTCCGAACAAAAGTAAAAAGACTGGAGGGAGGGAGGAGATCAAGAATTATTGGATGGGCGTAGGCTGTTCATCAACATTACCAACTGGTACTCCGGTTGCCCTGTTTCCAAGTGTTTACATAAATCAGACGATCAACACTGGAAGCGCCCTGAACCAGATGCTGAAGCGAGCACTGGCGACCTAGACCAGGCCAAGGGAGAGAACGGAGCTGCCCCTGTCCGGTTTGCTGTCCAGCAGGGTCCTCGAACTCCATTGCCGTTGACCTGTCCACCAATGGAATCTCTCCAAATCAGGCAGCTCTAGACGGGACCCTCCCCGCAAACGGGAGTGCGGGGTATGATGTCACGAAATGGACTCTGGCATTTGTCACTGACGGAGAAAGCTTTGCACGTGCAGTCATACGTGACATGGAGCACGTACCAACTTCTTGGTGAAAGCAAAAGAGACCAGCATTCACAAGTCACGTGTGCTACTGTACTTTTTGGGTATTTAGTGGGGGATTCTGGCTGAGATTTGTCCTCTTTTCCCTTTTCAGACTAGACTCAAAATGATAATCCATGCTTCGAGAGCTTGGAGCTTGGGCCTCTGAGCAATTATCGACACCTGATATTTCAGGCACGGCCCAACATTCAATCGGCCGCGGACGGCAAGCTCACGAAAAACGCTCGCCTGGAACAGAGCCGACCCTTCTTCCGTCACTCTTGAACAAACCCACTCCCGGACTTCAACCCAGTTAGCCCGCAAAATACCGTCAACATGTCTTGGTTCGGCGTCACCCCCCTCAAGAAGTTCCCCGCCCCCGTCTGTATGTTGCCGTCCCAGGAGTCCCTTTTGCCATCTCAAAGATTGTCTGCTAATGCCTCTGTAAACAGTGGGGCCGATGGCTCCCTTCTTCGCTGCCGGTATGCTCCCCCCTCCGGCGACCTTTAATATCTCCCGGTCCGATCGCCGAATGCACCGACGACATGTCCAACCATGACGACACATACATTGCGACGACAAGGATAGATGTTGGAAAGAAGTAAAGAACTGACATGGCGCAGGTCTGGTCATCGCCTACGGTATCAACTCTCTCCAGGGCGCTCTCATGCAGTGTACGTCGCGAGCTTTCCTACGTGTCCCATCCGGTATCTCCGACTGACCGAATGAACAATAGCCGATGAGTGGAAGAACGACCCCCGCAACATCTACGCCAAGAACAAGGCCGCCACCCACTAAGCGATTCCTTTGAAAGAATGGAGGCGACGGTGTGATGATGCAATAGACGACACGAACAAGACAGCTTCTGGCAGACCCTAGACCTATCGAGAACCCCAATTACCCCCCAATGGACCGTTATCTCCATCATCCGCAGGAACTGGCGCCAGTGTATTTATAGAGGGAGAAACAGGAAGTGACGTGTGTGTCGGATGTTGAATGTTGTGGTTCAACGCTGCCGTGATATGCGCCCATTGACGATTCGAGTAACAACAACAAATAACGATGCGCGAAGAGGAGGAGGAGAAAGGAGTAAACATGGAGAGATAAGTGCGTGCAAGATTCGACAATGCGCTTCCACCCATACCTCGATCCATTGACCATCCGGGGGGAATACCACACCTTTCACCTCCAGCAGTTTGCCAGCAGATGCGCTTCGGCGTGTCGCATTCGCATTCACATTATTTGCCCCATTGATATGGATGTGTTCTCACTGGCATAGAGCAACCACCCGATCACGGCCCAGGTTGAGAGATGCTTTGTGTTTCAAGGATGCCTGGGAATAAACAGAGGTTACATCCTTTTGTTTGTGGGGAGTTGGGATTGTGCAGTTTGCGTTGTAACTTATATGTACATGAGCTTTAGTCCCTAGAAGAGACCAAATTAGACGAAAAATAAACAACAGCTTCGTGGGGATCTTATAGCGGTCATACATGTGGTGTTGTTCTGTGATGCTGGTGTCAATTGCTGTCCTTATCTTGCTTGGCCCCTGATTTCTAATCATACGAGGCTCCGGAGTCTGGACGGGGGCGTAGTGAGCTCACAGCCGAAAATCCGCCGTTTCAAGTCGCATCAACGGACTCGGCCACGACTCATCCTCTTCACCTTTCTCACATGTTCCGCGTCCTCATCCGCACTCCCGCCAGATCATTTCGGATCCTGTGCACCGAGCCAATCTCACGATCAATCACAACCAGTAGCGTATCCCGATTTACAATCAGTACCAAAATGGCCGACAGCGCGCAATCAACACCTGTCGACTCATTGGCATCGACGCCGGCGCCCAGCGACACTGCCAGTGCCAATGTGCCTGCCCAGCAAAACAACAAGAAGCAGAACAACAAGAAGCAGAACAAACCTCCCCATCCCAATGCCGCCAATGCGAAACCGAAGCCGGTCAAGAGGGAGGTGAGGATATTGATGCTTCATGGTACGTTGACGACATTTCCTAGTTGCACGGACAAATAATCATTCAAATGCCCCTCCATCACGCCAGACCCCGCGCCCATCTCACCGAGTGGACTCACCTCACTCACCGTGCTCACCTCGACACAATTCCTCCACCACCACCACCACCACCACCACCATGACATTCACAACCCCAGTGCCCATAAACTTCCAAACGCCAACCCTTCCTTTTTCTTTTTCAACCTAACTGCGAAACATCCAGACTAACAAGACGCAGGCTACACCCAATCCGGCCCCCTCTTCCGCGCCAAAACCCGCGCTCTGGAAAAACTCCTCATCAAGGCCCTTTCCCCCTTAAACCTCGTACCAACCCTCATCTACCCCACCGCCCCCAACCGCCTTTCCGTCTCCGACATCCCGGGCTACGAACCGTCCACTTCCGACTCGGGCCCGGGCGGAGACAAGGAATTGTCAGATAGTTGGGCTTGGTTCAGGCGGGAGGAAGCCACCTGGAACTATAAGCTGATCAACGAAGGGTTTGAGCGGTTGGCGGAGACCATGCGGGGTGTGAATCTGGAAGGGAGGGAGGTGGTTGACGGGCTTGTTACTGACAGCAAAGTGGACGACGGGGAGGGTAAAGAGATAACAGAGGAAAGGAAAGAAATGAAAGGGGTGGTCAGGTCAGAAGTGATTGATGGTGTCATTGGCTTTAGTCAGGGCGCAGCGATGGCTGCCATGTTGACTGCTGCTATGGAACATCTGGCGCCAGGCCAGCCGCGGCCCGTCCTGACGCCCGACCATGAAGGGTGGGTGAAGCAGATCCGGGAGGCGAATAAAGGACAGCCGCTCAAGTTCTGCGTGAGCTATAGTGGTTTCTTTGCGCTGCCGCCCGAGTTGGGGTGGTTGTGGGAGCCCAAGGTCCAGACGCCCACGTTGCATGTATTGGGTAGCTTGGATACGGTAGTGGAGGAGAGTAGGTCGCGGAGGCTGGTTGAGGCTTGTGAGGACCCGGTGGTGGTGGTGCACCCGGGAGGACATTATGTGCCGGTTAGCAAGGAGTGGGTGGCGCCGTTGGTGGGGTTTATCAGGGGGTGTTTGGAGAAGCATCAGCAGAAGACGGAGGAGGAGGGTGAGAAGAAGAAGGTGGAGGAAAGCGTTTGAGGTGTGAATGACTAGAGGTCTATACAGGTATTTTGAACTTACAGGCAGTAGAGGAATAGACAATACACCGCAAGAGAAAATCCTTGGTTTGTCCAGTTTTCACAATACACTAGAATCATCACTGAGTAAGTTGAGTTTTCTTTACCCGCTGCTTATCATACAAGCTCACCGCCCCTTACAGTCATTCATCCATCCAGCCCTCATACACAACATGCCCATCAGGCATGCACATCTAGCGCAAATTGTGACTAGTCTCCACCACGCTCTTGGGCGGAATCTCGCCCATATCCGCCGCCATATCCGGCTCCCACTCCTCCTCCTCTGCTCCATGTCCATGTGCCTTCCAATGATGTCCGCCCCGCGGGCCCTTGGGCAGTGGCTTTCTGCGATTCAACTCCAGTTCATCCTCATCCCCATAAATGTTTCTCTGTGCTGCCTTTCTGCCATATTCCAAAATGTCCTGGTCGTGATGACGGGGCTTGCCCTCGGTGTTTTCGTAGCCGTGCGCCCGCACCTGGTCGGGCGGCAACAGGTCCGGCCGCGAGTGGTCAAAGGTCTCGTCGATGAGTTCCTTGGGATCGAGACCCCAGCCTTTGACGATCTCTTCGTCGATGCGGCCTGGCGAGTGTTGGTAGATGTGCGCGGTTTTGTCTTCGGGACCGCCGACGCCTTCGTAGACGTGGCCGTGGAGGAGACTTTTTTTTATCATTGTCAATCAGTGGTTATGTTTTTTTTTTTTTTTTTTTTTTTTTTTTTTTTTTTTTTTGCTTTGCTCGCTCCGCTCGATATGGAAGTGTAGTGTTGTGATGGTTTAGAATGAGTGAGAAAAAGAAGGAAAAGGGAAAGAAAAGGAGAAAAAAAAAAAAAAAAAAAAAAAAAAAAAAAAAAAAAAAAGACTTACTGCCCCTTATCATCCCGATCGCCGCCCTCGGGCTCCGGAATCTTCTTGTCCCATGACCGGTTGGTGCACAGGTCCTCGCCGTACCGGATCTCCGTGTCGGGAAACTTCTTGGTCGCCTCGAGGTCGTTGATGCCCGGGGCTTCGTCCTCGACACCGGCGGGTCGGTGGCCCGTCTTGGCGTACCACGAGTTGAGGTCGCGCTCGGCCTCTTCGGCGAGGGCGTTGAGGTCTTTCTGCTGCTGGGTTTTGTGGTGTTCGGTGGAAGACATTCTGGGTGGTGGTGTTCTTGTGTGTCTGACTGAATGGTTGTTTGGTGTGGTGGTTTCTTGAGCTCGTTTGGTGTGTTCTGGTCCTTCAAGTGTTCGTCTCTTTTTTTCTCTTTTCTCGAATGGCTTTATTATTTGTTTGTGTCTGACTACGAGAATGAGGAAGCAAGGCAGTGCGGTCGAGCTTTGAGATATATTTACAGGAAACTCCTCCTCACGTAGGCGGGCAGGTTCATGCTCATGTCAAAGCGTCGTCGTTAACGTCATTGCTTGTCGAGAGGAGCAACTTGATTGATCAATGGAACTGGAAGCCGTGACTGCCCCTCTCTTGTCAGATACGTCCCATTGTGGCCAGAATATTCTTTCTTGTTTGGGTAGGGAGTCGTGAGCTGATACGACCTTCTCTCTGGTCGCAGGGAGTGAACTGTTGCTGTCCGAACCGGGCGCGTGTAAGTGGTTGCAGAGAAAGATGTAACCCCACCGAGTCTTAACGTCATGATGACCGTCCCGGAGCACAGCACCAGCGGTGAGAAGATGTACTTGACTGATTTTGCATCAAAAAAACAGCATGGAGGCATTTATAAGTGTTGATAAGTTAATCATGTGTTCCTGGAAACTGTATATGGTGGTGGACTGTCATATTTTGGGAGAGTGTCTTTTTCCTCTCTCGTCGTCGTTTGTTAGTGATAGTTAGTGCCAGCGCAGCAGACCTCCCCACTTCAACTGCAACGCCGTTCAACTTCAATGATGTTATTGACCCTTTTCCCTTCCATTAACATTCCACATCTCGATCTCGACTCCCATGCTCGAATCTATCCATGACATAACGCATCAATAGGAGAATTCTTCCATTTCCTTTCCGACATTCGTCCACGCTTCCGTAGCACCGCCAAAACGTTGAGCTTCACGGCGACAACGTCACTCCGCTCCCTTTCCCCCTGGCATCCTCACATCACGCTTAGAACCCTCCCTTGTGACCCTTGTCTTCTACCTTCACACAACAGATACATACTCCCTAACGACCAACCGTCCATCACATCAATCCTGTACCTGTCCCTATCATAGCGTCAACAAGTCTCCAACAAACCAGTTTAGTTCCGTTCTCGGCTAATGCACCTTACCTATTTCCCAGTCCCGACTGTACAACCTCGTTAATATATCACACCTACAAGCATTCAACTTTCGGCCGAGAGATTGAGAACCGACCACAGACCGCCACGACAACACGTTGCAAACATACCTCTAGCTACCAGCAACTAAGCAATCTCAACTCCCACTTGAAAAGCAGTCCATTGCGCTTAACTCCTATCCTAGAGGTATCCTAGAGGTATCCAAGAGGTATCGCCGAGGCCAAAACGAAAGAAGTAGAGTAAAGTACACATGTAGAGTAGGTGATATGACAGAAAAGAGAAGAAGAAATCCAAACCAAGCGAAAGATTCCACATTTAGTAAAGAAATATTGACATTTCCTTGTGTTTTCCTCTTTATCAGCATCCACAATAGGTAACTTTCTTGCCCAAGGTTTCAACGGTTTCCTTAGCCAATAAGAGGGAGAAAAACAAAAAGAAGAAGAAAAAAAAAAACCCTCCCACGAACTCACAAAGCCATAACCTCATGCCACATGCCCCATCTATCTTCATACCTACCGCTACCGCTGCCGCTGCTGCTGTTGCTGTCTTGATCGGCATCGACATCGACACTGACATTCCCATGCAACAACACATGGTCATGGTGAAAATCAGAAGAACCTGAACTGCCGCTGTCGTGACCACTTCCACCACCAGCACGGGTAAATTCGTCAAATTCAACCCCTCCTTGTTCGTCCGTTGGAAACAAAGGCAGTGGTGGCAGAGACAGAGACACAGGCATATTCTCTGCATCAACCTCAAAACCCCTGTTACCTCTGTGACGGACACTCTGTTGTTGTTGCTGTCGAACCGTTACCGGGACAGAGCGAGGTATCGGGACCGGTAGAGGTCGTCGACCAAAAGCTGCATGGTTTCCGTTTAACCCATGAACACCTCCAGGAGGAGGAGGAGGAGGAGGAGGAGCGTAAAATGACTGATGACCACCACCGCCAGCCCTAGTCCCTAGAGATACAAGTAGAGGTCCCAAACTCGCTACTGCCCCTTGTGCAGCCCCTGGCATCCCATACGGCGGCGGCGGCACGTTGCTTCTAGTTCCTGACTCTCCTCTCCCCATCTCCATCCCCATATGTAGACCAGGGGCAGCAGCAGTCATCGGCATAACTTGCATATCCCGCACCAAGTGGAAATCCCGCCCCTGTTCCAGTTCCAGTTCCACTGGCGGCACCATTACCCCCCTCTCCCTCTCTCTCTCTACCTCCATCTCCCTATCCCTCAACAACCCCCTAACCTCCTCTGCCTCCTCCCACTTCCCCATATCCCTTAGATATGCCTCCACTTTGCGAGACGTTTGCACCCAGAACTGGTCTTTTCCCCTTGTTGTTGACGTTCGCAGTCCCGCAGCAAAAGGGCCCATGGAGGCCACCGGTCCTATGGTCATGCCCAAACCTGTATCACCCAGGCCTAAGCCCCGCCCCAAGCCTATTCCCAATCCCATGTGCATGCCCGTGCCCACGGCCGTCCCAAAAGGGAGTTGCTGGTGGCTGTCACTGCTAGATACCACGGTGCCAGCAGGAAGCCCACCACCGTTCATAACCAGGATCTTTCGGCGAAGTGCAACGGCGGTAGACACGTCCCCTTCGTGATCGGCGATGGAAGCTAGGAAGTGGTGCGCCGAGAAGAAGAGGTAGCGATCGAGATATTCCCAATTTTGCATGGGGATTGGAAATGGGGGTTGTTCTAGATGTCCTGGGGCGAGATCGTGGCATCCGTGCTGTGGTCTGGGTGCGCTGGTTATCATGTTATTGCCCCTGCCAACACTTCCCGCATCCGCTACCACTCCCATCATAGAGGTATCCCCGCGGTTCCCGTTTCGAACCCGATACTTCTCCTCCAACCTCTCCACCAACCCGCCCAACATTCCTCTTGCTCTTTGTCCTGCCCCTATTCCTGTCCCTCCTTGTCCAGCCCCAGGCCCAACAACAACCCCCGCATCAAAAAGCGGCAAGTACATCCGTCCCAAAAGCCCTTCTAGCTCCAATATTCTCTCCGTCGTCCTGCCCTCCCCCCACCTCTCCATCTCTCGCCTCACCAGCCCCCCAAAATCACTCACTAGGTTCTTGACAATGGCATGTTCCGGGTCCATCAGGATCACGTACCCCCTCTTGAGGTGGATAGTCACGTGGTCCGTCTCCCCCCGTAGCTGGCGACAAGTGTTGATCCACAGCTTCCAGGCGCGCGTGATGAAGAGGTGGAGTGACGCAAAATCGGAGGTGGTGACAAGGTGGTGCAGTGACGAGGAGATCTGGTGCAAGGGGTGCGAGGTGCAGCCTGTTTGGGCGTATTTGAGGGTAGTGAGGTGGTGGAGGAAGCGGGTGTAGATGGGGAGGATGTCGTGCGGGGGTTGATGGCGATGGGGTGATTGTGATGATGATGACAGAGGTTGTTTGGTGCTGGGAGAGGAGGCGTTGTGGAGGATGAGGAGCTGGGGAACAGCGAGACAGCAGTCCCAGATGGCTTGGATGTCGCCTTCGTCGGCGGAGGTGATGGCTTCTTCGATTTGGAGGAAGGCGTGCCGCAGGAGGACGCCGCCTTTGGCTGTTCCTTGGGGGTTGTTGCATCGAAGATGGCGGATTGCTAGAGCGATGTTCTGTAGGATCGAATTCGACGACACGGTGGCGTGGTCTTCAGCGTTGATCTCGTCGCTGGCGATCTGTAATCGCAGATTTGGACCGTTCATCTTCCACGGAGTCTCCCTTTCGGGGTCGGCCCAGCGCGCAATGTAAGAGGCGTAAGCTAACAAAGTCGACTCGACGAGGTAAGTCGGTTCGCTCTGGAAGTAGAGGCGTATCATCTGGGCTGGTTGCGAGATGAAGTTTGACTGGCATCCTGGCTTCGACACATGCCCGTTGCTCCTATAGCTTCCTGAGCCCGAGGAGGTCACCCCTTTTCTTCGCATGGAACGAGACTTGGTCGGCTTCGTCGCGTTGGTGTTGCCGGACTTGTTGTACTTTGCCCATCGCCATTTGGCAAATTGGCCTTTGTACATTCTCGCCCTAGTTTACAGGTAACAGTCAGTCAGCTGTCTCCCAAAAGTCCACAAATGAGAAGCATACGTTGCCTTGAACCGATGGGTCGACAGCATGATCTCCACCACATCATTCAGTATAAAGTTCTTGTTCATATACAAATCGTAGATGATATCCTTCTTTGCCTCCCAATCAGCCGGGCAGGTCGGTACCAGTGGCCTCTCAGGCAAGGTATGGTTAGTAGGAGTCGCCCTGGTAACTGTCTGTTCCTGTTGTTGCTGTTCCGTCGACAGATACGCAACATGATGATGATTCTGGCTGTGATGGCTAGAGGTTGAAGTTGGAGAGTGATGCGAATGCGAATGCGACGAGGAGCTGTCGTCTGATCCTGAAGAGCTATCAGAGTCAGATGAGTGACCGCTGACGGTTTCAGGACTGAGGGGTTGGTTGAAGTCGAAGAGTTCAGATTGAGTCGAAGACGAAGAGATGACTTGTGACGCGCTCATGATAGCATTTTCTGACGGCAGTGGCGATACAAGTAGCTGCCAAGCGCCCGTGAGATCGCCGGTCTGGAGTTGACGAATCGGTTGATGCTAGTCGTACCTGCGAAAGTGAGTTGTGAGTTCTCGGCTGAGTCTGTATGCGGTAAAGTCGTCAGTCAGGTTGTTGTACGGGTGTGGTTGGATGGAGCTGAGAAGAGGACGGAGGAGTTGAAAGGAGGGATAACTGCCACCGTAGGAGTGAGTGGACAGAGCCCGTTCAAGGATTCCAGCCTATGGCAGGAATAGCCATCCTTGACACTCCTGCATGCTCTTACTTGCCATGAGCGCCCTGCCCCAAACAGAGCCCCAGACCAAATGATGGTTACCCCTCTGACCCCCATGCCTGCCGCTTCCCTATCCGTCTTGAGCGTGTCCATGGTTTTGCCCGTCTTAGCCGTTAAGTTGCCTGGGTACAGTGCCAGTTTCCTCATTTTTCACCCTGTCCCGTCTACCAGATTTCCTGGGTCGTCCATGTTCAACCACTCGCTCACTTCCTCCCCAGTCTTCACATCCAGCCCCGCTCCTCCTTGCTTCTGGTTCGACCCTTTAATCATTTCCTTTGCTACTTGCGTCACCCCAAACCCGCTGTGCCACAGTCGTACAATCTTCTAGTGTCTGGAGCCTGCGTTCCAGCATTCAGAACCTTCACACAAGTGACAGAAAGAGGGAGAGATGGCACTTATTGAACAGGGCGTCTTCGCCCCACATTTTCCATGACTGTTCTGTTCTGAGAGGGGCGATGTGCACTGCACTCTCACAACAAGGCTGGTTGTGGTCATAGACTAGCCGAATTTGCTCGTTGTGTGACACAGTAATCGGAAGAGTGGAGGCCGACAGCATTTGGGTGTCGGAACGGGGATTTGACAGCGTAGCTCGGCGTGTTGCTCATGGAGCCCTCGCAACCTTGCGATAACATGATCCATCGACAATAGTAGGCGTACCTGCCGATGCTACAACGCTAGCTCCGGGGTCAACGGCGAAAGGAAGCCTTAGAATGAGGAGAACGCCCGAAACCCCACGAGCAAAGCAAACATGAGCATCTCCAAGCCGTAGTACCCGTCGATAGCCCGTCTGTGAAGGTTCCTGTGGGATACCCCGGGGTAAGCTAAACGGAAGGTGCCCGCGCCCGTAAGGCACCCAAGAACCAGCAAGCAGCTCAACACCCGCCTGCCTTCGTACTGTTGGCTCTCAACTCAGCAGTTCGTGGCGGTCCATGTGTGTGGATGTGCCACCTGGGCATCGGCTACCGACTGTCGAGCTGTGATGCTCATTCCGGTATTCTAGCCGTCTCTGTAGCGTGAGAGACCACAGCCACCACACCCACATCCCATGTTGGTCTTCTATCACAACTGACAAGCCAACCTCTTAGCGTCGAAGGGGAACACGTTCTGTTGCGCCAGTTCGAAGCTTCATCAAGACACAAACTCCGGTCCCTTGGTTAGGATCGGATGGCGTACTGCAGAATGGATGTTCAGGTATGATGAGATTTCGTTCCACCCAGCTGTGGGGGGGTAAATCCCAGTCCCAGTCCAGTCATCGGTCTAGTGCACGCCACCACGACCACAACACTAGGCCACGAGGTGTCAAAGAAGTCGGTCGATGTTGATCAACAGAACCATTGCCGGGGCTTGCCATGCCACCATCACTCCCTGGCGAGTGTAGCCTGTTGACTGTAGACGAGTGAGGGTAGATCTTGGAGACCAGTTAGTTACTCACACTCAAACTTCCGAGCACAAAGCGTGCTGGTACAGCAGTTTTCGTATGCACCGACTACCTCGTTCGTGGAACCGCGTTGCAACTTCGTGCAACTCGGCATGGGGAAGCATTGGCTGATGGCTGATGCAATCTGTGTATCGTTTAGCCGCACTGTGGTTTCCTGTTGTCTTGTGAGACATGATAGTGCACTTGGTGCAACGCTAGAGCGCAGAGACATTGCGCCATCCGGGCGTTAGTCTTCAAGATCTAGCTTCTTTGGGAGTTGAAGTGTGTTCCCATGGTCGTAAAGGTCATGATGGTTGTGGGACAGAAGCTGGAAACGAGAAGGTAATGAGTCGACCGGAAGTTTGGGAGAAAGATTGGTTGAAAAGGGAAGAGTGAACAGCATGATGTGATGATGATCGACATGGAAGACGGTCGGTTCCACGGCCGAGTGGTTCTTGTTGCCCGGTTGCTCATGAGTGTCATTGTCGTATCTGAGGTAGTGCAGATCAGCTGTTCATGACATCTCGGCGCCCTATCATCAGTCTTGCCAACATCAACGGGGTTGAGAGGAAACTCACTGGTGGATATCACATCACAATCTCCCGCCTGAGGGTAAAAGAATTCTATACAAGTACCAAAATAGTGAAAGAATCTATGTTGGGAAAGGTAGCAAAAGTACAGTTCAAAGACGACCTACAATGTCCGTGTCATAAAGCGACTCCAAAGATCGAATCCAGATGCCTTGGTACTGTCCATCGTCCTAGCCAGATGTCTGTCCCTTCATTTCCTTCTTTACCAAACCACTCCCGTCAAGCTCACACCTAGTAGTGAAACAAGGCAAGAGTGTTCGCAAACGTCGCCAAATTCTGGTTCCAACCCGCCAAATCCTTGCCGTCTCTCGTTATCATACTGACACTACCGACCGTGTTCAAGTTGTAGATCTGGATCCAGGGGTCCGCGGCATTTCCACTAGACTCGCTGGTCTTGTTCCGATGGGATGGCGGTTTGTTGCTCATCATGAACTTTCCAGATTTTCCGCCCCCAACTTCTCTGGGAGGAACGCTGGTGCTAAAGCCAGAGCCGAGGTTGAGGGGTCCAGCCCAGAAGATTCTTGCCTGGCAGTTTTCACCGGAGCGAAGAGTGCTGCAGTCGACGTTGTAGTTGTTGAAGAAGCTGTAGAGACCGGCGCCGAAGACAACCACGTTTTGTGAACCAAGGATGCGGAGACCCCATGCCATTTCACATTTTGGGTTACCTCCCAGGGTGAGAGAACCATCGGAACTGATCGTCGTGTTGGCGCCGTATTGGACGCTTTGGCAGTCGGTATGGAAATCGGGATCTCCAAGAGTGGTGTCGATCCTGGTGAAAGGCAACGGAGCAGGGGGATTGGGCTGGTAGTAAGGCGTCTCAGTCTGTGCTTGACCCATGAAGACGTCGGTCGCATTGAGCAACTGGTACTGGTAGAGTGTGTGATGTTCACTGGCGGTGCCTACAAGCCAGACACGTTCGCCTTCAATCAAGACACCACGTCCAGCAAAGATGCTGATTTGGGTGTTGTTGAAGTCTTCGATGTCGTGGTCGGCAACCCAGAACCAGTTGTTCTCCATGTAGAGATTGCCAGCCCTCTTGGTGACGTGGAAGCTCAACCATGCTGCGATGCAATTCACATCAGCGTGAACAACGGCGTCGGGAGTCTTGGAGCAGTCAGTGAGTTGCAGGTTAGATCCTGCAAAGCCACCAATACGTGTGTGGACGTCCCATAGACCAGAAGGGGGCATTTCGGCGAGGGTAGAGCTTGAACCAGCTGGAGGATTGAGGTTGTATTGAATCAAGACGGCACCTGCCGTTCCTCCCTGGGTAGACACAATGATGTCGCTGACCTCCACGTAGCCGGCCTCTCCCATATTTCCAATCTGAAGGACAGGTTGCGGGTTGTTGATATCCGAAAACTTGGGACCTGCACCGAGGATGACCGCCGCCATAGCTTCTCCCACAACTCGAACGCCTCCCGGAATATGAACAGTGTCGGTGACCTTGTAGTATCCCGCATCGAGGTACGCCACCGATCCGAGTGTAAGACCAGCAGTTTGGAAGAGGTGGTTCAGGGCTGCAGTATCATCGGTGACTCCATCTCCAACAGCACCGTAGGATCGGGCGGAGAGAAAGGCCCAAGTCGGGTGAGTTTCATACTGAGGTTTGGAGCGCTCGTAAAATTTGCCGTCTTGCTTGAGGGTCGTGGGTTGAGGGAAGTAAGCTCGATCGCGGTCCTCGTACTCGCGTGGTCCGTTGGGGGTGTATGTGTTACCCTGGAACATGTTAGTAATGTGTCTTGAAAGTGTTTCGAGGTAGCCGAATAACCTACCCTCGCGTAACCTGCGTCATGGACCAGTCCCGAAGGATTGCCCAGGAGAAGAGGGCCATCCGGGCCCTGAAGAACGACGGGAACATTGACGTAGTCCACATTCTCAATGACAAGAGAGCCTGTCGAGTTGATGCTGGTGGCCCCACGAAAGGTAGTCATGGCCGTCTGAACGTTGACGAACCTACTGTCCAAAAGGGTGACGGAGCCAACGGCGTTGCTCGACATGTTGATGCCGACCTCGCAATCGTAGATGTTGAGGGACTTGTACGTCCAACCCCAGTTCCACAGCTGCATGATGGCTGTCTTGGAGCCGTAGAAGGTGAGGTTGCGCATCGTGTACTGCTGATTGCCAAACTGGGCGCCCTGCTTGCCGCCGTAGAAGACCAGGTCCGCCAGCATACCACCGCTCCCTTCTTCTATGAAGATGCCGGTGTGATCATCCTCGGGTCGGGAGGATAGCTTGAAGACGCAGTTCTGGATGGAAGTAGCTTGGGATGAGGGCCAATGAAGGCCAGCAACGGTACCCGGGACATCGGTGGTGTCAAAGATGAGGTTACGGATTTGACGAAAGAAGACATTGGTGGCTCTGAACTGAAGGGCTGTGTAGACGTTACTGTCAGTAGGGCAAACACAAGAGACAGATGGTACCTTGACCACAGGGAGAGACTCACTGCCGCTGTTCAGGTACGGGTCCGAGTCGATCAAGCCAATGCCGCCGTAGGACTGGAAGTCGGGGCTTCCCTTGATGACAGGCATGGAGGTAGGATCGCCAATGATCTGGGTATAGTAGTAGTTGATGATGTTGGTAGTGACGAGGTAGGTGCCGGCAGGGAAGTAGACGACCGCAGGGGTAGTGGTGGTTCCGTTGCAGAAGGGACCGCCGCCGCAACGGTTGCCGGAGCTGATGGCGTTGTTGATGGCGATGGTGTCGTCAGTGACGCCGTCTCCCTTGGCGCCATAGTCCTTGACGTTGCGGAAGACGTGGTAGGATTTGTCGGGGTTGAAGGAGGCGACACCCTGGTGCTGAATTTCCTCCATCCAGTATGCCGCACTGGTGACTGAAGCCAAAGCGGCGAGCACGATGGCCTTGAGCCGCATCGTGACGGGACCTGATGGTTGTTGAGGATGTGGTGTTGGAGGCAATCTGTCGACAGCAAAGGAAGAGCGAGTTCGTAAATGGTAAAGATAAGTACGATGTGGAGGAGGGTTCACTGCTAGAATGAGTAGGGAAGGAAAAGATTGACAGCTCAAAAGATTGTGGGGGTAGATCAGCGACCAAAGCACATGATATCCGGTTGATGGTGAAGGGCCTTTTTTTCGGTTGAGGAGTGAAGAGATTTCAGGTTTGACTGCCAGCGAGTGGAGTGAAGGTTTAGCAAAGCAAGTCAAGTGAAGGTGAAGAGACCTCGTCAAGTTTGAGTGATTGGTCAATGGTCAATCACCAGATGCCTCCTTCCATCTTGGATCCGATGTGGTTGGTGGGCTGCGTGCCTTCCTTCTTCAGTCTGGGCCCGTCGACTCACCAGGAGCAGCAGGCCACTTCACGTGACGATGCCATCTGAGATTGGGTGAAGTGTTCGCCATCCATCTGGATCATCACCCTGACATCCCATTCACGATATGGTGCCCCCTTCAAACTGCCACCGCGCATTTCATTCACTGTAACTCCAACCCCAGGCAGTATACATTGACAGTCCAGTACCGCTGACTTTGGCCAGGAAAGGCTATTGCCAGGCTGTGTGTGATATGCCTCGTGACTTTCTGGGAGCACATCTGCCGGAGCTCATCAAGCGTTGTTCGACCTTGAATAGATAAAGCGTAACGAAGACATGGCTCGATTTTCAAAATGGTGATGGCCATCAAACAACGTCATGGTCGCACGTAGGGCCATCTCGCCCGTCGCAAGGTTCGAACATGGCGTAATACCAATCAGCATAGGGAATTCGTAAGCGCTTGTTGTCCCATGGTGATATCGACGAGCGGTGGTGTCATGGAAGGTTGAGGACAAGTGGAAGGCGATGCATCGACGTTGGATGTCTGTTGACTGCTTACGTAACGCTGATAAGGGTTCCTAACAGATAAGCTCACAATCCACAGCAAGGAAATGTTAGAAGACTCCAGCGGCCCGTTGCCGGCCCGAGCCAAGCTCCGTGTTCGTCTCCCCCACCAATCATGTTGCACCCACTTTCAACGACATGCCATTATCTTCGACACTTGATCCAAGCATCAACCAAATTCCAGATACACTGACGCTCCAGTGGCCGTCTCCAATGCCCTCTTTCATTTCCTTCCCAGCTCCCACAGTCGCGATTGCAGTCTGTTGCTCGACCAGTCAGCCCCGCCGGAATGCTCGCTTATCTTCTCTTCCTCCTCTGCTTTTTTCTCCTGTCGTGCGCAATATGCTGCCATGGTGGTTTCGGTTCCTGACTCTGTCTCGGTGAGTAACCAGGGCCTAGCCAAGAGCGTCGAATTTCTTTGTTCACTTCAGTCATCCTTCCCCGCCCCTTACGTTTGTCTAGACCCCCGTCTCGGAACAAAGACAGCAAGCGCTGTGAGGGAGCACATCATAACATGCCCCCGACTGCCAACTTCCAATTCGATCCTGCTCGGCATTGTTTTACCAACGCCGCTCCCTTCATCCATTCGCACCATCATGGCTCGAAACACCGGCATTCCAAGCGCGGCTCGTCAGCCAAAGCCGACAAGGGCAGCCTCGCCCAACACCTCAGCTGTTGTCATTACCGCGAGCCCCAGCAACATGTCCCCCAACACCCCTACCACCACATGGCTGAGGATATGGTCGCGTCGGGGCCAGAAAGAGGATGACCATCTTGCGGATGGGTGCGTCGTGATGTGACCTCCGTGTTGGTCGCCCGATGAAGTCACAAAAGGCCCAAGGTTCCGTTCCGTTTGCACTACTAGGACGGCAAAAGCGCAGCCATACCACGCTCGTTTGCGATGACTACCCACAAGACACGCACCCAGTTCTACTCAACCACGCCTCATCCCTGGAGCTCTTCGATTTATGGTATATATCTCAGCTACTTGCTCTTCGGAAAGGTTCTCTCGTGTCCTGCATCTCGAACCCTCACAGCTCGTTTCACTACTGCCAGTAGCTGCTACAAATTCCCGTCTTCATACACAAAATGCGTCTTGCCGCTTCTCTTCATGTTGCGGTTCTTCTTGCCGCCGCAGAGGTTACAATGGCTACTCCCAGCCCCAGCATCACTGCTGCTCCCACGGCCTCGAACAATCTCCTCAACACCGCCACATCCGAAAAGCCCTCGGTATTCACCACCATCTCGTGCAGCCCCAATGGAAACACTGAGGAGGCAGGTGAATATGTCAGACATAATTGCAAGGTGTATGAGCACAGGCTCAAGGAGCTGGAGAGCGGTGCTGGGTTTGCTGTGCCGTTTCTGGGCAGTCTCTGGGAAATGGCCGCAGCGGCTGTGATAGTCATGCTGTTTTGAGCTCTTCACCGTTATTACCAGACAAACTGCCTGCGTCTACCGCTAGTAGCATGCATGAGGAAAGATAGAGCCGGATCGGCTTGGATGAGGATCGTATGTTGAAGGAGGCTGAGGCGGAAATACCACTATTTAAACTTCTTAGTGCAGCCAAGTGACTCCACACCTTAGTGTACCTGCCTGGCGATCCCGTTATCCGAGTCCAGCGTATCAAGCTGCAATACGTGTCAGCCTAGACCTTTTGCCAACCCGGAGTCCACTGAGAATGAGGCTTAGCTACCCCAGACCCCTGGAAAAGCTCTCGGCCTTCCTTACCGCCGGAGTTTTTTCCATCGCGTGTTTTTCTTGCTGTGATAGCTTCTTTATTTCATGACGCTTGATGAAGGGTCCTTTACCAACATAAAACGTTCACATTTCTTCTTCCACATCCGTGACGCACCGGACAATATTGCAATTTCCCATCAATCAATAAACCGTGCAACCAACTATTCTCCATTACGACGACAACCAGTACACAAATCCCGCCACCGAATTTACCTCTACTACTGCTAAAAACAACAATTATCACCATGCGTCTCTCACGTCTCATCACCCTCGGCTTCTTGGGTCTCACAACCGCATCCGTCATCAACCCTCAAGCCCGCTTCTCTTCAGTGACTGTGCCATATAACATCACAACCATTTCCGCCTCATCACTCCAGACCAGCACACCACCGTCTGTTCCACTGGTGATAAGCCATCTATCACCACCTTCTCCTCCTGCCGCCAACGCAGTCGACGACAATGTTGATATGTCCGATTTCGATGAAGACGACCAAAACGAGAACACCCAGCATCACGGCGGTCACGGAGGCCATGGTGGACATGGCAGAGGGCACAGTAGAGGTACTAGCGGCCACACGGGGACAGCTGGTGGCGCTGATGGGAGTCATGGAGGGGGTAATCAGGCTGGGGGAGGTGGTGCTGCTGTGGGTGCCGGTGGATCTGCTAATGGGAAGAAGAGTGATGGTGCTAGGTTGAGGGTTGAGGTGCTTGGAGTCGTTGGGGTAGTGATGATGGGGCTGGGGGTTGTGATGGGTTGATGAATTCAAAAAAAAAAGTAGGGTTGCCGGCCGGGTTGAACTGTTGGGGCTGAGGTCCATTATCGTGGTCGTTGTCTCCGCTCACAATGACCTTACTCACTGTGACGCACAGGCGCGTCTTTCCTTCCTCGCGCCCTCACGGCTACGACATTCACGCCTCATCGCCACCATAACAGCACCTCAGCACAACCATCTTCAAACGCCGCCGTTGCAATCCCACAGCCAAGAGTACGAAATTCACCCGCGCCGCCATTCATCTGTTGGGATAAAACCCTACCTATCTCGTGTGTGTTTTCAAGACTTCGTTGGCGTGTGCCACAAGTTGAAACCTTGAGGTTCATGATTTGGTCAGGGCATAAGAGGGAACATCCCCGAGTCTGGCGATCCGTTGAAATGACACATCCGAAGCGGAGTGGAAATCAACACATCCCTAAAAGGTTCCTTAGTGGTATAATAACGGAGGTCCCCCCTCATACCTCTCACGAACCCCAACAAAATCACTCGGCCAACCCCTTCCAACTCGAGAAACCATCTTGCTCAAAAGCAGCTTCAAATCAAGACCTACCAGTACCTACTTTGTCCGAACCAACATCACCAAAAATGCGTCTCCCATCTCCACCTCTCCTTCTCCCCATCTCCTTCTTGCTGCTCCTTTTACGAGGTACCAGCGCTGTTCTCTCCTCTTCTCTCAGCTCCGAAAGCACCGCCACAACCACCGCCATTACCATCCCCGAGGGTTCTGGCGCAAACCCAACCGCAGTCAACCCCACCAACGTCAATCCTTTTTTGTCTACACCAGTCAACGTAACCTACGACGACATCATCGAACATCATCGCGGCCGTAACCATACGCACAACAACCACACTAGCGATGGGACTACCGGTAATGCTCCCCCGGGCACAGCCTTGGTCGCCATGCTTGTTACGTTTGGGATGGCGATGCTCGTGGGACTGGGAATGGCTTCGGCAGTAGCGTTAGCGTTGTCGGTAGTGGAGGTGATGATTGAGTGGGTAGGGGTGGTGGTTTCCTTGGTGACTAGTTGGTGGATGGGAGTACCTTGGTGAAGTAGATGGTGATGGGTAAGGTAAAGGAGGGTTAGGTGATGGGACTTGAGAGGAAGTAAAGTGGAGATGAAAAAAGTTGTGGTTGGAAGTGAGGGGATGGAAGATGTATGGCAAGAGGAAAAAACTGAATGATCATCACGTAATGGTACTGGCTTTGAAATGTTCACAAGTGACGGGGTAGGTACCTGAGCGGCAACATGAAACATGGAGTGAGATATGGTAGCCTGCACATGTACCAAACCTCAACCCTCCTAGGGGGTATATAGCCCAGGTTATTGGCCGTTCTTCCGTGGCCCGCTAGTGCATCTGAGAGTAATGCGAGAGAGCTCTTCGTGAGCTGTTACCAAGTAAACTGGAAGCTGTCGGTTCAAGTTCGGTGCGGGCCACTCCTTTTTTGCATATTTTCCTTTTTGCTTCGAATGCTTGACTCACCCTCACCCACTTGACGAATCACTGGCTCCTTCTTCGTATCGTCTTGCCCCGCGTCAGGCCCTTCCTTCCCTCTCTGTGTTATTTCCTTTCCGACGCGAACTTTCAACGCGCCGTTCTGTTTTCATTCCTCTATCCCAAGTACCTACCTACTCCTCCAACTCGCGTCGGGCTTGTTGCCCTTCCAGCAAACAAACCCATCGCAACTTGCACCAACGCCTCATTTCACTTTGATCTCGAGCACTTTCCCCGCTATTCAGATTGCAAAGAGTCGCTTTCCCTCCGCGTTCGTTCAATCGTTCGGTGAACTTTCTCCGATTAATCGTTGCGGGCATCTTTGTGAAGAGTAAGTCTCTCTCTCGCACCGCTTCACAGGGGAAAGTTCAAGTACGGCTTAACTTCATCTGCACGAAGAACAGTGACTCGGATTCTAACTCCATCTAACAACATATTCATTAGGACTTACTTCACCGTGCCCAGCCATGGAGGTATCTGATGCTGCTCAGACTCGGAGCCCCTACCACGAGAACCGCGCGCCTGAGATTAGTGGGAGCAAGAGATCGAGAGATAATATACCTATTTAAAGTAAAAGAGAAACGATAACGAATACTATAAAGAAGCGGCGATTCAACGAAGCTAATGAAGCGCAAGTCATACTCGGGTTGACAGAAGCCGACGTAGATAGTAAAGCGAGAACGGAGGCGACAGAATACGGTGCTGTTTCCGGTCATGCAATGGCGCCCTCCAAACCATCGCCAATCAGCCATCCAAATGCGCAAGAGAAGCCCACACACATCCTACAATCCATAGAAGTCGATGTCATTGAGCAACAGGATGTGGTTGGATAGAAGACGAAGTACCATTTGCAAACATGGAAGACTTCGAGGCAACCAATGTCACAACCAGGAAGCGCTCACCCAGGTCTCCCTCACCAATCGAAGATCCAAGGCTTCCTCAATGGAAGGCTGAAACTCGGTCATTCAAGGGAAATATGTTCTGTCACCATCAATCCCCTGGAACAGCCATCGAGACAGCCAAAGCCACCCACAATGGGGATCTTTTCGTGGATGGAGCTCCACAGTTCACCATCTTCTGTGACGGATCCAGCGAGAACACTCGCTTTGCACAGTTTCGCGGGGATAAGGGAGGATACGGTGTGGTCTTTCGGGACCCCTGCGAAACCGTTGGTCATAATGGTGTAGACCTTGCTCCCAACCGCCTCAAACCCGAATTCTTCGGCAAAGAGAAAGAGAAAGACTGGGATGTGGAAGACTTTGTGATCTTGAACTGGTTGAACCGCAAGGTCTATAGTGCCGATCATGCGGAAATCAGCGCTCTTTCACAGGGACTAGATGAGGTCACCAAACGTGTCGACCGTTTTGGTCCCGCCTCATCCACGCTCAAGATTTTCTCGGATTCGGCCAGTGTCGTCGGTTAACTCGGTATCAGACAAGGGGCGAAGATGGAACGACCTGATGCGTCTACTATAGACTGCTCTCCTAGGAGACATACCGCGTGTGTTGCTGCGATTGAAGGGTGATGATGCGCAACCGGGAGATTGTCTTGTTATGTGAGCAAATAGACGACCAGAAATGGAATGACGTCCAAAATGCCACATGATCTCGAGTCAGGAAAAGCAGCAGTGACAATGCACGGCTAGCCAATGAAGTCCGTCAACCTCGGTAGAGGCAAATATCTTTTTCTTCCCATTATTATTATAAAACTACCTGTTTCCATACATCACTTCGAGTCCTCTTCCCAAACGCTTATGCGTACAATTTGCAATTACTTGGATATTCTTACCTACCGTAGAACCTCGTGAAACTAGCAACTGTTAATCTCGTCTTTGAGCGCCGGGTAGGAGGGAGATCTGTGTAGGGCAAGCCTGAGTCTGTGCATTGAAACGCACCCAAGTTATAGTGGTGGGCAATGTTTTGTTCCCTAACTGGATTAACACATCTACTAGCATATGCTAGCTTACGAGGCGCCGCGTTGTGCCCTGCCCGGCGCTTAAAGAGCAGACTGACGGTTGCTAGTTTCGCGAGTTTCTTACCTTGTCCAGAACTCAAAGTTAACCTCATTAAATGGCCTTCTACCCTTGTAAACGTGCTTCCTCCATTCACTCTTCCCGTTTTTCTTTTCTTATTCGTTTTTCCCGTTCGTCAAACACAGTATGGCTCGGGAGTAGGTTAGTAGAGATCGAAGTAACGCCTGCGCTGTCTGCTGCTTCTACCTAACCCTCCTTATCCCCACTACGACCGGCCAAGGTTGTAAGTCTAGGGCACATAAGGTTCCTTTCCAGCACATCTTTCCGTGGTCCGTTGGTGTAACGGCCAACACTACCTATCCTGGCGTGTATCCGTGTTGGACGCGGTGTCACGGTGGGGCGGAAGTTACCGGTTCGAATCCGGTACGGGCCACACTTTTTTTGCCCCTTTTTTTTACTAAACGTCTTCATGATTTTACTTTTCTTAGTCATAGTAGGTAGATATGTAGCCAGTGTCCAGTCAGTCTCGACTTTTCATTCAATACCTCTTCAAAGCCTGGCTAGCTGTCTTGTCTCTTCGAAATGTGAATTTCCTCTAGACGTACGCTACTCAATATCTTAAGTGTTTCTCAGAGGTGCCAGGGCCAAAGAAAGCGGAGAGCGGTGCGTTCCACGACGGATAACGTTACTCGTAAATCTATCAAATTAACTTGCCTGATAACATGCTGTTCTTTCTTACACACAATATTTGATCATTTCTTCTACCGGTTTTCCCTTAAGGCGTTTTGCTACTAGTTACACTAATTGTACCCTCTGTAGATCATACCATTGATGACGGCAACGTTCATACTTTGTATGCGCGTATCAGTTCGTTGGTGGTTTCGTTCAGCTTAGCCATAATTCCATCCCTGACATCTAGTGAAAGATTGCGCTGCGACCATTTGGTCTCCTCCGGTTCTCCCCACTCTTTCCATGCGGTGGCTGCAGCATCGGCGATAGATGGACCGAGGGCACTGCAGCGAGGATTCCAAGCAAGCTCCAGCTCGCATCCACGGTCCCGAAGGTAGTGCGATTGCCAAATTATAGTTTGGACTAGGGGGTTGGAAAACTTGTTCCAGAGTGTTAACTTGGTACCTCTTCGACAAGCAAGAACGCCTCGCTTGATCCTATTTATAACGCATGTTGAATCCGAGAAAATGGTCACAACCGACGTCGGTGGGTGATGTTCGTCATACAACCGAATGGCTGTCTCAAGACACTGGGAAACTGCAGCAAGTTCGACCTGGGGAATGGAAAATGCCTTTTTGACCCCAAAGCAAAGAATAGTGAAGTCCACAAGTCGAGAAGGGCCGTCGTAGATTTCCCCTTCCTCCTCGAGTACATAGTCGTTGTCAACACCCTGCTGGTATGCATTGACACTCGGATGCTCAAGGAATCGAATAGGGTTTTCATCTCGAGAGACAAACTGAACGGTGTCCTCGAATGGGTTTCTGAAGGCAACCCTATAACCTCCAGTAGTCCAACCGTGTTCCGGCCTTGAACTCGAGCTTCCGTTCTTAATTGATCCGTCCCCAAAGAATTTCAACTGCGGCACGCCACTGATGAACAAGGAGGTCTGGGATGCCATATGCGCTGTACGGGCAGCTGTTGCCTTGTCTTGGTTAATCGTTATGGATCCCGCAAATGAACGCCTTTCGTCCTTCCAAAGAGCAATCCTCGGGTCTGGGGAAGGCGTGGGAGACCTTGGCGACCTTGCCCTTGGGACCGGAAGCTGCTGGGCATTGGTACCATCGACATCGGAAGCTGCTTTGCCGATAGTGTTTTGGTCGGTGAACTCAAAAGCCTTCGTGCCAGGATTCTCGGGAGTAGATAAGAGCGCTTCTGAGGCCAGTTCTACAGGCTCCACGGAAGCCATGATCGTCTCTTGAACGGTTGGGTCATGAGCACGAGGGTCGTAAGACAGGCCATCCCCCACATTGTCTGAGGTAATTGCACTGGCAGTAGCCTCTGTTTCATCACGAAGAGCTAACTCCTCACTTGTCTCGATCTCAACCATCAACTCCAACTGGGCGCGTTTGCCGGTACCAGTGTTCGAAGAAGAGCTGCTCGATTTGTCGTAGTCTTTGGGAGCTGAAACGGCAACCTCCAAGCGGTTCATGGCCGCCTGATCTTCGACCCTTGACTTTTCATTCTGCTCTCCCACCTCTCGAAGCCACAAGTGGGTTTGAGGCAGATTCTCATCATTATCCATTCGAGAAGTACCGGATGATGGGTTGTAACTGTTATGCCCGGTAACGACAGGCTCCGACTGGTTGATGACGTTGGTCGCTCGAAGTTCTGGGTCCTCATCCTCTTTCGCCTTCACTTCATCATTTTGGTCGATACGTGCTCGTTTGCTTACGCCGTGTTCCGGCGAAGAGCTCCTTGACGGAGCCGCTCGCTTGATACCTGCCATCGGGATTCGGGATCCGGGAGTGGCGAAGACGAAGAGTCTTGAGAAAGAGGAAGCCTGATGTTTGAGACATATATCGTTAGCATTCAGGATTCACGTGGCCAAACGATGACTGGGGCTGTAGGATAGATGAGTGGCCTTCATGTCCCTCTGCTTGGCGCTGTTATCCTGGAGTATCTGCATGTTGACCTGAACAGGATGAACGGTGTCCGTGCGCGAAGAGATGGGATCGCGAATGAAAACAATTGATGGGAAGCGAGAGGGTCGAGGGGGTAGGCAACGTGAAAAAAAAAAAAAAAAAAAAAAAAAAAAAAAAAAAAAAAGGAAGAAGAAGAAGGTGAAGCGAAGAAACAGGTTATCAAGCCTCAGTGTCTTGATCGCCATCCGCCGTGGCGCATAACATACCCGGGAGGAAGAATCGCAATTCACGTCCGCCCTGCGTCTATTCTCCCCACTACCTACAGAACAATCAACCGTGTGTGGTTGAATAGCCAGTGCGGTGTAATGCTCGAGGATTTTGGCTAAGCAAAACGAAAGGGAGAACGACAGGAGAAGAAATCGTGGATGCTCGAAGCGAATGGTGAGAAGCTTGGCAATATCGTGTGGTGATCTGGTTGTCGCGAGGAGTGCTGAGTGTGGAAGTTAGTCAGAGGTTTGTCTGCGGGGCACGAAAATACGAAAGTTGACGGGTGAAGGCAGCGAGGGGTGGAGGGACCACGACGGAGGGAGAAGGATAAGGCTGAAAAAGTGGAAGGGCTCCAGCAAAGGCTCGCCACCGGCACAGTGATGCCCGTGCCCCGGCCTTGGCACAGCCGCACTCGACCTGGCAGGGAAAAGGTGGTATCATGGAGGGAAAGGTTTTATATCTGTCACGGGTCGAATGGCCATAGCGGACTGAAGTTTGGGACATTCGGGCAGGGCCGCCAGATATACTTGTCTTCTGATATCCTTCACCTCCTAGATTACTCTTCTCTCTCCGATCAGGATATTGTTAATTCTCTCTTCAGCCATCACATGCTGACAAGAGTCCATTCCTCGGAGATCAGATTGATCTTCCTCACATGCATTCTCCACCCCCAACTTTTCTTCTCCATCCTCTTCCCAAAGCGACTCCTCGGGCTGCTCTTCTGGTTCCCAGTTGATGACATCGTCAGTCCACTGGTGCAGCTTCTCCAAGATCCCATCTCTCTCTTCAGCAGGCAGGTTTACCTGGCAGAACAAGCTTTCCTCCCAGAACTTCCACGAAGAGGCTGCCGCATCAGCCAAGGCTGGTCCCAAAGCGCAGCAACGAGGGTGCCAACGGATGTCAAGCGTGCAACCGTGGTCGTACAGGTATTGAAACTGCCACACAATGGCTCGCACTAGAGGGTTGGTGGACCAGCGAAAGAGACTTTCTTCGTCACTGTCCAGCGGAAGGATTCCATACTCGAGCCGCTCAACGGCTTGTGCAGAGTCTGTGAAGACACTTATCTTCATAGAATCCGGCTGGTGCTGGTCTTGTAGCTTTATACCTACCTCCAAAGACTGCGAGATTGCGGCTAGCTCGACATGGGAAACAGAAAGTGTCCTGGTGGCGAATTCGAGGATGGTAAAGTCAGTCACTTGAGCGAAATCACCTCGATTCTCATCTTCTTGTGGCTCAGAACTAAAGGCCTGCTGATGCTCTCGAATGGTTGGCTCCTCGAAAAAGCGCGCTGGATTTGTTTGCGAAAAAAAAGGGGTTGTGCCGAAGAATGGATCACGGAAAGCTACTCTATAACCTCCCTTCTTCCACCCTTGTCCCCTTATGTTCTTGATGGAACCGTCACAAAACAAAGAGAGTCTGGAAACTCCCTCAATCTCAAGCGGTCCATGTGATGCACTCAAGGCCACCGGGGCGGCTACCTCTGGATACTCTTGGAAGATAACGCCTGCGAAGACTCGATCCTCCTGTTGCCAGAGAGAAATGCGAGTATCGGAGTAGGAAGTATCCGCCTCTTGTTCATTGCTGATCTGCGAGGTAGGGTTTAGCTCGTGAAGAAAATGCGTATCAGCCCATCCCCAACTGACAACACCCATATGCTCATCATTGACTTCTCCATAATCTCTGTCATATTCAATCTTATCGTGGTTATCTGACTCATAGTCTTCTGTCAGGGCTGTCTCGCTGTCCGTTTCGGAGGTCTCGCTTTCTGGTACAAGAGGAGGGCGCTGGTCTATGAGCGTATTGGAAGACGGTTTTGCTGTTGTATTCGTGTCTGGCTCAAAACCAGAAGTCGAGACAAGATGGCATTTCACCTGTAGAGGCATCTTCGTCTTGGACCCGAGGCCGCTTGTCAATATGACCGTCAGAGGAGGGAGAGGTAGAAGCCGTGCGTTCGCGCTTTGTCGGTGACATTGTACTCTATATGAAAGTCTAGAAGAGAATCTTTAGCAATGCTAACCGAATGGTGGATCAATTCGCAAATTCCGAGGCCATCCAAGCGACACCAAATATTGAAGATCGAGGGAGATCAGCCGGGTTCGTTTGTGGATTATCATGATGACCTTTTGCGCTCCATGTCCTCTGACACTTACCAGGCGCGTCATATAGAAAGAGTAAAGTGCAGCATCGGGGTGACTTACGTTGATTCAATTGGCTCTTAATCTCTTTTCCACGTACGGTATCTGGCTGGGACTCTGAAATCTGCTTCAGTGTCTTGGAGCGAACACCTCGTCGTTGATGCGTGCGAGAAGACAGATCCGAGCAGAATATGGTGCGAGATTGAAGGTGTCTTGCCGTCTGGGACAAGAGAATTGAGCGAAATGAGACAGGGGCGAATATGGCAGGGGTAAGATTGTGCAGCCGGAAAAGAAGATGATGGAAGGAGCAATATGGGCAGGTTGTATTCCCGACGTGGATGGAATCGTGATGCATCGGCTGGGCAGCCCGAAAATCGCAATTCGCAGCTGAACCAGCTTCCGGCCCGAAGAAAAGAGGAGGGGAAAATGTAAAAGCTATCGACGGTGCTTAAGGTAGAAAATCAAGAAAAAGAAACAAAAAGATCGGCTCGCCCCTGCTCGGAATCGAACTCACGAAGAATCAACTCTGGACGAGAAAGGGTTAGACCTACGAAAACACCACGCATTTTCTGGACCCAGCGCACTACCACAAAGGCTACTGGACCGTGGTAGAAGGTCTACACTTTAGTACTTATAAAGGCAGGTGGTCCCAGTACAGGTCCTGCCGCTTGTTGATAGCTGGGGCCCGTGCTGTGTGGTCTTCCCTCCCGCAGGCGTGGCTCTCTGCAGACCTCGGATAATGCGTTTTTATTCTAGGATGCGGGGTGTTCTCCCTTTTCTTTCCCTCTTCTCTTCCAAGTTCCTCTTCACCCAATCTTGGCATTGTTAACCTCTTCTTGCTTGTCTCCAGTCTTCCCCTTTGATTGACTGCATTTATCCCAATTTTTCACTAGGCAAGGCCCGCCATTCCCTTGTATCTTGAGTACTTCGTTGTTATTTTCCATGTTCCCTCCAAACTCCTGTTATGGCCTCCACGCGATCTTGGTCTCCTGGGTTTGTCCACATTGTTCCAGGGTAAATTTCGATGTCCATCTTGGTAAACACCATACACACTCAGCCTGCAATGATGGCAGCTTATACACTGCACAAGTTGAAGGAGACATACAAACTCGTAGGTCTACTCTCTACTTCAGTAGCAATATTTCTGGAGGAAGGAGTGTCTACATATGAAATAATTTGCTCGTACATCAAACTAAGGCCTTGAAGACTACAGACTGAACCCATTCGACTTTGGGAAACTTCTGGCAAAGATCGACGGAGTTCCAACGTACGGTGCTGCAGCTGTTCAATGGAGTGGCAAGGATTAGTACAAGCTTTATCGAGTTCATCTCAGCCAGATAATGGGTAAACGATGGGAAAAGTCCAACTTCAGTGTAGGTGGAGAAATGTATAATCGAGGCTATAGAAGATCTCGCTGCTTGCCCCTCGCGTAATATGCGGCCTCGGTGTCAAGTTTCCTATTTTCCCCTGTATCCCGCATTACGGTATGCACTGTGAAAGACCTTGACAGTAGATCTAACTGAAGATCGGGTTCACGAAAAAAAAAAAGGAACACAATTGAAATTCAATGTTTTGGGTAATATGGAAGATGAAGGATGTCGGAAACCAAAAAAAGCAAAAAGCTCGGCTCGCCTCTGCTCGGAATCGAACTCACGAAGAATCAACTCTGGACGAGCAAAGGTTAGACCTACGAAAATGCCGCGCATTTTCTGGACCCAACGCACTACAAGGTAGGCTACTGGACCGTGATGGAAGGCTAAGATTCTCGCCCTTATATGGTCCCAGAAGGTTATGCTACTGGAGCGGTTGCGCCCGTCTCCAGTGTCGGGCACAGAACCTACCTCTAATGGGGCTCGCTCCTTCCACCTTTACCACCTGACACTTCAGTTCCTTCCACCTCCAAGATAAACGAACCTACTAGAGTGTAGTGTACCGTACTGCCAGCATTCGATGGTCTTCAGTTTGCAATAATCGCTTTTGTACACGCTCTGCCATCGGGCATTCAAGTGCTGTACTCCCGATGGTCGTCCTACACTATGTACCTGGAAATCAGATGCATAAAAGCGTTTCCATTCTGGCGGAGCTTCCCCTCTTGACTCCTTCTCCTTTCCGGTTCTCAACGAAGCAAGCCAGTTATTCCCATCACCTCATCACTGCTCCACACCCTATGGCCTGATGAAGCCTACTCGCGACAACGACTTGATAATATAGGTCTGTCAAGGTAGGCAGGATATTTCGATTCATCGTCTCCTATGTTAAGTTTTAATATCACTCATGATTTAACACGCTGACATCCCAGACGTCCAGGAGTACGAAGCTCAAATGGTAAATGCAATGATTGAATGGAGCGATGTCATGCGCACGACCGGTGGATTTCCAACCTGGAGAGAACCCTTTCCTTTTCTTATTCCGAATGGCGCCTTTCCGGTAAGGAGAATGGGAAACAAAGAGAGCATGAATTGACATCGACAAGAAGGGTGAGGGTAAGTAGTCATCTTCTTTGACGAGGCGTGGACACATCATTCGTGATCCCTTAAACCGTAATTACTGACTTTTTAAGTTACCTAAAGATTCGTAGGTACCTAAAGGAGTCTCGAATGCTTTTGTCTCCATTCTTTCATATATTTGTAGTACTCAACCACGCTTTCTACGGCTCCAATTCTTTGTTTGTGTCTTGGTATGTTCAGGATTGGTCACTCAAACTGGCTCCATCTAGTTGAAGAGGGAATGCTTCGGAGCCTTTCTTTCAGTCAGGCAACCGTTGATTCAGCAATATCAGGCCAACGAGTGTTTGGCTTCCGGTCCCATGGCTGCTCTCACAAATTGCTTCATCCATTTCGTGCGCCCCAATATCCAAAATTACCTCTTCTCTTTCCATGGCGAAGATTCTCCATCAGGTATTACTCCACCGTAGGAGCTTGAGTGAGATCGAGAGGCGAACTCATGGGTGCATCTTTCAGCGCGATTGGAACCTTAGGGGTTCGAAGGTTTCTACCCGGGCCGCCGGTTGTGACCTGTCTGCCTTCCACCTGATGGGTCCCTTACTCGTCATTCCTACTAGACAACCTTTCATCCACTCTTCACTAGTACTTTTTGCCACAGGCGGTAACTGCGCCCCATCCCCCTTCGCCCGTCTCAACTTTTCCTCTTTCTGTTCGTTTCTCTGCGCTCCCGGCTCAGGCAATCCGACCCCTCCCCGCAGCCGCGCCAAGCTGTTCAAGATGAGCTACAAAACTTCCATTTCGAAGATCATGTCCAAGATCATGGAGATATCCTCATCGGAGGGCGTCATCCCTGCTACGAGGAACAATGACGAAGAAGACCCCGCGATGCCAAAGGAAGATCCGCATACCGATGAGCTGGAAGTAGCCCACGACATGCTCTTGCTTGCCCAGGCCCCCAGCGCGACAGCCAGTAGTCGCTTACCCTTGCGAAGGTCTCCCTCGCCTGTCGCAGATCAACGAATCTCCCAGTGGAGGAATGAAACCCGGGCCTTCAAAGGAACCATTACTCGACAAAGTAGGAGTGTGGGTTCCGCTGGACCCGCTGAGGTAGCTCGAGCTGCGCAAAAATCCGCGCTTATGGTGGACGGACAGCCTCAGTTTGTTATGTTCTGCGACGGATCAAGTGTGTACAAGCCAGTCCCAAAGACATCGAAAGATGGAGGATACGCCGTGGTGTTTCGTGATCCGTACGACGCCAACAAAGCAGCCACTGCAAGCGCCTCGAAATTGGCCACGACCAGATTTTCGGGCCCTCGGAACGAAGACGGCATTTCCATCGGCGACTTTACCATCCGGCACTGGCTCTCTCACCGAACTTATGGCAATAGTCATACCGAGATTGCTGCTCTTTCCCAAGCACTGGAAGAAGTTACCAAGCGTATTGATCAGCACCAGCCGGACAAATCGATCGTCAAGATTTTCACCGATTTTGATGGATCCTTATCACGAGTTCAGAAGGGCATTCTTAGTTACGAGACCACAACTACTGCCGACAGCCGCAAGCGCAAGCGCGAGCTTACCAAGAAAGAACAAGCAGACGCATCGTTCTTCGTGGAGCACACCAACCCGTTTGTTCAAGCATTGGTGTGGCAGTCGCATTACCTCTCCGACCGCGGATGCACTATCGAAATGCACTGGATGCCCCGCAACACCACACTGGGTCATAAGTTGGCCGATTACATGGCCGGTCAATGGAGGCGCAATTCGGACGATGCCTTTTATCAGAAGACCCTGCCACACGATCAGAGGGACGGCATTTTGGACAAGTTGCATGGGGCAGTTGGCGCCATTGAGCGCGAAAGAGCCTCTGCTGCCCTAGACTCTCAAAAACCTGCAAAGAAAAAGAGAAAGATTAGGCGTGCCATCGGTGCCAGGAAAAAGAGTTCCAAATGTATTGCCCTCCTCGACAGTGCAACCGACTACATTCCCCTGGACTCTGAATCCGAAGACAAACTTCCGCCCCAGCTGCAATCCCAGAAGAAGAAGCAGAAGATCGATGATGCGATTAGGGTCCAAACAAGAAGTACGGCAGACTATATCCTGCTGGACTCTGATTCCGAGAAGGAAGCCGCGCCTAAGCCCCAGTCACCGAATGGTGCAACCACAGCCAAACAGATTGCCCTCGACGGTCCAACCGATTACAATGTCTCGGACTCTAAGTCCGAGAAGCAACCCAAGCCGAAGCAGGAGCAACCTCCCAAGATCGAAAAGGAGATCAAGGGTACAACCACAGTCAAACAAAGGAGCACCCGTGACTTCATTCTTCTGGACTCTGATTCTGAGGAGGAACCTCAACGGCCGAAGAAACGGAGGAGGATTAGGCCAACGGCTGGGGCCAAGAAGGCGAGTGCAAGAAATTATGTTGCCGTCGACAACCCAAGCGACTTGATCCCTCTGGAGCCTGAGTCTGAGCAGAAACCCAAGCCCAAGCCACAGCCTCCGAAGAAAAAGAAGGAGATTAAGGGTACGACCACAGGCAAGCAAAGAAGTACAAGTGACTTCATTCTGCTGGACTCCGATTCCGATGAGCAATCCGAGGCCAAGCGGCCGCAAACTCCGAAGAAAAGGAAGAAAATTAGGGGCGCCATTCCGGCGAAGAAAAAGGCTCCGATGCAGCAGCAGGCTGAACCTGCAGCGGCTGGATTCCTCAACGGTCAGGACCATGACTTCGCCTTCGACTCGGGCAAGTGAGAATCACCAAGAGGGGATCTCTGCACATGTGTGTCAATAAGCGCTCAGTCATCAACTTCATTAAAGGTGAAATCTCGTTGAGGAACCGAGAAAAGAAGATGAACCGCGTGGTAAACTCCATCGCGAACATTGAACGTCGTCGAATGCGGGGCACTTGCCAAGCCCATAAGCGCGATGAACGCGGCTGACAAACGCTATCGATAATGAGCGAGGGCGCGCAACCAATTAACGAAGACGTCGTGCACCTTGGCTACGGCGTGCCCCACCGAGTTAAGCGACGCCGTTGTTTACATCGTGAGCGCCGAAAAAGGGGTTGAGAAAGTGAGAAGAAGTAGACTTAATCGTTAGCATAACGTTGTAATGTTCACTTGACGTACAAGTAGAGGTAATCTTTCCAAAGCCATGCGCAGGTGGATGCTTTCCAAATGGCGATCCTGGGCGGTTAGATGCACCTTCCTTACATAACATTGTGCGTGCCAGGCGTTTAGGATGGTCGGGTCAGGTGGACTTGTGGGTCATCAATAGTTACGACTTCCCTTGGGTGTCCTCGGGATAAACATTCAAGTTACATTTACGGGATACAATGCGAGGATACAAGATATGAGATATTCCATGTCCTGGAAATTGAGACAGATTGATGCGTGTATTATGCAGTCGACTTTCCTTCCATTGAGGTGTCGCTTCTAGTCTGTAGTGGGTCGGGTACCCCTTATACCCGGGCCTGGTCTCAGGTCTTTCCTCCCGTTGTTGTTCGCCCACCCCACTACCCCGCGCCAAACCTGCCTACAAACCTGCCTACAATCCAGAGAAGCTGTCCTTGGTCTACCTACATAAGGCACCTTAACAGGCCCTCTCTTCGTGGTTGGCTGGTTGGTGTAATAGGCAACATCCCTGAGGTGGAATGATTTCACTTCTGATTGAGGTCCTTGAGGAAGATATTGGTTCGAATCCAATACCGGGTAACCACACTTCTTTTTTCTTTCTTTTTTTGCACCTTTGTTATGGACACGTCCCCTCTTGTATTGTAACAAGGCAATGTGGTTTTCCAACACATTCATTCATCCAGAGTGGAAAATGAGATATAATAGACATACAACAACTAACTGTATTCAGTTTGAACCTACCTAGATATGAAAACGGAGCCACCGCAAGGTCAAGATGTTCAGTCTCTCTAGGTCTTCGGCTCCTCAATTGTGTATCAAAACACGTATCCGCCCACAGCCGCATTTCAATATGCCAAGATCGATGTTGATGTCTCGTCAGTGGAGTATGATCCCATCTCAACTCGCTACGCATTTGGTAACCCGGAACAAATGCCACTTTTGCCTGCCGTAAGCTCTTATCCTTCCGGTATCGCCTGCTAGCCTCGAATTCTTTTCATCCAATGATTGCCTCACCCGGAACGCGTCTTCTCCCATTTCGTTATTGTTTTTTCTTTCCTTTTTCTTGCGCTAGAACGTTTGGTCTTTATCTCGGTTCTCTGGTCGAAAACCACCCAAAAACGTCCATCTTCCCCTGTAACGCGTCTTTGACAGTGTTTCAAGGCATACAACGACGTCAAAAACGCATATCAGGTTAAGCACCCTAGTCACTGGATTGTATCAAATACGTCCTGTACGCAAAGGGACTTGTTTCTGTCTTGATTTCGCCATTTTCGCAAGCAAAGAAAACGCGTAAGTTGACCTTTACCTCAGTCTCCCTCGACCAGTCACCAGCCAATCGAGCTAATTTCAGGTATCTATGCAGTTAACTACACACGCCATAATAATGTCCTCGAGCGAGGTGAAGCCCAAACGTGGCCATTTCAGTCGCACCCCGTCGCCTCGGTCTCACGGGCATGACCCCAAGCGGCCAAAGTTCAATGGCCACCCGGTTATCGACCTAACTGGAGACTCGGAAGACGATGACGTTCATTTTGCTTTGCGCCAGCGCCTCCTCACCCGCTCTTTGCAGTCTCCGCTGCCTGCACCTGGAGCCCAAGGGGACAAAAATGTCAACGACTCGACCCCTGCGGCCGGCCCCAACGCTGGGCACCTTCATGAGCTTGCCGCCGTTGGGAATGAAGGCGGGGAACTTCTCGCAATACGCCCGATTATGCCGGTCATGAGGAGCCCTTCGCCACAACCAGCTCCGGTTGCCCAGCCTGTCCGAAACCTCTCTCCCGAGCTCAAGGCAATCGAGATTGTTGATCTCACCGGCGAAGATTATGATGAGCGCCAAAGGTCCCCGCGCTCCCCAACCCCTTCAAACGACTATCGGATTGCGCTGTGGACACAGGAAACGCGCGAGTTTGCCGGAACGTTGGTACTGGAAGTTCCCAATCGTGCCAGGTTCTCGGCAAGCAATGCTTGCGAATCTCCTCTTTGGGTTGATAACGTCCCGCAGATCATTATCTTTTGCGATGGATCGAGTAATCGGACTCCACAAATGCGGTGGGAAGGTACTAATGGAGGTTATGGGGTTGTCCTTCGAAACCCATGGGCTGTCAACAACGGAAATGGTGGGCAGGACCCAGTGTTTGACGTCCGCTCGTGGTCCTGTCAAAAGATGTACTCTAGCGGTCAAGCCGAGTTGGCCGCCATTGCCCAGTCCATTGACAGCGCGAGCCGCTTGCAGGAGAAGCACCGAGCTCCCAAGGTCCAGGTGCGAATCTTTACGGACTCGCAGGAGTGTTGGCATCGGCTTCGCAAGGGCCTGAACCAGAGCCCTGAGAGATTCTCTTTCAGGCACACCGAGCCTGTTCTTCGAGCTGTCGTTTGGTTGTCACATCGTCTAAGAATCATGGGTGGTGAGCTGGAGGTGCGCTGGAATCCTCGGAGATGCGCAATCGGTCCTCAGTTGGCCGATGATGCGGCGGGTGTACATTCTCGCAATGTTGATCCCGACGTCTTCAACCAACGGAACGTGCGGTTGTTTGAGAGAGATGGGATCTTGGGAATGGTTCATGAGCAAGTGGGTGCCATCGTTCGAGATCGCCGGACTCCTCCGCCCTTTTCTCTGCCGGACTGGTTTGGTGAGAACTGAGAGACAGCGTTACAGGGTACCGGTGAAGAACTGGAATGTTGGGTTGGTTGTGGTATCAGTGTTCAAAAGATCTATTGTAATACTTACTGGTGTGGTTCAGGCATAGCGTTGGTGTTGGTCTTCTGGGGATCTCCTGTATTAGTACTGTACCTCCAATTCGCATTTGTGCCCGTCATCAACCATGCAGGCTATGTTTTCGGAGGTAGGCACTCAGCCTGCAAATTAGTCGGTTACCGCATGAGAAAGGAAGAAAAACATCATTTTGAGACAAGAAAGTAGGAAAAGCACAATGACTCCCGACCTTCCCAGTCCAGTGTTAACTGCAAGTTCACCCCTCCTTGGAAGCGAACTCGCTCATTTGCTACTTACTCAGCCCAATGCTCCTGCCGCAAGATGCAACCGGTTTTGCCGCGCATGGCGCTGCAGTTAGAACTTGCATTGCGCCACCTGTTGACACCTTCCATTTCTCATTCCTGTGCGCGGGCGCAATCCGAAAAGAAGTCCCAAGAGGAAGGAATGGCTATGTACTTCAGAACATAAGGATTGAATGCTGAACAACAAAGCGAAAACCAGGCCAAAATAAGTCAGTCTTTGCTTGTCACTTGAATTAGTCCCTTAGGAACACAAATGTTTGGAATGTCATTTGGCAAGAGTAATGAAGAAAGGGAGTCACAGAAAGTGCAAAAAAAGAAGTGTGGTCAGCCCGTTCAGGATTCGAACCCGTATCTTCCTCAAGGACCTCAGTCAGAAGTGAAATCATTCCACCTCAGGGATGTTGCCTTTTACACCACCGAGCCAACCACGGAAAGACGGCCGGTTGAGTGGCCCTATGTAGCCCAAAGGCACCTTCCTTGGATTGCATGCAGTTTCGGCGCTGGTTAGTGGGGTGGGCAATCGACGGGAAGCAGAATATGAGGGGTACATGGGAGGTATTTTAGTCTTGTTCAGTTCCCCATTTTTTGCCGCCCCTCCATCCTCCATTCACTTCCTTCAGTGCCATGTCATTTACCTCGCAAGTCTGAAATCTAGACCTCGCTCCTTTTCGCTACCACTCGCGATTTTGCTCCATCATAATCAGTCGACGAGCTTCTTCGTCCTTCGCGACAGAAACCTCGGATATCTGATCGGTCCTTCCCACTTTCCTCCCCGTTCTCTGACAAGTGCAATCTAAGAATCGGGAGGTACTTGAAGTCTCGGGTCAAGGTGCCATTTGACCACATACATGAGGGTTTTCTGCTTCTTCCTGTATCTAGCATCTCTCTACGTCTTCGCCCTCCCGTCATCTGTCCGCCTCTTGTCTGCCCTCCATCCCGCATCTACGTCAAAATCTCACCACTCTACGGCGTATACCTTGACACTTCTAAACTAGAAGGTTCCACTGCCGAAGACTGGAGCGACATCCCGGCTCCTGCTTTGATATGGACAAGTATTTCCACGATACAGAGCTACTTCACGTTTACTTCCTCGACGCCGATCCCTCCGTCGACTTCAATATTAACCGTCTCCCTGTCGTTCATGAGACCCCTGGCGCCTTGTACGGCATCTGTACGGCGCTTGCCCAGCTCGTAGGTTCATTGTGCATTCCAGTTTTTCCTGACTCACCGCGGAATGCCTGCCGCTCATGGGAGTTCAGTAAGTCACAACGTATACGCTAGCTCAGCCAGTACAACTTGGCTCTCGCTCTTGCCTTGTTCCTATTCTTGGGATCGGCGAGGATTTTCTACTTTACTATGGATTTGCACTGCCTGGGTAGGTAGGTTGACTGAAGCGATGAAACAAGAAAGAGCCACAGGAGGGATGCCTTGTAGGTGATGGGGACACAGGTTCCGATATGGGCACAGGGCAAGGGGCATATAATCTTCCTTCAAGCACTAGCATCCAACAACCAAAATTCCGCTGGTAAATGGCCCCGTGGTGTAACGGTAGCATATGTCAAGAGAAGTAGACAGTCCCAAGCCCAGGTAAGGCAGGCGTCGGCGAACCACCGACAGGTCCCAGGTTCAACTCCGGGCAGTGGCATCCAACATTTACCAGCACGCTTTTTTGTGTCCTTTTGCCTTTATCCAGGGCTTTGCCTTGCTCTAGAGTACCTTGCCTCGGTGCCTATTTGATATCTTTGCTGCTTCAAATTATTGCATCGAAGGCGAGGTTTGACTGTGCTTCTAAGACACTTGTCCAGCTCATCACGATATCAAATGTATTCCGTTGGATTTGTAAGTGATTCTGGTATTTTCTTCTCACGATGTCACTCGACAGGGTGTTTCTGAGAAGAGGCCAAGGCCACCAACCACGGGACATGATTTGCGCTCGACGATGATGAGAGAGAGATGATGAGAGAGAAAGGGCCCTACTTGTGATCGCGCCTTCCCTTGCGAATTTAGAACGGGATTGCTGCCTGCCCTTGCGTACGTCATCCCAACTTGTGTGGAAGAAACTTTGACCCGTGCTCTTATCGAGCCTTCCTCCACTCCCGACCCTTCACTTTCCAACACTTGTCTACTGTAGTAGGCAGCAGACGGGATACGACAACAGGCAAAGTGGTCAACCGTCCCGGCTTGCCCCGCACTCTTGGACTTTACCGCTATACCCAGGGCAGTTTTTTTTTTTTTTTGTTTTTCTCCTTTGCAAAATTTAGAGTTATTCCTTTCACGGGATGCGCCAGGCTGTTTTCGTTCGCGTCCTCCTCAACTCCACGTGGCAACAGGTACATTTGTATCACTGGGCCTCATTTTTGCTACCTCGACAGCAATTTATTCTTCTTTTCTGGGAATCACTGGACTCGTAGCGCCGTACGTCGCAAGATACATCATTCAAGGTGAGTAGCCATAGACCAATTAGCGCCATCGAGGGGAATGATTCTCCATCACAGCTCCTTCCCCACAATCATGCCCTTTCTCTGCCAAAAACTAGAACAGTCCATTAGTCCTTCACCTATTCCAGCTTCAACCTCGAGAGCCGACACTTCCAAAGCGAGCCCGGAGCCCGGAGTTCATTGCTGATGCCGATGGAAATGTTTACAAACGCGTCAAGCTGGGACCAAAATCGTTCTATTGAATGGGAATCCACCCGAAATTCCGCGAAAGGCCCTCGAGTTCGTCAAAGATCCCTCCGAGCAGACGCAACATGTCTCAAAGACTGTCGCGAATCCCAAAGATACCGTCGCCGACAGGTGTCCGACAGTTTCTGGACCGACTCATACCGACCCTCGACCCCCTTCTTGCGCACTGTCTGCGCTACCTCCGTTTGAACTTCAGGGGTTGGCGATGCCTGGTGAGGCCAGGAGCAGGTCCATCGATCGTACAAGTCGCGTCGACAACGTAACGCCAACCCGCAAGCTTCCAGGCAGATCACCCTCGCCCAGTGGTGACGTTCGGATTCCCTTGTGGCGGAATGAGACTCGCGCCTTCAAATGCACATGTGAACTTCCGCCAAGAATCATTGGAAAGGAGTTAGCCGAAAGTGCGCATAATGCTGAGCTGTGGGTCGATGATAGGCCACAGTTCAACCTATTTGTTGACGGGTCTCATAAGCCTTACGAGCCAAAGACCAAGGATCACAGACGACCAGAGTACCATTCATGGGGCTACGGCGGCTACGGTGTGGTTTTCCGTAACCCCTACCACGGAAAGGGGAGCGCCGAGTTCGACCGCAACCACAACGATAACGCCAAGTCCAAGAGCCACACCAAGGAAGACGAGGACGAATTGGGACCAGGCCACTTTAGCAAGCGTTCCTGGAGATCCTATCGCGTGCTATCGATTGATCATGCAGAGTTGGCCGCCATCTTTCAAGGCCTTGCAACCTTCCTCACCTTGGTCAGACGACACAGACCTCCCTCCGGTACTTCCGTTTGTGTTTTCACGGACAGCTCAGACAGTGTCCGACGGCTACGAAATAAGCGCGCACTTGCAGATGACGAGCCGGTATCTTTGCGCGACGCTCCTCCCATGCCGCTGGTGCGTGCTGTCATATGGTTGTCACACTGCATCTCCGACGAAGGGTGCGAGATCAAACTCCAATGGCTGCCAAGATGCTGTGTACGGGCGCACAAGCTGGCGGACAGGGCTGCAGGATCGTGGAGAAGAAAGAAAGCCGTCTTCTACCAGAAAAACAAGCCGCTTTGGCGGAGAGGTGGCATTCTCGATGCGGTCCACGAAGGCCTCATGAAGGTGGTCAAGCGGATCGAAGCCGGAGAACAGGCTGTTCTACCTCATTGGTCGGAGAGGAAGCATAAACCCAAGGAAAACAAGAATGATGAAGATATGTTGGAGAACTTTTCTGGTTCAGCGGTACAGAAAGAGATTGAAAAGGATTCTGGGCTCATCGGCACGCCTTCTAATAAGGATCAGGACTCTGCGCCCGTCATGATTCATGAGGATCCTATGGAGTCTTGGAAGACTCGTAAAGGGCCTAGACCTAAGGGTGAAAGGCCAAAGGAGCAAAGGGCTGGTAATTCCAGGAAAAACTGTCGCTGGAAATAGCATGCACCGCTTCTCACAGTGCCCTGTTGGTGTCAAGATTACATGTTGGATTTTGTACGGACCTGAGTTCATTGCTATAAGTCCTTTGCACCTGGAATTATGGCGTAGAAGATACCCAGCGTTGATTTTCCGTACTTTGTAGCACAGCACGCTCGTTCCTCGCACTTCCGTTCCTGTCTATCATCAGAGGTAAACTCTGGGAGCCTGGGATGATCGCTGAAGGAATGTCGATAATGGTAATATACCTCTAGGGACAAAGACGGACTATGAATTGCCTTTCTCACACATATGCAGCATCATACTGCCCTGACTGTATGTGAAATGCAATCTCTCCAAGCAAACACTTCCAACACAGCTGGGCTCTTTCGGTGTTCGCGAAAAGGTACCAATGGAAAGCGCCCCAGAAGTCCAGCCTTTGTTGTTGTACAGACAGATCACTTCCACCGACTCGATCACGATTATACAAAGGAAATAAAAGGCGGGCAAATAGGCCAGAAGCCTGCACCCAAGTGGGTAAATGGTGCTGGCTACCGGAAAACACCAAGTTGGACAAAAGGAAAAAGAAAGGGATGCTAGTAAATGCTGAAGTGCCGCTGCCGGGAATCGAACCTCGGACTTGCTTTTCGGCTCTCACCGGCCTTACCTAGGACTTAGGCTTCGTGTGCTACCATTACACCACGGGGCCAGTTACCGGCGGATTTTGGTTGTTAGATGTGAGTGCTGGAAGGAAGGCTTATGTTTCATTTCTCCCTTGACTGGAGGGTATTGCTTTCCATCTTGTCTACGTAGAGAATTTTTAATTGACGGGGAAAAACGCAAACCGTTCGTGGAGGTAGCAATAATTCCAGCCCTTCTTTTGCCCTCGGAGCAGCGCATCGATGGAAGTCAATATGGACCGCTACCACGCGGAGTTGATCATGCCTGAACATAGGTAGGCACCACTGAAGTGTAATTGCACGTCATTAGTGCTGACACAAACCGCATCCACCGGTTCCCGAACTTGGTAGCAAGTTCGGCACTAAACGTGTCTGTTTTTTTTATTGCGGCGAGTAAATACACACTTGGGCACGCATCGCCAGTCTTGACAGCGATTTTCACTTTGCGTACAAAGCAATTAGATGCACTGGTGTGGACAAAAAAAAAACCGAAAAACACGCATGAGACGGAAAACACATAACGTACAAGAAGAATCTAAGAAGAGCTTGAAAAGTAGAAAATGGATGGAAAATAAAAAATAATGTGCTGGTAAATAGTGTTGGAATGCCACTGCCGCCGGGAATCGAACCTCGGACGCGTTGGTCCGCTGGCCGCCTGCCTTACCTGGGGCTTAGGATCGTTGCTTCTCATGACGTGTACTACCGTTACACCACGGGGCCACATTTACTAAGTAGCTATTGTTGGATGTAAGTGCCGGAAGGGAGGGGTTATATACCTGCTTTACGCTGTGCCCGTTCCTGATCCGGTCGCATATGACTGTGGGCCGATGTTGCTGGACTTTATTATGGAAAATTCCATCTATCATTTCCATCTGTACTTGTAGTATCCTTCCCGTCGATGCTTGGATACTTAATCGCCGGCTGGCTAAGCTGCAAGAACGTTCATTTGTATTGTACATACCATACCCACCATGATTGATGCCCCAATACGACCATAGCTTGGTACCGCATGAGATGGAATAGATTTGATGTTCTCACACCGCAGTTGGACTCCAAGTGTAGGAAACAAACCTATAACCCATTCCCTTTTCAATACGCTTTTAATATAGTTGACAGCACGTTTCACAGTTGAGATATCGTCGAGTGTCCGCCGTGGGTTTTGCATGTCTGTTTCCATCTCGGTTACATAGTTTCCGGGTGGGGCCGATCACGGGGCGGTCCGCGGTGGGGCTGATGGGACCGATAGGATCGTCGCGGGTCTTGCACATACTGCGCGGTCTCCACCACTTGAGTATACCCCGGCATGAGAACCCAGTCGGGTTTGGTGATGTACAGGTACCTCTACCGGTGAGGGGATCCTGGTGATTCCTCTTGGGCGTTCTTGCATCGTCCTTGCCATCCGTCAGTTCTAATATGATAGTGAACAATGAATGGTACAATGAAACATCGGCGAGGAGAGGACGGAGCATAGGGGAACGAATATCAACTAAAGCTTCTCTCACGATTCTTTTTATTTACAAATGATTTAACCTGCGCTGACTGCCTCCAAAATCTCCTGAAACCCGCTGACCCAACCGATCCTCAACCTCCACCTCGGCAAACTGTCCAAACTGATATATACTAACGTACCCGAATATCCAAACTTATATAATAATGCATGATATACTCTCGATCATTCTCATTCTCATTCTCATTCCCATGGCTCGTCCAATGCAATATCCAAACTCCCGAATTCTTCTTCTTTTTTTATTCCACCAACCCCCCACAACCCCAGAACACCGAACCATACAACCCAACCTCCCTTTCCTTTTGACTTTTACTTTTCCCAACTAGTACCATAGTGTACCACGCCAGGCCAACCAGGTCTCACCAAACCCCTCTGCCCTTCCCCTCATACACAAAGTTCAACACGACCGCCACAAACAGCGCCGCGCAGAGAATGCTCGGTCCCCACTTATCATAGTACCTCGCCGCCTTTCTCGTCCTGATGGCGTGGCTGCGGTAGAGGTAAATCACCACGGCGTACCACAGCGAGAGGAAGGCCAAGAGGGTGAACACGCCGGCGGCAATGATGGAGCTTCCGCGACCGCCCTTGTCGCTGGCGCCAAAGTTGAGCAAGGTGACGGCAATGGTGCCGATGTAGATGGAGTATTCGAGCTGTTAAATGTCCTTGTTAGTTCAAGCGGCCAGGAAACATGAGGAAAGGGGAAGGGAAAACGGAACGACATACCCATCCCAAAAAGGTCCTCTCGGCTGCAAAATACACCTTGGGCTCCACCCTCACAGGCACATAAATCTTCTTGCCCTTGGGCGCCTTGATTCTCTTTTGATGAATCTCTCCCGAACCCAACAAACTCTCCAAGTTCGCGTTTCTAGGTACTTGCGATGCTCTGGGCCTGGGCACCAGCGCCTTGAGAACTGACCACGTCACCCTCGCCGCGGCGTTCGCGCGCGTCTGCAAAAGAGTCGAGTAGTAAGTCCAGCCGCCGACTCTCCTCGCCTCCTCGAGCCTGTCTTCATCGGGTTCGTCCTCCGAGTCGTACAAGTAGGTATTCTCGTTGGAAGCCTGGTCAACCGTCTGGTCTTCAATGTCAGTAGCGGCAACACCGCCACGAGCCCGCCGGTTTCTAGCCAAGCCTTGAGCGCTGGCCTCGCCGTTTTGACCGTCCTGGCTGCCGGTCACGTTCTCATCGTCGGAATCCTCATCGTCGTCTTCGTCGACGTCGGTGGTGCTGGTCCTGGTCGAGCTTTCGAGGCGCTTGATGCCAAAGTCGTGCGTGGGCGGCTTGCGGATGTCCACGTCCATCTGGGGGAACCAGTAGGGAAGGAGGTGGATGCGATCGGGGAAGAGGCTGGCGGTGCCGTGGATGAACTTGGAGAACTTGGGCACGGCTTCCACCAAGTGACTGGAGATGAGCTGGCGGACCCACTCGGGCGGTTCCTGGCCGAGCTGTGTCTGCAACTTGACTTCGAGAACGGCGTACGGGAAGCGACAGATGTCACTGGGTGGAAGCTGGGGGAACGGCCAATCGATGCCAATGTCGGTGCGCCGCCAGTTGTCACCAGACCGCTGGACACCATCCAGATTATCTTCGCGGATCATGGTCAGCTCCGTGTCGAGGGAAATGCGCACACGCGCGTCGGCGGGGAGCTGGAAGGCCGTGCGGTGGTAGAAGGAGCGGACAACAGGCTTCAACTTCTTCTTCAGGACAGAGTACTGGATCTCGGCAGCGAGGCGCTCGTCTTCGGCAATGGCCTTTTCGGACTTCTTTCCTTCCTTACGCGCCTTTTCGAAGATGGCCGAGGGGAGGAGCTCGCCGCGCAGATAGGGGTTGACCAGCTTTTCCTTCAGGGCGAAACGAGCCTTGACGGACTTTTCGCCCGTCCAATCTTCTCTGTGGGTTTTGCGTTCAACGAAGATGGTCTCGGTTTGCATGCCGCCGTACCATCGCAGACGAATGGCCTCGGCACCTTCTGTCTTCTTCAACCGACCCTCGTAAAGCTCAAATGTCTCTGGGTTGTCGTAGTAGATGGATGAGATGGCCGAGTCGGCTTCCTCAAACTCTTTGCTCGGGTTGAAGACCAGAACAGGCAGATGCTTGAGGATGATCAGCTTGAGCTCGGTGACGTTGTCGGGGTGCACCCAGTATTTGGTGGTGTGTCGGACAAAGCTGCCTTGGCTTCCGCCGGCAGAACTGTCGCCCTTGACGGGGTTACCTCTTGTCCGGACCAGATCGTACAGCTTGGACAGCTTCACGACGGCCGCGTCGTAGTTCTCCTTGTAGAATGGCTTGGCCTTGAGACGTGCGTCAAAGACGGGCTTCAAGCGCCATCCCGTCATCTTGTCGTGCTTCTTGATGATCTTGTAGAAGCCAGTGTAGTTGACCTGGACGAACTTGGCAAGGTCGTGGACCTCGGCAATGATGTCGCTTAGATCCTCCTCCAGCAGCATGAACTCCTCCTCGGTCGGCCCTTCTTCGTTCAGCCCCCGTTCCTGCAGACGGTTGACGACATCTTTGACTTCGCGCTCGCTGACGGCTATCCTCCTCGAGATCTCCATGGCCTTGACCTGCTGCTTGGTATGGACCTTGTCGAGCTCAGCCTCGAGCTTGCTGACGAAGCGTTTCTCATCCTCCTCTGTCCACTCGCCATTGGGACCGCTGGGGTGCTTCAGGTCGGCCTTGAGGCCGTCATAGTCGATGTAGTACCATTGGTATTCGCGGATGATGCTGGAGCGGAGTTGTTCGCCGAACTTCATGACGATGAGCCCTGGGCGCAACCGACGGGGCTTGTTGGGGGAGTCTGTGAATCGATACTTGGTCGAGTGCCACGTCTGCTTTCCTGTCTTGAGATCCTGGACGATTAGCATGGGCGCGCAATACACGGAACAGCGAGACACAACAAGCAGAGCAGCAGAGAAAGAGTGGCGGGGTAGCTGTTTCGTACCTGATTCTCGCTGATGGGCCCACGGGAGTAGATATGGGTGACTCCAGTCGGCGAGGCAGTCAGTCGATGGTGGTCTCGGTTAGGTAGGTAGTATCGATGGGCCGGGTTAGAATGTGACTACTGCGAAGGGAACATGTGGTTGTCGAGTGGTTCGTGGTTGTGGTCGGTTGTTGGGATGGAGTTTGATGGCCGCGAAAACATGGAAACTGGAGGATAGCAGAAAGTTGGCTCGCGACACTAGCACGGATGCTGCAGGCTGTCCGCGTCGAGCTGTTAGTGCATGCTACGTGTACACCCAAAGGCGACTTGGCTAGGGCCGGGCGCCTGAGGTCACCATGAAGGCACGTTCCACAGAGAGTTGCTGCCATTGGCCAATCAAGCCCTTGCCTGCCTGTAGTGTCGTTAAAAATGGGGCCATGGCATCACTGCAGTGGGGCCGTGCACAAGCAGGGAAGGGCCTGTCTGGGGTGACATTCTGTGCAGCCACAGCACTTTTACACTAACAATTGCACTGTAACCAGTGATGATGTCTCTGACCACCACTAACCCTGAGCGTTTCGCAATTCATCCTGCCTGCTCCACTGAAAAAAAACAAACTGCCCAATCGAGACACTTGATGGCCTCTCTCTGTGACTCTCACCAGTCAACATCACACCCCAAAAATACCAAGCCACCATGTCCGACAACGACTCGATATCAGTCCGTATCTCGGACGATTGCCCTCCCGAGATCCAGCGCATGCTCACGGCCGCCTGGGCCCACGATGTCGACACAGTCAAGAAGCTGATCGACACGCCCGAAGTCGCCAGAGGCCAGGACCCCAAGACGGGCGAGTCGCCCCTGCACGCTGCCATCCGCTCATGCGGTGCTCCTTCCGAGGACGACACGCCCGAGGACCTCGAAAAGGCCAAGGCCACCGTGTCTGAGCTGCTCATGTGGGGTGCCATCTGGAACGATGTCGACAACAACAACGAGACTCCCGGCTGTGTGGCTGCCCGTCTCAACCGGCCTGAGCTGTACGAGCTCTGCGTCAATGCTGGTGTGAGGGCCGAGATGCTGTTTGGTCTGATGGATGGCTATGAGGCTTTGGACAGTGATGATGAGGAGATGGCCGAGGGTGAGGAGGCACAGGCTGAGGATGGCGAGGAGGCTCCCGAGCTGGTCGCCGCCGAAGAGGCAACTCAAACTGCTGAGGAAGAGACGCCCGCTGTCTTCCAGCCCCCTGCAGTCAACCTCGAGGAGCAAGTCACCAGCGACAAGTATCTGCGCTCTACTGTCGCCTACTCGGACGGTAAGCTGGTCGACGACGCCGGCAACGGTGTCATGATGGCCTGGGAAACCGACATTATGCGTCGCAGTGTTGACGCCCTGCTCCCCAACAAGGAGCCCGGCAAGAGGATCCTCAACATCGGCTTCGGCATGGGTATTATTGACGGCATGTTCGCCGAGACCAAGCCCGCCGTCCATCACATCATCGAGGCCCATCCCGAAGTCCTCGAGTACATCTCCACCCCCGAGTCCAAGTTCGATTCCACCTGGGAAGAGAGCGGTCCGGCTCCCGGTGCCTACAGAGTCTGGGAGGGCAAGTGGCAGCAGATTGGACTGCAGCTCCTGGAAGAGGGCCATGTCTACGATGCCATCTACTTTGACACCTTCGGCGAGGACTACGGCCAGCTGCGCATGTTCTTCACCGAGTACATACCTGGTCTGCTGGACTCCAACGGCATCTTTGGTTTCTTCAATGGACTGGGAGCCGATCGCCAAATTTGCTACGATGTCTACACCAAGGTTGCCGAGATGCACCTGGCTGACGCCGGTCTGGACGTGGAGTGGAAGGAGATTCCCGTGGACATGAAGGAGCTGGCTGAGGCCGACAAGGACGGCTGGGAGGGTGTGAAGAGGAGGTACTGGACTCTTGATAGTAAGTACCCGACGTTTAGCTTCTGTTGTTTTGGACCCCTTGCTAATATTTCACAGCATACCGCTTGCCTGTGTGCACGTTCCTCGGATAACCTTCTTGTTTCTTTTCTCTTTTCGAAATATCAAAAGCCGCGATACCCATTCTCTACCGTTGAATCTTTACCGTCCCGCATTCCCGTGCCATCCCTCCCGGTTCTTGTCCGTTGCCCACGTCGAGATGTTGCTCTAATCACCCACACACGCAAACTCGATTTTTTCCCTTGTCTAGTGTACTTCCGATAAAAACACGCTCCTTCATGCGAACAACACACCATGGTCGCCGGCTCCACCACGACCAACCCAAAGTCCCGGGATTTGTTCCGCTTCGACTTAGCATCCACCCTAGGAGTAGTGATGGTCCCTTCATCCACCAACAGACTTTTCTCCCTCCACAGCCCGGCCAATGTTGTGTAACCTCGCCACGATAGTGTACGCGACTGTCGCCTTGATAAGCATATGCACCCTCACTCGCATTGATGCCGGAGGGGCAGCATCTTATGATAAATGTAACCGTCCCTATCATCACTGGACTGTTCGGATTGCAATCAGCGACACCTCTACAGATATCTTCATGTCGTCAGTGTATGAAAGCTTATTCTTTCGACAAGCCGGTACCCGAGACACCCTAGGCACGGTCCGCGCCTCCCCGTGCCTGATTTGATCAAACATGTGTCGCTGTCGACATTTTGCGCACTATCAGAAAAACCTCCACCTCTTGAAGGAAGCTAGGAAAAACCATCGCTGCTTTACAAGGCTCGATGAATAGATTGAGACGAATCATTGCAAAAGCGCGTGGGGTGCAAACCCCGGCAACAGTACCGAGCGATGATCAACCGGCTGGATTGGCCAGTTGCTTGTGGTGGACCAAATGGTTCAAGTCTAGACAAGCTTTGAGGTTTCGTTCGTGCAACCATCGTCAGGGTCCGAACTCCACTACACTACTACCCTAGAGATACCGCACATTCATCCGACTTGATGCGGCTACACTACCCAATACTAATGACATCCGGAATGCTGTTTGCTACACAGAACAAGTGCCGGACGGGTGAAGGTCGAGCTTGTGAAGAGGAAAAAGGTTCGTGATGGATCTTTGATAAGAAGGGCATATAAAGTATGGCCGCTCTCCCTTCATTGTCTCTGGGCCGACTTCCTCCAGCACAGAGACGACTCCAAAGTCAATAGGTTGCTCAGCATGACTCTCCCCACGAAGGCCTCCCTCGGGGGCTTCTTCGACCCTTCTCATCTCACAAATGCATCTCCCAAGGCCATCCTCCTCGCCATCTTCTCCTTTCTCATTGTCTACTACATCACCTCCTCCATCATTGCCTGGTACCGCCTGCGTCACTTTGACGGCCCATGGCTCGGCAAATTCTCGTACCTCTGGATCTTCAACATCATCCACTCGGGCCAAATGGGTGAAGCGGCCCACGCCGCCCAAGACAAGTACGGCGGCGTCGAGCCCGGCTACCCTTCCACCGTGCGCATTGGCCCCTCGGACCTCATCACCACCGAGCTCGACCTGATTCGGCGCATGTCCGGTGCGCGCTCGCGCTATACCCGCTCCGACTGGTACAAACTGAACCGCCTCGATCCCTATGATGACAACATGTTCAGCACCACTTCCACTACCTACCACGACAAGCTCAAGAGCAAGATGGCTCCCGGCTACGCGGGCAGGGATAACACCGGCGTGGAGAAGGACATTGCCCATGTGATTAGCAAACTGGTCGACAAGATCAGAGCCAAGTATGCGGCGCCCAAGGGGTCCACGTCACCAGCGGGAAGGGAGATGCTGGAATTTGGCCAGATGGCGCAGTACTTTACGCTTGATGTCATTTGCAAGACGGCGTTCCAGGTCGAGTTTGATCATATCACCAAGGAGGAGGACGTGTTTGGGTACATCTACATGGTCCACAATTTGGTTTATGGTAATGCCATGGGTGCGACGATTCCGATTATCGGGAAGATTCTGAGTAATCCCCTGTTCTTGAAGATCTTTGGTCCGACGACAAAAGATGCCAGGGGAATGGGCTTGATTATGAAGTGGGTTTCTGTCCTTGTCTCGACTTGTTGGAAAGACGACTGACAGGAAACAGGGTCGCTCGAGAAATCGTCGCAAAACGCTTTGCTCCAGATGCCAAAGACCAGCAGGACATGCTCGTAAGTCTTCTTCCTCTCCTCTTCCTCCTCCTCCCCCCATTGACCATTTCCAAAACATCATCAGGGCTCCTTCATCCGCCGCGGCCTCACCCAGCGCCAATGCGAGACCGAATCCATCTTCCAGATCCTCGCCGGCTCCGACACCACCGCCACCGGCATCCGCTCCGGCCTGCTCTACCTCTGCTCCAACCCGCGCGCCTACACGCGTCTGCAGCGTGAAATCGACGAACGCATCGTGTCCGGTCTCATCTCTTCTCCATGCATCACCAACGCCGAATCTCTTGCCTTCCCCTATCTCCAAGCAGTAATCTACGAGTCCCTACGCATGCGCCCACCCTTTGATGGACTCCCCTTCAAGATCGTCCCACCCGAGGGCGATTATACCCGCGATGGAAGGTTCATCCCCGGTGGAACCAAGATCACGGCTACGTTTGGCGCGATGCAGAGGAACAAGGAGGTGTTTGGTGTCGACAGTGATATCTGGAGACCGGAGAGGTGGTTGGAGGAGGAGGGGTGTGATGCGGAACACAGGAGGGAGATGAAGAGCGTGGTGGAGATGGTGTTTGGGTATGGGAGGTGGCAGTGCGCGGGCAAGATGGTGGCCATGTTGGAGTTGAATAAGATTTTCTGCCAGGTACGTTTTCTTTTTCGTTTCGTCTTCTTTTGTTCTTGAGTTGCCGGAAAGAAAGGATAATCGTCGGGCAATGGAAAGAGTCGCGGGGTCCGCAACAAAGGAGTCACAAGAACATGCTAACAAGATGCGCAAACAGCTCATGCGGAACTTTGACTTCCAGATCGCCAACCCTACACAACCGTGGAAGAGTCGCAACTATCACATCTTTTTCCATGACGACTTTTATCTGACTGTTACGGACAGGCACAGCAAGACGGAGGACGAGAAGTCAGGCTAGGCGTCTGTCGAGAAGTTTCAAATAAGCAAAATGACAAGTTGACTTGTTCTCATCATGCCGACGTCCCGGACGTAGGGAGTTACGATCTGGGCTTTGGCATCTTTGCCTGTGCTGCTTCCTGATTGTGTGGCTGGTGTTGGTCCATGGTGCGTGTCTCTTCACACACACGTCACGCTGAAGTTCACGAATTATCTTCAACTTTTCGCTTGGTCGACGGGTTGCCTCAAATGGCAGAACACGCCGAGGTTCTTTCTGTCATTTGCCATTGTCTGGTTAGGAGCACCTGCACAGCTGGATCCACATCAACACCGATGTCATCTGTCCCTCACTGTTCAGCCTCCAAATGGGGACCTATGGCCATAGCTCCGCAAGCTCTCCTCAGCTTGCAGTTCCGTTCAAGGACAAGCCCTATGATCCTTTCACCAATATCTGGTGCACAACTGTTAGTGCTCACAGACCTCGTAACTCCCGCCCGAGTTCCCCCTCATATCCCCGTCTTCCCAACCCCTCAGACAATGACGTCCACTCTCCGTACATGCTTTCCAGACACCGCCGTCAAAATGACATCTTCAGTCCATGCTTCTCCCTCCACATTGACGTCTCTATATGATGGCGACCGTCTCTCTCTCTTATAATTCATCCCGCCACGAATTGCGTGCTCTCTGCCTTTCGTTCTCCTTTCTTCTTCCTTAGACTTTCGTCTAATGCATCATCAGTCTCATCACGAACACCAACAACATCACGAACAACACCACGAACACCAACAACATCACGAACAGCACCACGAACAGCATCATCACAACATGCCGCAGCACGGAAAGAAGCAGGTGCACCAGGAGAACGTTGGTCACCAACCGCACCACATGAGGCATGAGGGCGAGCAGGAACCCGGATACACCGATCTCGCTTTGGAGGAGGGTCATGATTTGATTTACCGCGCTGAGGAGGAGGCTCATGTATGTTGACCATCTCTGTATCTGCGTTGCTGCCGGTTTCCTTTTTCGTTTACCCCTCCAAGCCCATTGCATCTCCGAGTTGATCGATCTTGGATATATCTTTGACCCATCCACACATTGTCTTCTTCTTCCTTCCCTTCTTTTCCTTTCACCCTCTCATTTTGTTTCATTTTTTTGCCATCTTTCTTTCCACCCTCTGTCCTACCTCTTTTTTTCCACCACGTTTTCTCTCCCTCTTTTGTTCTTTTCTCCTCTTCTATCCACTACCTCTCTCCACCCCCTTTTTCCTTCGACACTCCTCCTCCATCCTCCGTTTCCTTCCACCGTTTCTTTTTTCCACCTCCTTCCCACCCAGCCTCTCTCTCCCCCCCCTCTTTCTACCGCTCGCACAAACACCCCATTCCCCTCCCATCCCCATTCCCATGAACAATACTAACCCCCTGCCACAAAGATGCACGACGACGAGAAAAACATGCCAAAATCCGCTGGCGCCACCAGCGGCCCCGGCATGATGACCAAAGACATGAAAGCCAAAATGATGATGCCCGAGGGTTCAGCGACCTCGGAAAACATGCCGCAGGGCGGTTCCTCTAGCATGGGCATGGGCTCCTCTGGTATGGGCTCCTCTGGTATGGGCTCCTCTGGTATGGGTGGTACGGGCCAGCAGCAGCAGCAGCAGCAATCCAGCGGTAGTGGTAGCAGTGGAGGAGGAGGAGGAGGAATGGGACATAAAATGACGGAGGAGATGAAGAAGGGAATGGAAGGCGTGGGGAAGAAGATGGAAGGGATGAAGGAGGGGATGAAGGAGGGGATGGGGATGGGAGGTGGGTCGAAGAAGTGAAATGCAGAGGGTACTGGTGAAGTACCTGGAGGGGTGGAGGGGGAGGGACGGCTAGAAAGGGGGGAAGGAAAAGGGGGGGAAGGAAAGGGAGGGGAGGAAGGAAAGAGAGGGGATACCGAGGGGGAAAGAGGAAAACAGGGACGAGGAAAAGAGGATGATGATGAGACAGATTGGGAGGGGGCGGGGTTGTGGGCTTTGGTGTTGGGTGGTGGTTGATGAATTGTCTGGTCTGTCTACCTACCTCTGAGGGGGGGAAAACCAGAAGAATAGTAGGAAAGAGGTCTGTATGGATAGTGTTTTGTTGTATGTATATGTTTGAATGTAAGTGTTCGATGAAATAAGATGTGGAAAGGCTTTTGGAGGTTTTCATGTTTCCTCATGTTGATCATGGCCCAAGTGTCGACCTGAGTCTTTTGACGGACTGTGCCGGCCACAGGTCAAGATAGTCCGGTCCGGTCTTTGGGTGATACGATGGAGGGTAAGCGCACTTCTCTAGGGCAATGTACACGTTCCTTCCTGTTACATATTTTCCTGTCAACAAATTATCGGGGTAATGCACGGCACGGAGCCCTGGCTGTACCTTTCATTCCACCCAGAGATCCAGGAATGACGAAGAAACAGCTGTACTTGCCGATAGCAAATAGCTCAAGAACTACAGCCCCAACATCTGGATACAACAATGAAGCCAGCGTTAACTTCGAAGTCTAGTAGGGTAGTCAGTGAACTATTTCCGCAAACACCCTCTACAACTCGGTACCTATTCATGTTGGCTCCGCAACACCAACCAGATAAATCGAACGTGGTCCCGAATCAGCAGGCACCGGGCCGCTGGTGGCTCAGCTCATCTTATCGTCGCAGCGGGATCGATGCTACCTACCTGGTACAGTCTCTATGTAAATCATGTACCTCATGTACCTGTCGATTGTGTGATGTAACCCGCGAGCCTAGTGAAGAGCTCATGCACTCCTCAGGGGTAACTGACCACGTCTCTCTTATCGAAGTCTTTGGTGTCTGCTTTCAGTGAGGTGCCATAAAGGAAGTGAGGTGCTCTTTGCGGCTACGGAAAATGGGGCTGTAGTACTTCATCGCTCGGTTTGAGATGAAGGTTGTACTCTGTAAACGCGCGCGGTTGGTGATGTTGCACGGCTGGGTTCCATGTAACCTCACGGTTTCTCGGAAGAATATGATGTTCGGGTAGGCGTGGTTTGGTATGCTCTGGTAAGTGAATGACTGGTTGGCTGTTGAAGAGTTCACTCACTTTGTTTCTCATGGAAGACATCACCCTACAACGAGCAGACAGTCCTTCGTCTCCTTACCACCCCTTCTCCTTGGACTCAATCTAGAATATCCTCCTCCTCCTAAAGAACAGTCCAGAAATACGATTTCTCCAACTGGACTCCATCTTTGACACCGCCGGACTCGAAGTCTTCGCTATCCGTCCATCTAGCCCTGTGTAGTCTCCCGCCATCTCCAATTCCTGACCGTCTCGTCATCGCCATGTCCCCTGAAACCTGCATGAACCTTGTGGTACGTACCTCTACCTGAGATACGGTGGTACTTCCACCTAGGGTCTCCATCTGGGACCAACCAGGATGCATTTAACCGGTCCATTCCCCGAGTTTCCGATGGATCTAGGTAGTCTGCTCTAGCCCATTTATGGGCCAAATTTCGTGCCCCTTAATATGATGGCTCGTATCAGTGTCCAAAGGGCCGGGTCCCTGGGGGCGTACAGTAGACGCTCTGATGTCCACTGTCCAGTGACTCGTGTGCGATAGTAGGTAAGGTACCTTCCCGTACGTTCCGCGTTCATATAGGTTGTCAGGCTTCCAGGCCTTAGGGTAAGACTGGCTTGAAATCTAGGTAGTCTCTTGCGCTGACTCCAGGTGTCACTCCTTGGGCAGCCCTTGTGTGTCCCGGGCTCCCAAGTCCCAACAGAACTCCTAGAGATACTTATGTACCTCTATGCATCTTACCTACCTCTAATTCTGGGCCCTACCTGATGTTCGTTATTCCATGGTAATGGGGGATTACTAGAATTGTAGGTACCTCTAGTTACACCTACCAGTGCATGTACCTACCTCTAATCGTGGGATGGCGCTCACTCGTCTCTTCCCAGCCGTTGGTCTTTCCTTTTTAAAACGCCACTTACCTACCACTTCACTTGGGGTTCAAGTGCATGGTGCCTACATCCACCTACAGTCTTACACAGTACCCTTTCTCATCCGTGGACAGGTACCTTTTCCTCGCGCCGATGTCGTTGACCTGTGGTGTTTGGGAATGTGGAATCCGATGGTCGTTGGCAACAGTGTGCTCTGACTTTGCCCCTCTAGGATTCCTGAATGAATCAGTGTCCGTTTTGGACATCCTCGCCTGACCAAGCGAGCAGTTCTGTCCAGTCCATCTAGGTTAGTCTAGATCAGTCTGGCACTCTGTCAAGTCTGGTGACGGGTGAAGGGGGGGCAACATCTGTTTGTTTGGACGTTGAGTCTGGGACTATCGATCCAGTCTGGACTTGACTAGACTTGGAGATCTGAAGTGGCTGGAGTGATCATTGATTGGCAGCGTTCGGGAATTGGGTGACAGAATGGGCAGTGAGTGAAGTGGCAAATGAATTTGACATCCGTCGGCGAGTGAGGTAATCTTGGGGTCCAGTCTGGACACGCTGGATTCGCTGTCTCTAGAGCCTAGTCTAGAAGCCTATAGGTGTGTGGCAATAGCAGTGGCCGGTTTGGATCGTGATAGGTATCTATCTCTGTTAGCAATGAGCAGGGCATATCCTGACGATTGACAAATCCTTCTATCGTCTCTTCTTCATCGCCCATTTGCTGAAAAGAAAGTAACTATCCAAGAAACGAAGGAGTGAAATGCAGCGGCCCTACGATAGCACGATCGGGCCCCAACCTTTGCCAAACGTCTCGTGCTTTAGGTTCTCTTCCGACCGAACAGCCGGAACGGGCGAGTGTCTTGCCCAAGTTGCCTCCGTTCAGATGGGCTCTTTTTCAATTCCAATCCCTCCTTCTCTGGTTTCCCACGTCCCTAACGCAACTGCTGCTACAACCCGTTCCTCACGTATTCCTAAAATGCAGCTTCATCTTCCCCACCTCTCCACGTCTTCTATGTGCCTTTTGTTCCTCGTGCTTCATTTACATATCTGTAGACATACTTTACTCCCCGTCCTCGTCCCTCAACTACACGCTTTTCCATTCATCCAACAAGCAACCTATCCATGTCCCCATGCCGTTGTTCCCGAGATCTTCCTGTCGATGTTTCCTCAGACATACAGACGGATAGGAAAGCAAGTACCTCTGTAATATCACGTCTAGGTACGGGCCCAGCGTAGGTACGAACTTACCCGGAATCCAAGCCAAGCCAAGCAAGCCAAGACCCATTCACGACTGATGTTGTAGATCCAATCCGGCTAAATACGCCGAACATTCTCTGCATTAGCTTCTAAATCTCTCTGTCTCTCAATCTACCAGCCAGTACGGGTACCCGGAGTGCGGTTACGAGGACAGCCATTGGTCCGGGTCAATTCCCTTTTTCTCACACGCTATA